TCTATAACCATTGCTACGATACCGTTCAGAGCCGCATAGAAGATGTTGCTAGATGTACGAAACGGAGAAGTATGCAGACAGAGGATCTGGCCCTTGTTACTTGACCTGAAGGCAGGCAAGGGGTAATTATTAGGGCAGAAAGTTAGTGAGCGCTTGTAATAATTTAGTTCTTACGGCTGATGGGTCATCAATGATCATGGATGGACTCCGTAGTGTGACATGGTGTGGAAATTTGTGAAGCGTGGGGGTCATTCATTGCCTGCCAAGCGAGCCGTGGTCGGTAACCTAACCATTGCGAAATAGCATACACAATCCACATGTTGCAATGCGTACTAGGCTCTCGCCTTGCTGTTGACAGGCATCGTAAGCCAAGGTGGCTTCATGGGAAAATCTGGGCGCCTACACTAATATTCGCTGCGGGGTGACTGCTTTACGATCATTGAGGATTGCGAGATAGCATTCACCCGGTTCGGAAAGGAAAGATTCTTGAAATTGAGACCATATATTCTTTATCTATATCTTCATGAGCCTCCTATTGACGGCCGTCAAGATGACATAGATCGTCTCGACCGTGGCTATGTTAATCCCAAGCTCCTTGCCCTTTCGGACCGGATAGCCAAGAATGATCTCTACCTCCATTGGCTTGTTGTTCTCATAATCTGTCCGCATACTACTGCCAATGGGAGGCATCCCCTTGATCTTGTTCACAAGTGTGTCAATGAGATCGTAATCTAGTGCCACACCCAAGGCCTTTCCAACGTTAATGACCTCGGTCATCAGCCGCCGTGTCAACGTTTCGGCATCAGGAGAGGCGAGCCAACTGTGTGTGTCCATGAGAGTCAGTGTGGTGAGGCTGTTCCACGCCGCATTCCAAACAACCTTCTCCCAGCGCAGGAGCTGAATATCTGGGACAGCCTGGAATACGGTCTTCCCTGTCGTGAGGAGATTGGAGAACTCCTCCAAGCGCCCTGCATCGCGATCAGAGTCATTGCCATTGGTAGGGAATATGCCAATCTGCATGTCTTCTGATTTAGTATGAGCGATGACGCCTGGTTGGGACTGACGGGCGCCAACCCACGTCTGTAGCTTTAGTTAGCTTCTGTAGAAGTGGTAAATTTAGTTTAAAGCTGAATGGATACTGACCACACAGGAGATGATCGTTGTGGATGGGAAGCGCTGTCGGAATGGTTCCTCATTGCCGACTCCGTTCTGGATTATGACAATTGTCGACTTGTTCTCATCGACGCAGGATGCGAGTTGCTCGGGTACTGTGGACTGATTGATGGCTTTGTGTGCGCATACAATGTAGTCAAATGTGGTCTTTGCTTCAGAAGGATGCTTCAAAACTAGTCCACGATCAACGTCAGAGGTGCATCTCTAGGTACATATAGTTAGGCTGTCATCTGGACCATTTTCTCACCTTGAAAGGGCTTGACTATGTGTTCGCCATGGTTCTCGCTGACAATTTTGAAACCGTTCGCCTTGACTGCCTCGTAGTTTGACCTTGCGACGACAGAGAGCCTGACATTTTCGTTGCGGCTGAGGATAAAGGCGTAGAACGAGCCAATGCTGCATCTCAGGTTAGTGTCTGAACATGCTATTCCGGTTCCGTAATGCTGACTTACGCTCCAAGACCGTAAAGAAGAACGTCCTGTGGCATTTTGCTGTAGATGGATAATGCTGAGCAAGCTGTGAAGATTAAAATTCAAGCCATCCTTGTATTTTTTGGGGGCTCCGGGTTTTATGGTTTATGGGCCGAACATCGGCCAGCGAGCGGCATAACCCAAGCCGTCAGCTGGTTGTATGTGGAGGCGGGAATGGGGACAGGTGGATGTGTGGAGATCGTTGCGGAGAGACATGAACAAACTGGCGTGGGGGTCAACTTGGCTTCCCCTCGCAAAGTTTCATGGCGTAGGCCTTAGCGGCTCTCTCTCAGTTTCCCAAGCCGCCCATGTTACCGATCGAGAGTCGAGTAAAAAGGGGAAAGAGGGGAGGAAGAATCACCCATGTCAGATAGTGGAGGGGTGATGCCCTCTCTCCTAGGACTGAACGTAAGGATCACTCTAAATGGCTGATAACATCTCTCTGCCAGAATCATGTTTCCAATCAGCTCTGCTCTGGAATCTAGTTCATTGGTTTGGGTCTCGGGATAATGAAAGATACCGTATACCTATGAAATGGTACTTTTAGAGGTGCTCTACGCGTTGATACTTAACGTTTGTACTTGGAAGAGTCGGATTGCTAATGGCGATACGCTTCTTCTCACACAGCAATTACATTACGATTGAGCTCCAAACTTATATGTATTGTTTTGAAATCAATCTCATATTTCGCCATTGGTCTTGTTGTGCATCTTGATCTAGTGCCAAAGGGCATCTTTGCGATGAAAGCTGCCTCAGTTGCTCCACGCTTCTTGGCCCCTAATAAGAGCAAGGACAGGTGCCATCGTCTGCCAACATGCACAAACCCAGACCAATTGGCCTACAAGGGGCGTCTTTGGCATGTGCCTTGATCCAAAAGATGCGTGGGGGTTCACTTTGAACTGACTTTTGGAGTCAGCTAGTTACCCAAGCGCCACTTCGCCGGAAAACGGGACTGTGCACAGCAAGTAGGTGTGACTAGAATTGGTATTGACCCCTCAATACATTGTATGGGGGCATAGGAGGGAGAATACCTAAGCAGTAGCTAAGATGGCATCCCCGAGGCCCGCAAGAAGTATCATCTTTTATTATTCTGGGTAGTTTTCTGAGATTCTTGTAGTGCAAATATACTTCACATATTTGAGAGTAATTCCTCTCGAACGAAGCCTACTGCGTTACCTCTACTTTATGGTTCAGATTATTACTTTAGATTATTTATCATATAGAAATATGACTATAGAGACTTCGGTATAAAGCTTGCTTTAGATAAGACTTTAGAATAATCTTTCGTTATGCTTTGCTGTTTAAAAGCGCATTGAGATAGTTACATTACTTATGACCACATAATAGTTTTATTTGTGATAATCGAGTTCTTTAAGATAGGTATGTATCTATAGGTAGTAGATTCCCTTTTAATAAGTATTAGCAGTGTATTAACTTTATATGCACATTTTACTAAGGGGCACGAGTTTTTATCGCCTTCTTTGTAGTACGCAGTTTTACGCCGGCAAGAAAGATCATCTCCCACTATGTATTCTCTTGCGATAAAGCATCGCGAGTGACCCTCCCGATTCTAAACTGAAGAGAATATAAAAGAAGTAAGCTTATCTAGATATATCTAAATGCACTCTCTACACTAGGATCGTTCAACCAGAGATTCTCGGGCTGTAGAGGACTTAAGAGAAACTCATTTGAAGGAAGACTTATTATGTTCTCCTCCGCAAATTGAGTGTCAAGCATTTCTCCAGAGTCGACTTCATTTGGACATGAATCAAACGCGACCGAAGTATCTTCAAGAAGGTCTTTGTCCACCGGTAGTATTCTCGATAGCCGCGTTTGTTTGTGGTGTTTGTGTTCTCGCTCGGAGATGCCTCTTTGCAGATCGGGCCCGAATAGCGACGTCGCCCGTGATTCTGCCCCAGTCATTGACAAGGGAAAGTCGAGGATGTCCAGTATCTTTGAAACATCAACTACCAAGTCTCCCTCTCTTTCGCCTTCATTTGGATGCGACATTGCGGATGAGCCTGCGGCCAGTTTCCTGAGGTTTGCCCCCTAATCCCAAACTCAGTTTAGTTCAGATGCGTGTTGAAATAATTGGCTTACCAGGCGCTTTGCGTATTCCCACCTGGTGCTCATCGTCGTGATAAAGTTGAGGCACTTATCGAAGTTGAGCCTGCTCTTATTGTATATTTCCTTGTCCTTGGATAAACACCTTTGTAGCTCTATTGTAGCTATGATGCCAAATGATAAATGATTAGTGGGTCAGAAAGCAAGAATTGTCGGGCAGTCATTAGATCAAGATAATGCATAGTCCACGATGTGTGAGTTGAAATTGCAGCCGCAGTCTTGTATAAGAAGGCGTCGGCAACATCCTGCACGCCATGGACCTGGAGGGTCAGGAGAAGTGGATGATTGAGGATGCAGAAAAGAGAATGGTAAATGATCCGTCCAAGTATCCAGGGTTGCCAATATGAATGGTGTTCCACTAGTATATCATGAGGAAGATTGGACACTCTGATCGATCGATAACGGTGAATCAGGTCTGTTGTATTGGCTTTATCCATCAAGGCACCGGTAATTTTCGAATATAAGGATCCGGAAGACCAAGGGAACATCTGATCCTGGGCAGGCGGTATACGGCATCTTCTTATATAGACCATTGCCAGATGCCAAATCTCGGATAGTTGCAGAGTGAAGCAGAAAACGCTACCTCGGCCATCTGGCCTCGATAAGACATTTGTTCTGCCATCTCTTGGGGTTCTTCTCATGTACGTGATGCTTACAAATGTTGCAAATGCATTTGCCACGCAGGTGTTTAGGGAAGACGATAAGCCCCGGTATCTCAATGGTCTTATCACGCTTCTGTGCCTCCAGGGTGTCGACTACATCTTGTTGCTGGTGTCTCTCTTTATCTTCTGGTATTCCAACAAGCACTGTTAAGGCGATGCAGGACTGCCAGCTGTGACTGCCGAGGTGAACACCTCGGAGGATGGAGGCCAGACTGTTGTGTATATGAAATTCGAGTATGTGCTGTAGTGCAAACTGAATCTCATGGTATTGCTCCATCCCTATGTGTATGCGTTTTATCAAAAAGGTATATAAATAGGTTCTCTTTGAGCAGGCCGCGCGATTATCACTTGATCTGATTGTTACCATCTCCAACCTCTTACAATTGTAAGTGTTATATCAGATATTAGCTTAACTTATGTTTTTTCTCACGATTATTTATAATTAAATATCTTAGAAAGATCATGTAATTTCAACCCTTCAGTCTTCATAAGTCTTCAGTATACATTACATAAATGCTCCATAGTAATAATTAAATGCAAAATTCAAAGATACTTTATTTGTATTATCTGCTCATTCATATGTAACATTTTCATGACTCAAGCTCCATGTAAACTCAATAGGGGTCGATATTTCCTCCGGGGTGGCATCCCCTCCCATAGTTTCAATGTGAGCCGGACGCTGCTCGACGTGAACTCGTGGCTCGAGATGAGAAACTGCCTGGCTCACATCTTCGACCGTGCCCATCCCAATCAGTTTCAAGTTCGACAGCCGCCGCCACCGGCGGTTCGCAAGTTCCGGAAAGAGCATCCGTTGGCTTTCTCGGATTGAAAAGGCTCCATACTCGGCGGGATGCGTGTTTCCTGGGTCGATGACAGAGCCACGGCAGCGATCGTCGTTGAAACTTGAGCTGCAGAGGTAGCGGTTCTCCAATGTCAGCGACTGGAGGGTGGTTGATGTATTTCGAAGTAATGAGGCCCAATCCTCCAGGACAGAGACTTCAGACTCTCGGGGGAACCTCCATCGCATTCCAGAGGCAAACTCTCTGTTGTTCTCATCGTCCTCAAGCCGCCCGTCCAGGTCCGCAAGTTTGCACAGATGCAACGTCTCGAGGCTAGTGAAGCGATGGCTAATTCCCGATAGAAAGGCAATGCCGTCAGGACCATAGTCCTGACCTGGGACCTCGATCAGATTTATCAGAGTGAGGTCTTTGAGCTGTTCCGGCTTGTTCAATAGGCCCAGCAAGACGTCCGTTGACATTTGTCCTCCAAGCTTCAAAGACGTCAATTTGGTAAGTCCACGGGCGAGTGCCCTGCCGCTTGCTGCGAGATTGGGAATCTCCCACCAGTTCTTTACGTATACAGACAGTGATTGAAGGTTGATGAACCGCGCAATCACATCAAATACACACCTGCCCCCATCACCGTCGTCGAAAAATACGTAGGGGTTCCCGTCGAATTCCTGATGCACAATGTTAACCCCGTGCAGTCTTCCCAGGTTGAGTGTTCGGACGTAGGAGGCCAGAGCTGCGAACCGCTCTGGCGACTCGTCAATCATTGTATCGCACGCGGCGAAGAACTTGCGCGTTCTTTCGACCAGGTCTTCATCCTCGAACTCGTCGGCGAACTCTAGATCCGCCCAGAGAAGAGGTGTGATCCTGGCATTCCATTCTTTGTTTAGTGCGCAGAGCGCGAGGTGAGAGTACGAGTCACAGAATGAGCAGATGAGGTCTTGTACCTCCTGGGGCATGGTCGGAATCCTAGCGAGCGCCTCGAGCTCGTAACGCTCGTAGTCACCGTCGGACCAGCTGTTCTCAGACTCATTGTTATCAGACTCGCCGTTCTGGGAGATTTGGTTGTTGTCTTCAGACATTTTGTTGTCCCGTGTTGGCAACCGAATTGTTTTCAGATGGTTTCTAAATAAACGAGGGTTTGTTAAATTTCGCGCATTTAAAATGTGCACGATGAGCTTCTTTTGTACTTTGGCTCATCGCCCCCGCGGCTGCCTAAAGAGCCAAGAAACAGGATCTAGACTATTGAAGTACCTAATGGTTATTAATGGGTGTGATGCGAAATACTGGCCACGGTTGGGGTTAATTGTTTCAGGAAGTTGCATGCAAGAGGTAATTTTAGGGAAGGGATTTCTGTCTCTGGACTGGATTCACGGCAATGGTGAAGCTGAGAGGGGGATGAGGAGAGTGACTGAAATAATTAGGCTATATTGATGACAGAACTAGAGAACTCTGATCGGCTAATATTGTCAGTTCCTTCACCCGATCATGCAGGTGAAATATGTCACAACAAAATCATTTCGTTTCACAAACTACCTCATTTTGAGCCGGAGGGATTCTGGCACCACTGCAGGGAAACTGGAAAATACGCAAGATTGTTGGACGTCGGCAATAGTCAAGAAAGATGTTTGTTGGAATTCATCTCGCACATTGTGTTTCAGAGTTGAGGCATTGGCCTGATATTCAAGCTTCACGTGCTTATTGGTTTCGTGCTATTGCCATCGCGACCCAAAAGCACCAGCATGACAACAAGAGCAAGGGTCGGATATGTGGAACAAGGCGTGAGAACTCGAGATTTAAATAATGCGCGAATTGAGACGATAAGCTGATACTCAATCCAGAGGCTATCAAGGAGCAAAAGGACGAGTCGCGTCGCCCCGCTTGGTGGAGGCTTTGCCTCGGGAGCATCTGGCTTCGGTACATGTGCCGGGGACGTGCATTCTGGAGAGGCGATGATGATCACGTTTGTTCAATGTGAGACACTGTTGTCGAGTCAGCTGCTGTTGATTATTCAGGCATAATCAAGGCTCCGTTACGTAAAGTGTCTGATAAGTCACCCACCATTTCCCAGCGCCGTGACTCGTGAGGGGACTCGAGTCTGGGTCAAAGGGAGGGCCATGATTCTGATTGGGAGATAAGAGATCGTCTGCCGTCGTCCTTTTGTGGTCTGAGTGCGGAGTCTTGCGCTATCTCGCCTGTCCCCCGCCAATAGAAGGATGTCTCACCAAGATAGCCAGCCACCTGCAGACCCAAGGCATGTCGGTCATATCAGTGGTGTCTGCGAGGGAGGCCTGTGCTGGGCCGGTGAGGCTGCAAGATAATCTCCCATGCCCCAGCCAAGATGTGCAGCTCGAAGCTTCCCCTCACCGGCCTTGACATTAGCCTCGAACGCAGTGCAAACACGGCCCTTCCAAGCCAGAACCGATTGAATCACCTAGTATCTGACAGCCCTCCATTGCCACACTGACCTTTGGTGTTTTGACAGTCATCTATCCCAGATGGCGCCGGATTCCGAGTACTCTCGCGCTCCGCTGGTAACCAGTGTCCTCGCCCCGGGCGACGTGCCAGACAATGTCGACGGCGCTTCGGAAGATGAGTTGGCGCTGGCAGCACTCGGATACAAGCAGGAGTTCAAACGCGAGTTCTCTGCTTGGACCACGTTTGCTGTCAGCTTCGCCGTGATGGGCCTGCTCCCTAGTATCGCCACCACCATGTCGTATGGTATTGGCTACGGTACGTGCGCGTCTCGGATAACCTCAAGGAACTGGAAGCTGATGGAAATTCAATAGCTGGCCCAGCCGCGAATACTTGGGGCTGGATCATTTCGGTTATTTTCATCCTATGTGTTAGTTCTCTCCCTCGCTTCCCGGGACTTGAATTAACGCTGGAATCAAGATCGCCGCCTCCATGGCCGAGCTATCCTCAAGCATGCCAACCTCAGGCGGGCTATACTATGCAGCAGCTGTGCTGGCAGGCCCAAAGTACGGACCACTTGCAGCGTGGATCACGGGCTGGAGCAACTGGCTTGTGCAAGTAACTGGGGCACCAAGCGTAGACTACGGATGTGGTAAGTGATAATAGTAAAACATTGGAGGAGGGTGAGGCTCACACCTTCTCAAGCTTCCATGATCTTGGCAACTGCTTCTATTATGCACCCAGAATACGTCCCTACAGATTGGCAAACATATCTCCTGACAACCCTCATCATGCTGTCACACGCATGTCTGAGCAGCATGCCAACACTCTGGATCGCCAAGTTCAATTCCGTTGGGACGATTGTCAACATCATCTGCCTCGCCATTGTCATCATCACCATCCCTGTCGCAGCCATCACCAGTCCAAAGTTCCAGCCGAATGAGGTCGCGTGGGGAATCCAGAATATGACTGATTTCCCAGATGGCGTGGCTCTCATGATGAGCTTTCTGGCAATCATTTGGACAATGTCTGGTACGCACAATGCACCATTTCTCAGAGATCTACTCTAGCTCGTGCTATAATACGTTATCTTCTTGTTGCGCCTTTGTCTAATTAAACCTAGGATACGATGCCTCTTTTCATCTCGCTGAAGAGTGCTCCAACGCAGCCATAGCCACGCCGCGATCCATTATCATGACAGCACTCTCGGGGTCTATCCTGGGATTTTTTCTCAATGTGATCATAGCTTATACCATCACCGATGTCACCGCAGCGATGGAGAGTGATCTTGTAAGCTAGCCTTAGAAGAACATCGATTGCGAGAACTAACACTTTGTTATTAGGGACAACCCTGGGCGGCTTACTTGCTTCAAGTTCTTCCCGAAAAGACCGCCGTCGCCTTGCTTGCGCTGACCATTATTTGTGCTTATTCTATGGGCCAAGGCTGCATGGTGGCAGCCAGCCGCGTCTGCTTCGCTTATGCCAGAGACGATTGCTTTGGCGTTCTAAGCCCCCGCCTCAAGGAGGTGAACAAACGAACGCTGACTCCGGTCAACGCTGTGTGGTTCAACACGTTGATCGGGGTGTTGCTTAACCTGCTCATGTTTGGGGGTGTGGCAATAAGTGCCGTGTTCTCCATTGGGGCGGTAGCATCGTTTGTTGCCTTCACCACTCCCATCTTTATCAAGACTGTCTTCGTCGGGAACAAGTTTCGACGAGGGCCCTGGCATCTTGGAATTTTCAGCATCCCGTGTGGAATCCTCTCTTCGGTCTTTGTGTTCGTCATGATACCGATCCTATGCTTCCCCGTCGTCAAGGGAGACAACCTGACGCCTGACTTGATGAATTGGACATCTTTGGTCTATGTAAGAGGTGGAGGCTTCCCTTTCTCCCAGAAGTCACGCTAACAATAAAGCAGGGCGCCCCGATGCTCTTCCTTATTCTTTGGTTCTTCATTGACGCTCACAAATGGTTCAAGGGACCAGTAGTAAATATTGAGGTTAGTGCCAACATGATGTATTTCCAAGTTCCTTGCTAATTCAATCCAGCATCATATGATAAACCAAGAATCGGGCATTCTGCCAACAGTGACAGGTGTCGATCCCCTCAACGGTGTATCCGAGACCAATGGTCCAAATTCTAAGAAAGATCCGGAGTTGGGAAGTGAATAAATACTGGAGGCTACGAGACCCAATTGAGTACTTGAATAAGCGCAAGATGGCATGGCAATTGCATTTTATTCACGGCATGATATTCTTCTAGAACCAGTTGGCTCGTTTTCTCTTGCCAGATACTCAGTATTTGGTCGGTTTTTCTAAGTCCTAGCATCCGATTCGGCTTCCATGTGTGTCAGAAGTAAGTAAGAATCCTCTCTCATTGAGGGTGTTCATCTGATATCCTTTGATAAACCCATACGAAATTGCAAATTATGGCATGGCTTTCATTGTATACATATCTAGATTAGCTACTTCGCAACATGTAGTAAGTTTCCCAGTCCTCAAACGCCATGCCGCCAGACCTTTCTTCGCTTCGCAAATCATCCAGTACTTGATAGTTCTTGTAGATTGCTTCTTTGACCGTTTTAGAAAATCTTTACATTAGATCTTTTATATACGTATAAGATGTCTCTAGGTGGAGTCATATGCGAACCTGGAAAGAGCACAAATCATTTAACAAGAGTTACCAGCCCATCCCCGTTGGCTACAAAAAGCAGGACCTGACAATCTCATACCTGCACCTATGTAGGCATAAGCTACTAAACAATGAACCTACTTGCAAACTCATCAGGATCGATTATTAGCTAGAAGAGGCGACATGGTGAATCCACAGTGTAAGAAATCGCCGACGCTCCTTGTCGCCGAATACACCGAGTCATCTTACATCTTTCGGTCTTTTGTCCAACATGAGTGATGTTTAAATCCGACCATATCTTGTTATAAAAAGACTGTCATTTTTATAGTAACATCAACCATAGACAGCCCAATCAAAAAAATACTGTTGCTCATTACAACTCCCTCGGCCTCACCCTCGCTACCAGAGACTCCGCGACAATGGCAGAATCTAAGTTGAACGTCATTGTTGTTGGCTCGGGACTCGCAGGTCTGGCTGCTGCCAGTGTGCTTCGAGTCCATCACAATGTCACTGTCTATGAGCGCGGCAGCCCGAACGTCGCAACTGGTGGACAGGGCATTGTATTGTACCCCAACGGGATCAAGATACTGAACTCGGTTGGGTTTGATGGCTCTCGCGCTGGTGGCGTACCCTGCCACGGGTATCGTATGCTTGACAAGGATGGAAAGCTACTGGAGGACATCCCAATTGACTTCAAGGGTCGTTGGGGAGCCGACATGTTGATGATGAAGCGCTCCGATTTTCGCGATGAGCTTATGCGTCTCGCAACTACGCCGGCGACAGAGCCTGGCATCAAAGGAGAACCGGCGCAGCTAGTTTTTAATACTAGTGTGGTTGACCTTGACCCCGAGGCCGGTACTATCTGTTTTGCGGATGGCTCGGTGGTGAAGGGCGATGTTATCATTGGTACGATTGATGAATACTTCTTGAAAAGATATGCCCCAAAGCCGTTCTCGCTGACTTAACGCTTGAAACTAGTTGCTGACGGTATCCATTCCACCCTCCGCGAGCGCATCACAAAGACTAAAGGCCACGTTCCTAAGAAGACCGGGCTGACGCTCTTTCGTGTCGCTGTTTCGACCAAAGATGCCCAGGAGGCAGGAGGCAGCTTGCCCGAATGGTGGGATGATGGAAAAGACGAAAACCGTCTAAACATTATGCAGCTCGATGATCCCCTAAGAATCATTGCAAATTATCCCATTCGCCAAAAGAGCTATCGCAACTTGAGTTGCCTTTTCCCGATGCATGAAGCCAGACAAGGCATTCTCGAGACTTGGTATAAGGACGGCGATAAGGAGGAGATGCTGCAAACGTTTGATGGATTTGACGAGAAAACCCGTAAGATCCTCAGGTGATTATGTAGTTCTGGTCTGTCTTGTTCGTATAGTTGCTAACAATCATTTCAGCATAGCTACAGAAGTCAAAGTGTGGGATCTCGAAGAACTGGACACCCTCCCCAATTGGCATCGCGGACGGGCCCTGGTGATCGGCGATGCTGCCCATGCCATGACACCACTGCAGGGCCAGGGGGCCAATATGGCTATAGAGGATGCCGATAGCCTCCGACTTCTTCTACCTGGAATGTCTCGGGCGGAGATTGAGTCTGCTCTTCAAAAGATCGACAGCATCCGGCGCCCACGCGCAGCAAAAGTCTTGCAGGACACTCGAAAGCAGACGAAGAGTACGACCTTGCAGGACAGATTGGCCACAATGGACTACAACTGCAGTTACAACGGGATCTATGAAGCCCTTGAGGAGGCATTGTCTTCATAGACGGAATGGAGAGTTGTCAGACAAGACCTCGCAACACTAGCTGGTGTCTGAAATTGTTCCAATTAGGAAGCTCAACGCCCTGGACATAGATGGGGAAATGGAAATTTGGTTTCAGGATATTAATTCAACATAGATACAGATGGGTTATTGAATGTTTTTCCGGGGGGGGGTTTAACTTAATACTCAACCAACAAGATAGAGATATACAACTATAAGGCAAATGCATGCACAACATAATGCAGTGAACCAGACGTAGGCTTTGGTTACACAATAATCGTGTCTTTCATTCCACTCCTGCAGCACGTTTGATCTCAGATCCCCTTCGCCTTTCATTACTCTTTTGCCCTGCAACAAAGAACCAGCAGACCAAGGTCAGCTCCCTGTCGGAATGTCGGGTATGTACCTTCCCCACACCCCGCATTTTGCATTTGTCGGATATGTACCTCTCCACACTCCACATGCTTTCCGCCGGCATATCCGACAAGCCGGAGGTGGACCAATCTGGGAACTCAAGAAATCGGGATTGAATCTTGTATCTAGGATCTGCCTACCCCCGACCCTCCGAGCTCTCCGCACAATGGAGGCTTTCTCGCCTCCCGCCAGTTCAAGAGGACCTAGGAAACGCCTGAGGGTCAACGAGGCATGCACTCCATGTCGGGATCGCAAGACGCGCTGTGATGCTCGGCATCCTGTCTGCCGCGCATGTGAGAATCGCGGCGTCGGTCAGCACTGTTCGTACGATACACCACGCACGAACCTGCGTCGCCGGACTCAACAAGCCGAACCTGTGCCATCGCAACCGGCGCCTGCCAGAGGTGTTTCTCCTTCAATGACCGCTGCACGACCGGACACCACAGACAAGCCCCATGGCCACCATAATGAGGCATCACCAGACCAGCCCTGGTCCTCCATCCAAAGCGATGGCCTGGCAACTTTCGTCGGACGTGAGGACAGCTCTGTTTATGGCCCGTCATCCACCATTGTATTTGTCCAACACGTTTTATCCGACGAAGCTTCTTGTGAGACAGGCCTTCCCCCTCCCACGCCGGATAGCCACTATGACAAAGTCCACATCCCCGAGAGGATGCCGGAGCCAAACGACGGAATGGCAGTGCTGCCTCGTCGACACAGCGCGGACGATTTTATCGCCTGTTTCTGGGACTTCATCCACCCCATGTTCCCGGTCCTACACAAACCCACCTTTACTGAGAGGTACGAACGGTTTTGGGTCTTAGAAAGCAGTGGCCAAGTTTCTCAACTGTCCCAGCACGCGGCCGATGAGAATAACCTCTTTCTGTCAACGCTGAATCTTGTCCTTGCCCTCGGTTGCAAGTTTAGCAACCTCATTCCAGATAAACAGAAATCCTCTGTGGGGGATGACTTCTACAAGAAATCCCGTCAACTGTTCATATTCGATGTGCTAGACTCGGCATCCCTGCCTTTGGTGCAGCTTCTCGTCTTGAACGGGGTTTATCTCCAGTCCACTCCATATGCGAACCGTTGCTGGAACGCAATAGGCCTTGCCATTCGCGTGGCGCAGAGCCTTGGGCTACACCTGGAAGCTAGAGTCAGCCAAAACAGCTCACAAGTGGAGCGGGAAATCATGAGGCGGGTTTGGCATTCTTGTGTCAACTTGGATCGGCGAGTACAGCCCTTCTCCCCTGACGATATCTTAAATGCTGACTGCTATTTAGTTTGCTTGCCATGACCTTTGGGCGGCCAACAATGGTACAAAGGCCTAATAGTCTTGCCTTGCCTGCCATGGTTGATGACGAATACCTAAACGATGCAGGCCCTTCTGGGAAGCAACCCTCGGGGAAGCCATCGCGCCTCGGTTTATTTGTCTCATCTTGCACACTTTTGGAACTACTTGAAGAGGTATTGGCATTTTTGTCTAGGCACGAGCCTGTAACCAAAAACATGCAGAGCAAAAGTGCAGCCAAGCCACAAAGGGGAGAAACCCTGACTAGCATTCTAAGTCTGAATCGTCGCCTGAACGAATTCGCAAGCACGATTCCTGGATACCTGAAGCTGTCTGATAAGGACATAACGCCCACCTCATCGGTGAACCATGTTGCCTTGCAGCAACACGTCTTGCATTGCCGGTAAGAATGAAGATAACTATTCTTAGAGGTAAAGTCTGATGATCTCTCCTAGGTTCTTACTTACACGGCTGTTGCTTCTCCGTCCCCTGCTTTTAAGCACGATCGTTGGAGAGAAAATATCTCCGATGGACTCCCTGGATAGCATTGGGCAACCGCTTCTGGACCATGCAGTGATCCAGCAGTGTTGCGAGCTCTGTCTACAGACGGCGTACGGCCTAGTCGACACGCTGTATGGGAACCTGGGCACCTTATACCGCACGTCGGGGTGGCATACCGTTTATTGTAAGTTGAAGATGGACCCATTTTGTCATGAGAGCTGATAAGTTAAACTCCTAGTTACATTCTCTGCCGCGATCGTCCTGGTCGCCTCTTTGAAATGCGAACTTCTTGACCTTCAACCGGCTGACGAGGCATTTCGAACTTGCTGGTCCCGTTCCTTGTCTATTTTGAAGCACTACGAACACCAGGTGCATTCGGCGTCCCATGCAATCCGGTCATTGACCGAAATTAGACGTCGTGTTTTCCAGTCTACCGGCTCAGGTGAGATATGACGCTTCCTCTGGCATATTCTGAGCTCCCCAGTACTCACACACTATGTCACAGCACTCAATCACAAAATAGGAGATATCTCACCTACGCCTCCTGTGGACAACAACTTGGCTGCCCTCTTTGACTCAAATTCTTTTGATATGTCGACGAGTGGCGATGCCTCCTCCACTAGCGACCCTATTACTGAGACCTTTTTAGCCACTGATCTCATGCATGCCGAATGGCTGGATTTCTTCACATGAGAATGTGAAAGCGCAACCTATACATAGTCTGAATGAAATGGAGAATAATATTTGACGAAGGGCATAACTCACTTTGTAAGATTTTAAGCTGAGACGGAAGGATCATGTAAGAAGCTTTGAGCATACTAATTGCATCCTTGTAATAATTTGTATTTATTTTAAACATATCAAACACAATTCGTGATCTGTGGTACCTTTAGTGTATAGAGTGATTTCAGACTACATTGAACATCATCGGTCTTGAGTTTTGAGTTTCTTCTCGTACCTAGATGAGAATGATAATACACCATTCTATAGAGTAAGAATATGACAAGTAGGAGAAAAGGGATGGAATACATGAACTAAATTCAATATTTGCATTTATATCTTCGCTCCAGCAATAATGTCATACCCGCTTCCCAACTCAGCCACCGCCTGGCTGCACATAGAAGCCACATCAACGTTGGCGATGATTCCGTTCCGGCGATTTATATCTGCCTCAATCCTGTCCAAGTTATCCTCCAGCCCAGGTACCAGCCACTCGTAGGCGTTGCCTATGTGTCTACTACTCTGGACCAACCAGGATCCCCGTTCCCGTCTCACGGCATCGAAAGTCGCGAACGCATGCTCGGCATCGCGGCGGGTGACCACCCTCTTGTCAGAGAGGAGCTCTGCAAGAACAGCGGCATCCTCGATACAGAGTCCTGCACCCGCACCGTGGTGAGGCGAAGTCGCATGTGCAGCGTCTCCAACAAGACATACGCCATCCTTTGCAAACGTCGGCGGTGGATTGTCACCCAAGTCGAATATCGCCCACTGCATTTTGACGACGAATTAGTCGATTGGATCAAGCCCCAACAACAAGTGTAACTTACCGTATCCAGTTCCTGTGGTGAAAGACGAAGCAGATCCGTTACCGTGTTTCCAAAGTCGGCGAAATCGCGCAGAGCGTCTTCCCGCGTGGCTGGTGCCGTGAGTCTGACTCGGTCCGGCCACTCTTTCTCGGTTGTATGGAAGGCAACAATATTGACTGTCTGACCTTGATTGACAGGGAATGTCAGGACATGGCCACCTTTGCCCATCTAGTTTTAGTTAGCAAATGTTTAACAGCAGTAGGAGACTCATCCCTTAAAATCGACTTACATGCATGCAGGCGTTCTCTGCCTTCTCTGAACCAATGACAGCCACCGCATCTGCCATTGGTATTAAGGCGCGATAGGCGTACTTGTGGGTGTAAGAGGGAAAAGCGCATTCGTGGTCGATGCCAAACATGAGCTGACGGACCCTCGATTTGATTCCATCGCATGCAATAATTGCATCTGCCCGCGCCGTAGAGCCGTCGGCGAAGAATAGTGTGTATACTCCGTCGCTTCCTCTCTCATATCGCTCCAGCTCCTTTCCAAATGACGATATATCGCTTGGAATCATCTTGACCAGCTCATCAAGAAAGTGTGCTCGATGGACCCCACGCTGGCCCAGATCATTTGTAATGGAGAACGCTGGTTTCTTTGATGCGACCTCCTCCTTCTGCTGACCGTTGTAATAGTCAAACCACACATGTTGCTTCGAGGGCCAGACGTTGCGGGTAGAGACCTTCTCAAAAGCATCGTGGATGCCTGGGTGGCATATCTTCATCGACTGCAATGCATTTGACGTGAAAGAAACCCCCGCCCCAATCTCACCAAACTTGCGTGCACGTTCGTAGATGTGGACTGAGACTCCACGGTGGTGGAGGGCAATGGCCAAGCTCAGACCCGAGATTCCTCCCCCAATAATGGCATAGTCGAGTCTTGATTCCGATCCCATATTTGAAGATTGTTGTTGTTCACAAGTCGGTGTTGGCAGTTTGGCTTTCTCAACGCGTGACTAGAGATATATGTATCATGAATATCCCACTGGCTCAGGCGTCTATGTCATGATGTAAGGAAACAGCTTAGCTTCGTTCTCATCGGGTCGAGTTTCGGGTCGGTTCGGTTCTTGGCATTTTGCACACTCGAAGCCAGCCGACCCGAAACCCGCCTTCGTTAGTACCCGACAGGCTGGTCTAGATTCCAACGCCAGCCGCGGGGTGCATTGATTTTGGCCGGGGTATCGACTCGCTTGTCTTCGATGCGGAGAACTTAATGATCAATCCAGGCCTCAGGATTGGCACGGTGATTTGACCCCAGGTCTTGGCGTCCTGATCAATGCTAGATCGTAGTCTGATTACACGACCAAGGGACACTACCCGCAGGAATGCTATTGAGCGGGTGTGCATGGCCTAGAAATGTACACACATATATAGTCAGGCGGGTGTCCATCCTTGTCTCACTCTCTGCCCTGAGCCCCTAACTAAAGACCAGTGCGAAGTCACTGTCTATGCCTGCACCTCTACCACCTCCTTCCCATTATTTTCACTGATTAACTCTTCTACCCGACCGATCGAGTTCCGATTATCATCGAATTGAACCTCAGCGATGCCGGGAGCCATGAGTGGTAATCTGGATATCAAAGCGGATATGGGCACCGAGACGAAGCAGGTTGAAACGGCCGAGTCAGTATCTACGTATCAAAAATCATCAATGCCATGCTAATACCTTCAAGGGGCGCGTCTCAAGAGTTAGTGTACGATAAGGTCGCCGAGGGCCGCCTCCGCAGAAAGATCGACCTTATGATCCTACCCACGGTCTGCATCCTCTATCTCTGTTGCTTCATCGACCGCGCAAATATCGGTACGTACCTTGATTTTCTGTAAATTCAATCAACCTGCGTGCTAATGTGACTTCCTTGTAGGAAACGCACGCATTGCCGGCATGGAGAAGGACCTTGGAATGGTGGGCTACGACTACAACGCCGCCCTCTCCATGTTCTACGCCTCGTACATCACCTTCGAACTACCCGCCAATATCCTCTGCAAGATCGTCGGGCCTGGCTGGTTCCTACCGCTTCTGACCGTCCTTTTTGGCGCCTGTTCTCTCGCTTGCGGCTACGTCACTACCGGGCCTCAAATGTTTGCCGTGCGCTTCCTCTTGGGCCTTTTCGAAGCTGGCATGCTCCCTGGCGTCGCATACTATCTCTCCAGGTGGTACCGCCGTTCCGAATTAACAGTTCGTTTGGGTGCCTACTCAATAACGGGGCCACTGGCCGGTGCGTTTGGAGCGCTCATGGCTTCGGGTATTCTGAAATTGGATTCCTTTGCTGGCGTCAGCAGCTGGCGCATGATCTTTGTCATCGAAGGCCTCGCCACCATTATCTTGGGGCTAATCGGCTTCGTAACTCTGACTGACCGGCCCGAAACCGCGCGCTGGCTCACTGCCGAGCAAAAACATCTTGCCGAGGAACGAGTCCGCTCAGAGCGTGTGGGCCAGACCAAAGTGCTGGACAAGATCGATAAGAAGAAACTCCTCCTCGGCATCAGGAATCCCATCACCATGAGCACTGCCGTAATTTTTCTCTTTTGCAACATCACCGTCCAGGGTCTCACCATCTTCATGCCAACCATTATCAAGAGCATCTATGCCAACTACACTGTCATCCAGCAGCAGTTGTACACTGTCCCTCCTTATGCATTCGGGTTGGTTATCACATTTCTCGTCCCGATGTTCGCCTCGATATATGACCGTCGGCAAATCTTCATCATTATGTCAGCTCCCCTAGGCATTACCGGATACATTATCTTCCTAGCTACGAAGAATAGTACTGCACGCTATGCCGCAACGTTTCTTATCGCCTCGTCTGCCTTCTCGCTAGGAGCTCTCACCAACGCTCAGGTGTCAGCCAATGTTGTTTCCGACACGGCGCGCTCCTCAGCCATAGGCTTCAACGTCATGCTGGGGAACATTGGCGGGCTCATCTCCACCTGGTCCTTCTTGCCATTTGACGGGCCAAACTACCCTATTGGAAACGGTCTGAACTTGGCCACGCAAACTGGCACGTTGATTGTGGCGAGTGTCATGTTAGTGTGGATGAGGAGAGACAATGTGAAGAAGGCGAGGGTAGAGGAGGAGGAGCTGGAGAAGATACAAGGGTTGTCTGCGGAGGAGCAAGAGGACCTTGATTGGAAGCACCCTTCGTTCCGATGGAGGGAGTAGGGGCTCTTTGTACATTAGTAGGGCCATAATGTTAGTGAGGTGCAACTCGGTAGTGCTATTGAAAGAGAGATGTAGGGCATAGCAACAGATTTTCCTCCCCGAGTACACTGCGGTGACGTGTACGGATCTTGGTATGTTTTGGCCGACTTCCAGGCTTGTATTGAAGCTACCCTTATAGTCAACCTTTCCTTTCCTTTAGGAGGTTAACAAATTGCCAATAGTCCCCAGCGACTCAGGAGGCCACGACCAAGAACATAAGCTCCCAAGGTAAAGACGTATGATGCGCCACTAAAAAGAATCAAACCCTGAAATGCTTTGCCTTCAGCTCCCAGGAGAGCACCACCGATGGGGATCCCAATAAGTGTACCAAAACTGGCCAGTGTGTACGCTGTGCCGTTTCGCTTCCCGTAATCCTCGGTCTTGCAGACCAGTCCAATCGCTACTGGTGCTAGACTGACAGATGCTCCTGACCAGAATCCAAAAAGGACCGCGAAGGATATAGTCATGGCCTGATTTCCATATGCAGTATACCACAGACAGAAGATGAATATCATGCAGAAGAACGAGATTGCGCACATTGTGTTCATAACTCCAAACCGGTCTGCGACATAACCCGGGAGTGCTCGACCTGGGATGGCCCCGGCGTTTAGATAAACATTTAGCATATAAGCTTGATGGTGACTGAATCCAGATTGAAGGCCGTATGACGATATATATGAAATCGGGATGAAGATGGAGAATTCGACAAGCACTAGTGCCAATGTAATTGTGCCGTACATTGGGTCTGCTAAAGCTTTGAGGTCAATGGAGGAACCTGCTTTCTTGTTTGGAGGCAGTCGCTGGCGTAACAGACAACAAGCCACTACCAGATGGATTGCACTTATTAAAGCCACAACTCTGATGGCCCAAGGAAAGCCAATACGGGGTGCAAGGTAAAGTATCACGAGAGGAATCCAAACCCCTCCTATACCCCCCGACGTACAAGCAATGCATGTTGCAAGTCCACGTCTTTTCTGAAACCAATGACCGACTGTGGATAATCCCGGGTTGTAGAGGAAGGAAGCTGAGATCCCTCCAAGAACACCAAATGAGAGCAGGTACTGGTAGAATTCTAGCGTGGTGAAGATATCAGTATTGCCATAAATCTCTGATGAAAGGATGATTACCTCGGGAGAAGCTCATGCAAATCATTGACGCAATCATTCCAACTGAGCCAGGAATAATGAGCCATCTGACATCGTAGGAGTCAAAGATCGGACCTTGCATCTTTGTAAGTTCATATCTCCTACTCGTGGGAAAGATCACTGACCAATTTGTGCACCACAGAAAAACAGGAAAAACGCATAGGTGCTCAAAACCCAACCTGTTGTAGATTTCGGAATTCCTTGTAGGTCATGTTCGCTCAGCCATGCTTCCAGAATTGCCAATGAATTCAGCATTCCCATTGATGGAATCATTGCGCACCAAGCTCCCAACACGACCATCCATGCTCTGAGACCGCCTTCTGGGTACTCCTCTGTCGCTTCTTCCAGGCTATCAGTCGAGTCTGCGTTGCTTCTCCTAGAAGCGCAAACTCCACTTGTTGATGGCACGCGACCAACAGGAATAGCCGCGGAAGATTCCATGGGTGTGCCCTTTGGAAGCGCTTTGAGAAAGAAAGTGTGAGTGTAGGCTCTTTGTAGTTGTTGAGATCGGCCAATTTAAAGGTATCCAAAGGATAAGCAATCGCGGTAGGTTTTTATGCTTAGATATCTTAAGGGCCCGGGTTTGCGCCGGCAATTCGGAGTATCTGAAATGGCGATTAGAAATCCGTTCCTATTTAAGTAAAACCAAAAGTGCCGAGGAGATGCACTCTCAACATGCTGTGTAAATAGAATTGTTGAGTGGGTCAGTGAGATGTGTAATATGCCTCAAGGCGTGTTTGGCATCATTTTCTGGATACTTGTGGCCTCAGAAACTAGCCAATTCAAGCCGCAGACGTGCAATTACAATCCCAATAAGTGACGTAACGCAATATAGTTATGTAGTAACTTAGGGAGATTGGTATTATTTGCTTGGCCCTCTTAATGTGATCTATATGTGTCTAAAATGAGAAGAGCAATTTACACACATTAGACAGACGAGCGCCATGATGAAGACCAAGATACTTGGTATACTACAGCCCTGTTGAACGTACAGATAATGCGTGCAGCAAGATTACAGATAGAGGCTTTGTATTCAGGTATCATTCCTTTTGATACTCTTCAAGAATATCAACCTACCCCTAAAGGTAAGTGGTATCTCTCCTAGTAAAATAAGTTTCTATAGAAACATCTAACCAGAGAAGCTATTATTACCTACTAGCTTTGCCGGTGTTTACTTAGAGGCATAGATTTTTTTCTAGGAGTTTCGGTCTTACGCATCCTACTAGGTATGCTCAAAGCTCACATCATTCCCGAGGGAATTCTCATCGTGAGTATGTGGCATCCAGCACCAAAGTTTAACCATCGGCCAATGAGCCGCATTCTCTGCTTCCACCAAACAATTAGATGGCTCAGTCGATTTGCGGATCTTGCAGTTATCATAGCCTCGCAAGCCATGAAAGATGGAGTTTACACGGTATCGTCTGGGTAAAGTCCGATTAACTGACAATACCCTCTGCGGGCTGGACGCGAGGATTCTATTGTCTTCCATAATCCTCAGGCGGAGGAGAAATGGGGACGTTTGGGAGCATGTATTTGTTCTCAAGTCTATCCTTGCCAGCAACTCCTCTACGCTAACCGTGTGTCGTATAATCCTGGTAGTGAGATCACCGATAGCCACGTTTCTTTACGTGCCGTGCCCCACCTAACCAGTACGAAACAGGGCAGGTGATGATGCCCTGTGTCCGTTTCGTATCACCATAATGGCATACTAGATTGGACTCTTTTGTCATTCATCTGCAAAACTAACACAGATCTCCGTAGTATCTCATTCGTAGGAGCCAGGCTTGACTGAGTCTAGCCATGCCGTATTTGGTCCTGGGTCTCCGGTAAAGCTATGCCTAGCACTCCGCTGGACAGGCTTCGAAGCTGACAAGAATCCCTTAGGTCCGAATAAACGGTTATGTCCGGTCCTATAATCACGGCTTGCTCACGACACCTTAAGGGCGGGCTATAGATGGCCCCGAACTTGAGTGAGTGTGTATAAAATAGGCGGCATCTTGCCTTAGTTGCAAGTCAGCCTTTGCTAAAGATGACACTTCACTCTACGTCTCTGTTTAAACAACACTTGTCATCCACCAAGATCCATCATGATTGTCTCTACGCTTCTTCTACTTCTGCTGCCCGTGGCGAGCGCCGTTGGTGGTCCCAACTTCTCCATCATCGATACTCCCTCGGGGCCCCTTCTGCCCTCCAACGACCCATTTTACATGAGCGAGCCAGCAAACCTCTCGGCTTACTCTCTGGGTGACCTGATCCGTATAAGGGCAGCGCCGGGTAATCTGAGCGCCATGTTCAATGCTTCGGCCGTCTACAACATTATCTACCGCACCGAAGATAGCCTTGGACATCCACTTTGGTCCTTTTCAACCGTCTTCAGTCCTCTCAACCCCTATTCATCCACACCTACCAGCAATCATTCGCAGTATGGAGCCTTCTCGAAGAGCAAGGGAACTGCATTTCTGTCCTACCAGCTCCCTTACAACACGCCAAATGTTGACTGTTCTGTTAGCGTGCTGATGTATGATCCCACGCAAATAGCGACGCTAGGGGATGTGACGGCGGCGCTCCAACGTGGCTGGTTTGTATCCGTACCCGACTTTGAGGGCCCTTTCGCGGCGTCTACAGCTGGAGCTCTCGAGGGAAAGGCAATCCTGGATGGTGTGCGCGCCGTCTACTCCCTTGCTGCCCTAGACGGCAGCCAGCTGGCAGGACTCGAGCCGTTGGGGCTAGACGCGGCACATGCAAGCTTCTCCCTTTGGGGTTACTCCGGTGGCGCCATTTCATCTGGCTGGGCTGGAGAAATGCAACCGTACTATGCTCCAGATCTGCAGCCTTACTTTGCAGGTCTCGCTATCGGTGGCATGCCTCCGGGGTTCGTGGCAACTGCCGACCTCCTCGACGGAACGTCGTCTGCCGGACTGCTCCCCAATGCGCTGCTCGGGCTGACCCAACAGTTCCCCGCAGCCCGGGAGTTTCTGGTATCGTCGCTGAAGCAGGAGAAATCCCAGGACTTTCTTGCCGCTCTGAACATGTCTGCTCTCCAAGCCTTCGTCGCTTTTTACAACCAGAGCATCTTTGATTACTTCGTTAATGGGCGGGACGACTTCACCCATCCCATCCTCACCTCCCTGTACGACGGCCAGTATGACCTCCGCTTCAAGGGCATCCCGAGTGTTCCCGTCTTTGCCTACAAGGCTATCGGTGATCAGTTCAGCTCAATTCAGCTCTCGGACCAGCTGATTACTGAATACTGTGACGGTGGAGCGGTTGTTCTCTATGAGCGCAACACAGTCGGAGAGCATCTTTCCGAGCTCCAGAACGGACATTCTAGATCACTGGACTGGCTAGACAGCTTGTTCAATGGGACCCATGCTGAGATTTACGGAACTTCTGGGTGTGTCATCAAGAACGTTACCGTCGTAGACCCTAATGGGCCTCCTCTGGCACAACTGTAGTCGGAAACTAGGCTCGGCATGGATTTGAGGTGATTTGGTCTCTGCAAGATACTCGGCTAGTCCATATTATATAATTTCAGTACAATTAGACTCAAACAATCTTTTTCTATTTCAATTCTGATCTTGCTGACCTCTGACTGTCCTGACCGATCATACCATCAGTGTAGCCATCTCAATAAGCCAAACCGACAACAGCATGTCGACGTCGGATACACCCACGTCAATCGGTACCCTCTTTGCTGACAGCAGTCTTAGAAGCAAGAGTACACCCAAGCGAACTAGCAATGTAAAAGTACACTGGCCATTGACTACATCTCCTTTGCAAGCCAAATAGTAGAAGCAATACCGTCGCCCAATGCGCGCCTCTCCCCGCTGCCTAGGCTGTCGGACTCAACGGCGATGACAAGGTCGGATAAGCCAACTCCTCTCTCTCGTAAACGCTTAATATCGTGTTCAGTCTCGGCAGCACGTACTACCACTGTGGTACGGGTAGACCCCTGAGGCACACCAAGATCAAGGGTATGCGAGCTTTGCCCAACCACAGACTTAATCTCGGAGCCGAGAATCTTGGAATAGAGGTTGGTGTATTCCGTGTGCAGGTGCTTAGGCACCAGGATCTCACAGGCCGCGATGCCAGTAGCACCGCAAGGATGTGTCGTCTTCTCCTTGTCCAAACTTGGTACCCTATTGATTCGGGGGGTGACATCATGGCAAAAGAATGGGACGTCAATTCTGCCATTCACGAAAAGGTCCTCACTAGGCGTTTTATCGCCTTTGGAAAACTCCGGTCGAGTAACCTTCCAACTGATCTCTGTACCGTCGGCTTTCTTGCGTGATCCCGTGATTGGCTTGCCGAATTTGACCCCAAGACCAGCATCTTTATCCGGTCCCTCAGATAGACGTTGGTTAACCACTCCCACTGATTCTTCAGCAGATTGGGTAGTATCAGTAATTGCAAAGTCGATAAGCCCTGGGGTTTTGGCTCCCCAGAATCTCATTGGCAAGGTCTCATTATCTAGAGAAGGCGGCGTGTCATACCAGTTGAAGAACTCTAGGTAACTGCCATCAGCAAAGATGACTAACTTATTGCGCGATGGCTGGCCATCATGATAGCCTCCGGGGGTAACAGTAAAGTTGTCAGTGACCCAGGCAGGCAGGTTTTCAAAGAATTCGGTATCAACAAGAAGAACTATGTGATCCTGTTGTGTAGAAATCATGGTGTAGGCTGTTGATTGAGGTTGGTTGAGGTTGGTTGAGGTTGGTTGTTGGGCGGAACTTCCGTGTTTACTGCCGTCATCGCTCCCCAATCATCGACACGTGATTTCGCTCGAGAACAAACAGAGGGCCAGATTTAGGAAAGTAGGGCCTCTGTTGATTGGTGGATTGGTCGTTAGGTAGGGAACCACCCCACTACATGTAGACTTGCGTAATAATCACTATAAATGCCCTAAATCTTCACCTAAAAATCATCGCAAGGGGGGGAGTTCACTGTGCCTCAGATACATGTATGAAAGCAGATATCCCATGATAGAAACAGAGACTTTGCTCTAATTGTTGGGCAAAAGAAGTATCAAAAAATGTTAGTTTCTACGCTTCTTTCTCTTCAAGTTATAGCTCCTGGCGATTGGCAAATGATCTCCATTTTGATATCGGAAAATCAAAGTAACTCTTCATCGTCCACGATTATGTTTAGAAATCCCTGATAAACCCAGACGTAGCGAAATAAAAGAGATATTCGAGCTCAACTTCCCAACGATTTCTCTGTGCTTACGGTTCTTACTGGGTTACTTCAATCCAGCTCCCGGCCATGGCCAAATTTGATTACTCAGAACCGCCACTTCCGGCTGGCGTTATTCTTGCCCACTGTAAGCGGATTATTAATCCTCTTTGTTCCTTTCAACACAAACGACAGACTGCATCTTGCCATTATTATCATGCCGTTGAGGCGAAGATCTTGTGAGGCTTGTTTCAAAAGCCGTCGAAAGTGCGATTTTGGCCGTCCTTCATGCAACACATGCCAAAGAACGAAAAAAGATTGCCGTTATTTGCGAGCGCCTATCAGCAACCCATCCAGCACGAAGTCAACCCCAAGGTTATCAGAATGGCCTTCACACTTAAACACTGCCAACAGCCAACCTATGACGGCCAATACGTCTTGGCTAGATGTCATGAATATGATAGAGGACAATATTCCTGAGAATTCATTTGACACTACTAGTTTGTCCGACTTTGCGCTGGGGCGGTTTGCCAACAGCGGGACCACACCATCCCCAAGCTTGAACTTCCTGTCTGTAGGGAGCCAGCCGAGCCTTCGACTATTGGGCCCGCTCGGCGAGGTACAGCCTATAGAGGGAAGTTCCGAGAGCTGGCAGTGGGTGATGGACCAAATGCAAAGCTTTCCCCGTGCATTCGCCGAACAGTCGCAAACACTGTTCATCCACCCGCATCTATATCGCGAGTCTATGCCGCGTTCAATCAGGGCGGCTTTCGGCGCATCCTCTGCGTCCTGTCTCCTCAATCAGAGCAACAGCACTATGCTATTCCGAGTTATAGATACAGAGGTTTTTCAACTACTCCAGGATAATGAGATGAACCTCACTCTGTTAGATGAGCTAGCCAGGTTGCAAGCGCTAGTCCTATATCAAACGATACGTCTCTTCCACGGCGGCATTGAACAACGCGTCTTAGCTGAACAGCAACAAACAGTCCTGATGAGTTCGGCCTTAAAACTGCTTGCCCGATCTCAAGCTGAGCTCCACGATGCCGAAGCAGTATGCTGGGTCTCGTGGATCCTTGCGGAATGCATCCGGCGGACAGCGCTTGTAGTCTACATGCTCTATGGGGTTCATTCCATTGTCCGGCAGGGAATATGCATCGGGTTCCATACGCTGGTCGCTTTACCCATGTCACCAGCATTTAGTTCCTGGAACTCAGAGGCTGAGCACCATAATCAACGCGAGCTCACAAGAACAATAACGTATGAGATGTTCACCGAGGGGTGGCCGGCTACGCCACGAAAACTGGTTCCCCTCGAGAAATTTTTACTGGTGCCGTGCAAGGGTATTAATACTATAGAAGCTTACGATATCACGGAGAACGGCGTCGCATGACAGACGGAAAGATTTGGCTTCACTTGATCACACTCAGCTCATGCATTTTCCTCTCTTCTCCATCCCTCTGTAAACGTATTGTATGTAGCATAATGGTTTGCTGGAATCCCTGGAAGACAAAAATACTAGATAAGCACTTTGCACACTTGTAGCTTCTCCACCCTCAAAAGACCAACAGCGATAGAGGCGATTCCGAACATTGCATCTCTCATGCTCTTAGTTAATCAATAACTAAAGAGACTAAACTATGGCCCCTTCTTAGTTTGCAAGAGACAAGTAATTATCTGAGTTTGCTTTTTTTTGAATGCTTGGTAGATTAACTGATCATCTAAAAACAGGTAGACTCAAAAGTCTTCAATTTAAACTTCCACGCTACTTGTAGGTCTTTGGTAAACATACCATATAAAAGAGTGTAAACGCGAAGCTAAATCTTCTTACAAGCGCTTCAGTAACAACCCACGTTCTGGAACGGCGTGGATCATTAAGACACTCTGAGAAACCAGAAAGAGTGAAAGGTTGGATCCCCAGCTAATGCTCTCTTTAGGGTAAGATGGGGCAGAGAGCCCTCGGATAGCTCCTGATGAACGGAGTCTGGCCGCTGCTTACTCTGGGGTAGGGCTAAGACTATCGACCAAGCGAGTCAAAATGCTGGGGGAGTGGAGAGGAGAGGGCATGAGACGGTAACCAGTGATGTTGCCAGGCTTTACTCACTGCGGGCGCTTTTCTAACCAGAGTTGACCAAGTCAGAGAACAATGTGGGGGTTTGTGATGGTCAGAGTCTTCACACCGCCCATACAACCAACTGGTTTTTCAAATCGTTGCTGCCAAATGGACCCATCATCAATAATTTGGGTGGGGGAGGAGACTACTGAGAGCCCTAATCTCCCCCGGCTTGATCCAATGGTGTGCGTCTCGGCATCGGTAGTGTGAAGCCGGCGTTTTCCGTCTTTGTTGTGCGGCGGACTGATCCGTCGGACTCTCACCGCCGACGGAAAAACGCAATTTCATGCTCCACTATTACCTCGATTCACATCTGCGCTGACATGCTGAATCTGCTCGAAATCAGAGGGAAAGGGGACGAGAGAACATAGAAGAGGAATAGACACAAGCAAAGGCCAAGTCAGGAACAACCCCTTGAGAGTACCGGCCCCCTTTCCGCCCGCCCTGAGAGCTAAACTAAGTCACATGGACTGCTCATGTGACCTCGGAGGAGGTCCTGCGGGACACTCGAGCATGATCTGCGAGACTGCCCGAAGCGAGACTAGTTTGCCAAGCAGCTTCGGCGACATCGATCGGGCGCCGAACGGAGAAAGACCAAAAATCGAGTGCTACCGAGGTTGCCCCTGACGTTGCTGCCGTATGATAACCGACTTGACCCGAATTTTCCATTTCCTGCGATCTCTTTGCAATTGCTCTCTTTTCCTTGCCTCGTTGAAGCAAATATGCCCATCTGGAGCAAGCTATCATACATAAATCAATCATGTCACAATCGAGCACCATCAGAAAGCGCGCCTCTTTGGCTTGCCAGGCGTGTCGCTCACGTAAAGTCCGCTGTGACGTCGCTCGACGGCCCAGTGGCACCCCCTGTGGGAACTGCCTCTGGAAGAATCTAGATGTATGTTTGCTTCTTCTCGGCCGTTCTTGTCTTGCCGGCCAACCTTGTAGTACTTCCAAAGCTGACTCCCTCTCGCAGTGTGTCATTCCATTGAACCGTAGACTAAGGTAAGTCGGCTTGTATCGTAAAGGTCGACGAGGAAGTTCATGTTCCTAACACCATACCTACTTCACGGCAAGACCAAATTTCTGGCAACGCAAGGCCAAGCAGGCTCAAGCAAAGGCAGACATGTCTTCTGGCCATCCATTGGGCGCCGCGCTTGGCATGCTTCCTACACCCTCCTCTAGTGATGCTGATGATGTCTTTGGCGATTCCTTGAACAAGCGATTTTCGACCGACAACCTGAGCACGCTGATGGATGTCCCGAGGGTCGAGATGAGCGAATCTAGTTTCTTTACCGACTTTGAACAGATACCCGAGTATGGAAACTCGCCTTTTGGTGACACACTCAACGCGACGTATCTTTCCCCGCCAGATTCCTTCCCCGAGGAAGACTTCACCCTCTACCCAACTCAATTCCCTCCTTACATTCGCCCGTTACCGCCGAACGTAAACCAAGATGAATCCGACTACTTGAGACTAAAAGGTGCTTTCGATCTGCCGCCGTGGCCGGTGCAAAAACCCCTCTTGCAAGCCTTCATCGAATACGTGCATCCTCGCTTCCCCATGCTCGAGACGACAAGCTTGATAAACCTTCTGGACGAGCGAAAATGTGAAGAGCCCATCAGCCTGCTCCTCTACCAAGCTGTCTTATATTCGGGTGCCGTATTCGTCGACATGGATTTTCTTTTCCGCGCGGGCTATTCTACGCGTAATGACGCAAGGAAGAACCTTTGTGAAAAGATCAAGGTAAATATCTGATCCCCCAGGGAAACACTGACCCGCCCGCTACGCTTGGAGGTTTCTCCGAAGCAGACTAACAGGGTGTTGACGGCAGCTGCTATACACATTTGACTGTGAACTGGACCGTTTATCCATTGTCCAGTCGCTACTCCTCTTAGCGTCATGGTACGAGGCGTCTGAAGACCTCAAAGACTGCTGGCATTGGTCGGGCGTAGCAATCTCTCTGGCACAAAGTTTCGGGCTACACCGAAACTCAGAAGACTTGTATTTTGGCCTGGATTCTTCTCCATTGCCCGAAGAGGCACTCTCTTCCCGTAAAAGGGCATGGAAACGCACTTGGTGGTGCTGCTTCATGTACGACCGCCTCCTCGCGCTTGGCCTGCGTTACCCAACGCGGATAGCCGATGAGGACTTCGACGTGCCGATGCTCACTGAGGACGATTTTGAACCCATCCAGTACGACATCCCAGCCAGCTTCCAGCAGGATCTGGTGTCGATCTGCCTGGCCAGAGCCCAGCTCTGCAGGTTCATTGGACGGGTGCTTGATGCCCAGTACTCGACGCTTCTCAATCACGAGACGTCCGACCATACAAACTATAGAGTTGCACTAGTGTGCCCCAAGAAGAACTTTGACAACATTGACACTGTCAGTAGCCTCTACCTGGAACTCTCTGACTGGGCAGAGTCGCTTCCCGAGGCCTGTCGGCACAAGCAGCAGCCGTGCCGGCTGGACGTGAATGCCGGCCAGGGCTCCGTAATCATCCAGCGCGTGATGCTGCAGATGGAGTACCAGGCGCTGATATCGGCCCTGTACAGGCCTCTGTACGATATCAAGCTCACGCCAGGGGATTTCGTGCAGTCCCAGGCTCAGCACACGGCCAGGGTCTGCGTGCAAAACTCCGCAACTACCATCACGAGACTATTGCGGGATCTGAAGGGTGTCCGTCTGTGTCGGTATCTCTCGAATACGTGCATCAGCATTATTCTGCCGACGTCGATCGTTCACCTGAATAGCATGGGAAACCCGTCCTTGGAAGTCCGCAAAGTCGCCCGCAGGGAGTTCAACCTGTGCATCTCCGCGCTCGGTTGCCTGAGAGGTCGGAACACTGAGGCGGAAAGGGCGAGGACTTTCCTGGCTGGGATCATTGGGAGCAATAGGCTCGTCTCATGAACGAAAATTTTTGACTTCTCTGTATCTAACCTTTTAGCACTGCACACATGGGATTTTTAGGTCGTAGCGTCTCAATAAACGTATTTTATCTGGTTCGTCCGAGCTTGTTCTTGTTAAATTCTGTATTTGTGCATCTTCTATTACTTCTATTGTGCAATCACCACCTGGCTGCTTAATTGAATTGAACACTCGAGCGTAGCAATAAAATTCGCTCCTGCCGGCGTTTCTTTCTCGTGCTCCTCTCCTCTTAAATCAAGGGCTTCAGAAACACAAACTAGATTGCCATCTTCAAAAGGACTTCATCCTTGTTCAATTTAGCTATGGCAATGTTGAATCAGGCTATGTTAGTTACGTCAAGTTAACTAAAACAGCTTTTCAAACTATTGCTTGATCACATTTCAATGACGACCTTTAACGAGGGCACGGCATGTTAAAGCATCACTTTCATTCAGGGTGACCTAATCAAACTATCTTCTCCTCCAACATCAGAGCATGCGATCTATCCTTGCATTTCAAACCCAGGTTGTAACATCTGTTGCAGACCAAGAAGCCACTCTTAGCCGTGCAACCGTCACGGCACTTGTAGCGGCTATCGGAATCGTTCAACAGTCTCACGCAGACATGACACCATGATTTGTTGGTATCTAAGGTTTCGTCTTCTTTATCCTTCAAGCCAACGGTATCGCCGTCGTTATACAGAAAAAGATCCTTCAGGCTAGGACTAGATTCCGCAAGCCTCAACCATTCACCGAGAGTCTTGTCGCCCAGGTCTTGACTATATATTGATGGCGGGGCTGCGTCCAGAAGATCAGCTACCACCATTTCGTGTCCGTTCCGCAAAGCTACGGATACAGGGGTGGAATTGTATATGTCGGCTCTGAGCAGGAGGTTCTCCTCTCTAGCAAGGACCGTGAGTAACTTGTTGACAATCGAACGATGCCCTTGAGAGGCTGCTAGGAATAACGCTGTGCGACCGAATTTGTCAACTAGCCGAGCATCGCCGCCAACATTGGCAAGAAGAAGCTCGACGACCTTCAAATGCCCGTAAAACGATGCTGATAATAGGGGCGTCCATCCCATTTCATCTGAGATCGTTTGGTCAGCTTCATTTTCAAGCAAATATTGAACAACCTCATCGTGCCCGTTATTTGCGGCGAAGTGAAGAGGGGTCCATCCGGAGTCGCTCTGAATGTTTGGGTGTTCCAGAGAGACCTTGATTCTCTCATCTTCCCAGCTTTTGGCCTTTTGATCAGGTTTAACCGCTGTGTCAATAGACACCAGTGCACAAGCATCATGCTCTAGGAGGTGCTTCGCTATCTCAAGATGCCCGTCACTGCAGGCGGTGTGCAGCGGTATGCGACCATCTAAATCTGTAGCATAGCGAGCTTCAGGGCACTCGTGAAGAAGATATTTGACAGCCTCCAGATGGCCTTTAGCAACAGCTCTTTCTAGCGGCGTGCACCCAGTGCTGTTCTTCGCAGTCAAACATGCTCCGTTCTCAACGAGCAGCCTGACAACAGAGGTATGGCCACAGTACGCTGCTGTGTGTAGTGGAGTCTCTTGGAAATCGTTCTTCTTGTCTACTACTTCGAATTTTGCGCCACGTGAGAGAAGGTATCTGACGGACTCGAGATGTCCGCCTCCCGCGGCCAAATGCAATATTGTTGAGCCCCTGACGTGTTTCACCGAGCAGTCTGCACCTTTGGAGAGCAATAATCTGATGATGTCTGTATGTCCTTGCGCAGCAGCTGAGCTCAATGCCACGAACCCGTTATCACTCTTTGCTTCCAAGTTGGCCCCATGTTCTAGTAGAAGCTGCACAATCCTTTGATGGCCCCGATTTGATGCAAGATTGAGGGGGGTCCAGCCTTCAACACGTTCCTCCATGTTTGCGCCAGCAATAAGTAGAATGTTTACTAGTTCGGTGTTCGCGTTCGATACAGCCTCATATAACGGCGGCCAACCCGAACTATGGGCAGTCGGAATCTTGTAACCCTTGTCAATGAACAGCTGGACGAGCTCCGTGTTGTTCTTCTCAGTGGCTATTTGCAGGGCCGTGCAGCCATTGCTTGTGACCACGCCCATGTCCGCGTCGCTCTCGATGAGTAGCTTAGCAATGCTAAAGTAACCGAAGTGCGTAGCCATTGAGAGAGGGTTCCAGCCTGTCCGGGTTTTCGAATCCACGTCGATGCCTCCAAGCTCCAACAGTAGTCCGAGTATCTCCTGATGGTTTCCAAACGCAGCGGTCGATAGAAGGGTGAATTTCTCGTGATTTACGATCTTGTGATCTGCTCCCTTTTCCAGGAGGAATTGAGTCATCTCAAGAGAACCCGCATCAACGGCATAATGCAGTGCCGACCAGCCTGTGTTGCTGGGTTTGTGGATGTCAGCGCCCCTTTCCACAAGCAACTGCACAATATCAAAATGCTTTAATTCGATAGCTTGGAACAATGGGGTTTTACTCCGACAGGTGGGCCAGTCGATGTCTGCACCCTCGTCGAGCAGCAATTCCACCATCTCGCGTTTGCCAGAGTCTACAGCGGCGACAAGAGGGGTCGATTCTCTCGCGTCATTGGGTTGGAGATCTGCCCCGGCCTTGAGAAGGAGTTTGACATTGTTTATGTTCCCATTCCTTGCAGCAAGCTGAAGCGCTGTGTCGAAATCTCGATTACCTCTCGTCAGGATTGGGTGCTTCGAAAGCAGTCGGGGTAGAATATCCTCATAGCCATGGTGACAGGCCAGGTGAAGGGGTGTCCAACCTTCCTCATTAGGCAGCTCGATATCGGCATTATTTTCAAGTAGCAATGTTGCTATGTCAAGATGTCCCAGTTGGATAGATTGGGAAAGCGGCGTTAGACCGTGATGGCCCCCAACGTTCAAGTCTGCATTCTTGATGATGAAATCCACCACTTCGAGATGACCTCCGCGGACTGCCGAGTGAAGTGGCGTCATTTTCTTGTCGTCTGGAGTCTCCAGACTCCCGCCTCTTTCAAAGAGCATTTTGACAATACCCAAATGGCCGGAACCAGCTGCTGCGTGCATTGGAGTGAGGCCCCCATCGCGGGCGATTTTAGGATCGCAGCAACCATCCAGTAGCAACTGCACGATTTCAAGGTAGTTGTTTTGGGCTGCAGTATAGAGGGGTGTCTCATTGAGATGGTTGGTTATATTTATATAGGCTGTTGCTCGGCAGAGTTGGTCAGTTTTCCTTTGGTCAGGACCAGGAATAGACAGCTTGGCTCCTTCGCTGTGACTATCTTGGTCGCTAGAAATCACGGTTGTCCCAGAATGGTCCGAGTCCGTGTTTATACATTTCCCGGCCGCCTCATTCTCCTCAACTGCAAGTAGAAAGCTGACCAAATCGACATGCCCTTGGTCCGAGGCTATGTAGAGTAATGTGTTTCCATCTGTATCTTGGCATTTCCAAGATTGTCCTTGGTCTAGAAGTACTTTGACGGTTTCTAAGTCTCCTGATCGCACGGACGAAAATAGAGTCTCGTGTTGATCAGCATCCATGTTAGTTTCACAGGGCGTACGGTGGCTCGGAAGAACGTCTATTGTTGCCGTTTGATGGAATTTGCGAACAGACCACAGAAACTTGGTTTTGGTGAGTGTTACAAACTGCACGCTGGAGAGAAGACAAAGATAAGGAATACGGTTCATGAGCTGTGGGTGAGATTGAAGCTTGGCTGGCCGTACCAAAGGAGCGGTAAGCTGTAAGCTTACGTGTGGGTGCGCCCGAGGCAACGGCTGCCTTAGCCAGGGCTACGTTTCAGGCGGAGCCTGCCAATTGCATCAGGGAAGCTTAGCGGCATTCCCTCTTGAGGAAGGGAAGTTGAGAGCTACGCCTACTCAACCCTGGCTGTACTTCGAGTGGTGAACAGGGGAAGGGTATAAAGTGGAAATATCTCCATAAATGCTTTTTGAAACCCTAAAAGACAAGAAAAATGGAGGATTATTTATACAATATCTAGTTGATACAGATCTGAATTACAAAGCTACGAAGTGTACGCCGCCATGTTGATGGCTCTTTTGTGTGGCCAGTTCCCACAATCCTTGGATGCATCTGACCTCGGCACTTCCCCTAGAACCGTGGCAGGAAACTACCAGAAACTAATCGTAGGCGTTAGAACACCTATTAGCGTACTGTTGCTCTCAAGTTTTAAGCAAAAGAATGGCTCTCAAAGCGAAATGATCCGTTCTAAGTTTAAGCTTACAATTATCATACTTCTCTGTAACTTCGTATTAGTATCAACTAGTAGTAGGTCTTGTAGGAATAAAGAGCTCAACCGAGATGACGATTGGAAAATCAGTCTTCATTTGCACAGATGAATTTGAGTTCGATTGTGGTTGGCGATCTGATTTTCATTTTCATGCTATCTGAGAACCCACCATGCATCCTGATAAACCTTCTCACACGCCCTCTGCGTCAAACTCAATCAGCCACAGAAAATAGGTGAAGCAGAAGCCTGTTACAAGTCTACTGTGCTTTTATGTGGATCTCATGTTGTATCAGTTATACCATATTGCCGGAATTCTCAAAAGATTGCCTGAGCATTGGGAGGTGATGAGACGCCACCCGGCATGTTGAATGGTGCCGAGGTAAAGAAGAATGTCCAGCGATTTTTCTCCTTGCAAACATCAGCAAGCCTCTCCAAGTCGAACATCTCCCCTAGAAACTTTGGTCAGCGCGTCTTTAGATCCTGCGAACGCCCGAGAAGTTCTGAAACAGTTACCTAAAGGCATACCCCATGCAGCGAGAATGTAATCATGAAGACTGAACTCGCCAGATGGAGGCCAGACTTCAAACGACACAGAGTCTCCGGCCACTGCAGCAAAGCCAGCATCCCAAAGCCACTGAACCACGTCCATGGTGGCTTCAACGCCCACATGCCTGGGCTGTGGTGACTTGGAATACGCTATTTTGGCAGCGAGGTCCATCTCCTGCTCCCACATCTTTGTCATGCCACTGCGAACGAGAAGAATATCACCTCTCTGGAAGGTAATGTTTGAGATTTCTGCGATGTGAAGAATGTCCTTCAGCGGAATGGGGTGGGTTGAGAAAGCATCGTATTCGATGCCCTGCTCTTCAGCCCAAGAGACGTAGTCAATGAGCACGCCGCGGCCATTGATACCTTCTTGTGCCCAGTAGTTGATGCCGATGCGGTCCGTTGTCCCATTCATAATCTCCTCTTTGGTGGTGCCACCATAAAATACACGGCGGTCTGAGTCTTCATCCTCGACCATGCTCCAGTGACGCAGACCATCCCACTGGCTGCTCTGTTCTGCTTTGAGTCAGTATATTGCTGATGCTCCATTCACAGTAATACGATGGTAAGTTCTTACGAGGGTTCATTGTATAGAGGTCGTCAATCGCATCTCCTCCCAGAATAGGCACAAACCGATGCTGAAAGGGCTCTCGTCCAAAGGAAGGGTACTCCAACTTGGTCAGCTCCCAGTTCAAGCCAACCCTCTGTCCGGTTTGAATTTGCTGGGCAGCTGTTGTGCGAACGAGATCATCTGTCAGCAGTACGAGTCGACCAAGGCCTTCCTCTCGGCTGCCTGGTGCTCCAGCCCATACCTTCCTAGGGTCCGGGAGCTCATCAAATTTGAGATCAACTGGGTATTTGGGAAATCTGGATGGCCCTGCTAGTATTGTTTCAACTAGAAGGGCCAAGGAGAATACAGATTTTAGCAGCATTGGAAGTGAGATAAAAACTCAGAGTACTGAGGATGAGTCGATCAATCGGAAGTATGTGTCAACCCCTACGACTGATATTTAAAGCAGTGGAGGTGGCCCGTTATACCTTATCTTTAACTTTAAAGACATTAATTAAGTAATTAATCATGCAGATTTGCAAGTCCATCTTCCCCGCTTGATGTCATGCCAGCGCTACTGCATCTCCCTTCACACGAGGTCACACTCACCCTGATGTATGTCTCAGTTCGGGGAAAGGTCAGCTGTTTGCCGCCAATCTTGACGAAATATCAGGATTCATGGATTCGTGCACTACCCCAAGCAAGCCTCCTGGCAAAAGAGTGTGGTTCAAGTAAGAATCTCGGAAGAAGAATACCTCCTATAGTTGGCCAACAATCAGTCAAGTACTCTATCTCCGTTCTCCATTGACGCGGCCACCTAATCAGATCTGGAGAGATCGCTGCCCCTCCCCACAATATGATCTCGTATCTGCAAGCCGAAGTGACTTGGCGCATTGCGCAGTGAAACCTTACGGCTTCGGGAATCATTAGCCAGCAAGTTTCCGTGGGAGCTACACGCGGGTAGCTACACGGATGTGCTGGTAGACAATAGTTCAAGTTTCGGTAGGTGCCTCTTAGTATATCAAGGTGAATATTTAATAAAATGCGAGATGTGTGAACTGAAGTGACATATTCTCCCCTTTTCCTTCCCTCCATGAGGATCTTGACTGAGACAAGATAGAGAGGCCTACCGCAAGTAGCGGATGATCGACAATGGGGCTTTGGGAGGTATTGATTACCACTCAATAGTTTCATGCAGGATCCCACGTCCTCTCACGACGCTTGGCGAGTGGATTCTGTCCAGCAGTAAGCACTACGGTTATTTTCATTGCCTTTTTGACCTTTACGCCGATTCTGCTACGAAGAGAAGAATACTTCAATGCCCTTGCAGCTCAGGCATGGACGGGTTGGGGTCTGAGAACGTCAATACCGGAAGTGCACTTTAAGGGAGAAATATTGTACATTGCTGACAAATCTAGGTGTCTTCGGAACGATTCCGCTTTTCCTACTGGTGGCTTAGAGTACTGCTGAGATTCAACATTGGTATATCTTGGATATGGGTATCTTTGATTCCGATGAAGATTGCCTATGACCATGAGTTTCACTTCAGAGTTAATAACCCTTTTGTGTCCACCCTATTGCTTCTACCACCTCGTGTAGCAGTCATTCTAAGCCAAATATCTTAATCCCTCGACATGAGTGTTGTTTGTTAGTCGTTCTTTACTCAAAATCCTTCGGCATGGTCGGGGATATAGGGTAGCTAGTTGGTTTACTCTGAATGAAGGAGCATCATCTTTCACAACCTTGGAACATAACTAAGCACAAGAGTTGTGCAAGGGTTATGACAGATCCACACAATTAGGTGGGACCGTTGTCCCTTTTCTTTCCGCACAGTTATTCTCGTCGTTAGAGCATACTGTAATCTTCTGCACAGATAGCCAACGACTGAGAATAACAGGTGGGGTGCAGCTAGTTTAAAGCACCTAATAATATCAAGAAACATCTGCCAAATTTAGGTGGGATTGCTATTACTTTCTGACCCACATGTTGTTCTCAATCGTTCGTTATGGACGAGAAGATCACTCTTCGAACGATGAGAATAACTGTGCGGAAAGAAAAGGGACAAGTCAACCGTGCAGGCCAGCCAGTGAGAATGTCATTGCACTTTGCTTTTTCCAGATTTTCATCTCCTTTTTCCTGTCATTACCCCTAACCTAAGGCGGTCACCGCCCCTGAGATGCGCGACAATTGTATTTTCGCGTCTTCTCCTCCACAAGACGTGTTGTGATACTATCGCCACTTTTGTTTTGCTCCTCACTGTGAAATTATGGCCGCCCAAGGCTCTGCAACCAGAGGAGCTGCGCACAGCGATGCGACCAGTCCTGCAAGTGATCTTAGCACCGATGCATTCCGCGGAGGAATCAAAGCTGATCTCCTTGGCGCTCTGTCGGAGATCAAGGCCTCTGGCTCCTTTGCATCATTCCGACCCTTGGTGAGACCGCCGGATTTCGGCTTGATCGTTGACGGCGTTGGACCTGTGAGCATAACCAATGACCTGCACGAGGCTCAGGCCAAGCAGATGATCGCACAGGCTGCACGGGCCCCCTATGGAAAGGGCAGCGAGACAATCGTGGATACCGCAGTCAGAAACACCTGGGAACTGGATCCCCAGCAATTCAGATTCTTGGATAACAGGTGGCATAACTATGTCCAGACATTATGTGCCCAGGCTGCTCTGGATTTGGGTATCAATACGACCATCAGATGCGAGATCTACAAGATGCTCATCTACGAACAGGGAGCAATGTTCAAGCCACACACAGAGTATGACTTCTCCGTGCCCTCACTCTCGCATTTTCTAACTCTGACAGCACCGAGAAAATCCCTGGAATGTTTGGGACGCTTGTCATAAGCTTACCATCGCCTCATACCGGTGGTGACGTGGTCGTGAAGCATTGCGGCGAGAAAAAAGTGTTCAAAACATCGCAGGCTGAACACTCATTCATCTGTTGGTATTCTGATGTCACGCACGAGGTTCTCCCCGTCACGTCAGGCTATCGCTGGGTCCTCACCTATAATCTGGCCATTGACACTTCCGTCGTTCCACCCTCAGCTGCGCTGCTACGGTCAAACATCCATTCGCTCCGCCACACCCTCCGAAGATGGCTTCAGGACCAGTCTGCATCCGAGGAGCATCAGGCTCTCTACCACGTTCTTGACCACGAGTACACTCAGGCAAATATCCGCCTGTCGAGTTTGAAAGCTCGCGATCTGGCTCAAGTGCGCGCACTGCAGGAGGCGTCGAACAGTGTTCCCTTCGAGATTTTCCTTGCGCTTTTAGAGAAGGAGGAGAGAGGTAATGTTGAGCAGGATTATTCCTACGACCGAGGCTACGGTCGTCGCCGCTACGGTGGCTACTACGATGATGACGATGATGAGAAAGAGGAAGAGGAAGACGAGGGCTATCATCACATCACAGACGTCCTTGACCAGCGCTATACCATCAAGACCCTGGTTGATTTCGAGGGCCGGGTAGTTGCGGAGAACATGTCCTTTGAAGAAGAGGATCTTCTCGAAGAGGACTGTTTCGACGACATGGAAGGTGAGGAGGAGTACGAGGGTTTCATGGGCAACTGGGTAAGGCGAAATCTGCTTTAAAAAACCTGGCATGTTTGCTGATTATTATTTCAATTCTAGGGGCCAACAGCAACTCATTGGTATCGGATGGCAGTATGTGCCCAATGATTTCTGATGGAGCGAGTATGAAGCTAACTTACTACTGATCCAGGCCGTCGTTATCGTTCCAAAAGTTTCCGTCGTGGATTTTTTGAACTGTGATCAACCTTCCCAGCTCTCGCACGCCAATGTCCAGTCCCTGATCTCCTATTGGGCGTACAGGAGCGAACACGCTGCAGCGCCCAATAATGACATTGCCATGGTAGAGAGGCTCTGTGACAGGGTATGGAGCCGTTACCTTGAGCCAGACAGGCGAAGAAACGGCTTGCCCAGTTTGACCGGTTTGACCAGTTTGCCCGGCTTGCCCAATCCGCCGTTTGATGGAGAAACAGTAGGCAATGTCCTGAAAGCCGCTCTGCATCTTCAGCGCTATGATCTTTTTGAGCGAAACGCATCACGCCACTTGGGCCTGCTCCCAACTGCTTTCTATACTTGGGCGGCAAATTCTGTCCACGCATCCAATAATGATGACAATCACGTTGCTCAAAAATTTTCGCTTCTTGAAAAAGGGTATTGTGATTTCTCTTCCTACATGACCAGTACGCGTTGACTAAACATTGAGTTCTAGGCTATCGGCATCGATCCTCGGCTATGGATCGCTGACAACGCAGTTGTTGGCCGTGCACAATTTCACCTCTGTGGCGCACTCTATATTCCCTGGCCCTGCGACCTCCAAAAGTCTCATGTCTGTAAGCGCTTGGGCTCGCCAAACGTTGAAAGCCTGCTTGGAGGAAAGGCTCCCTAAGCCACTGACGTCCAAGGACGGGGAAGCCTTGTGTGGCATCCTACTTTATTTCGAGGACCCTACCGAGTTCTTCTCAAGCTCGTGAGTGTTCTCCAGACGATTAATTTGCGTTGTATTAATTGAGTTGCAGTGTTACACCGATAATAAGAGAGAGGCGTGATGTGCCGGCGTTTTACCTGGGTTTTCTACGCAGTCTCAAGAAGGACATGGTCTCGCAACCGAAGCTGTCCGAGAAGGGACCGTCAACGTATAGAGATGTGGCTAAACTATTCCTCTCCTCGGTTGAGTTTCCAGCTCTTAAAGTGCAGCCAAGTGAGCCGGACGACGCCAGAAGGTTTCGCCAGGCCCGTAACGGTGGAGCAGCCGAATCTGGTGAGCAGACAATTGTAACTGGCATTGAAATAGTCGCATTCCTTGGCTATATTCTCAACCTCGATTCTGGCGATTTGATGGCCTCTTTTGCGTCTAGGTTCGTTGAGCAAGCCTCGAAACTTCCATCCACGTCGTTCAGTCTGTGGATCCCCGTCTTTCTCAGTCTCATTAGAATGCTCGTCAAACGTGAGATATCGCTCGAGACTCCCATGTACCAGCAGCTGTTCACAAAGTTCTTCCACGCGCTCCTCAACAACTTCGTGAAGCGCCAGCCCTCCAAGGACGCCTCTTTATCTCGGCCCGGTGTACCATGCAGATGCGCCGACTGCACTCATCTAAACCAGTTCCTCTCCAGCGCTACACAGCGAGTTGGCCGGTTTCCCGTTGCTAAGAAGCGGCGTCAACACCTACACAACCAGATCGATCGTCATCGGATCGACTGCACCCATGAGACAGAGCGCGTTGGCAGCCCCCAGACACTCATCGTGACGAAGGCGAACAAGCAGAATGAACAGGCGCGACGTAACTGGAAAATTCGATTTGAATGGGCGCACAAGGTGCTGGGCGACATTGATCAGGCCCAGCTTCTCCAGCTCCTGGGACAGGAGTACAGTGCCATCACGCAGATGAAGCACCTCATCGTCGACACGGAGCCGCAATCCACTGCACGGGCGTCTTCGACATCGCTCGCAGGCACGAAGCGAAAGAACCCCACCGTGATTGATTGATTTTTACGACCACTGGCCGGTCAATGCATGTGCTTAGCCAGGTATTGGACTCTGATCGGCTAAATGGGTATGAGGGATGTGTGCTACTGCTCTATCCAGGGATCACTCCAGAAGGACCTTAAAGAGTGTTGCGCTTTATGTATTTATAGGGTTATGGTCAAGGGTTTGATTTGATCTTGAATTTTAGTTCAACACAAGACTGGAAAGCAAACCTAACTGATCTTGAAAGAACCTACATGGTTTTCTTGCTTCACTTGGTCTGAATCACAGATTGTTAGTTAGTGAAACTGGGGAATTTTGTACTCATTTTTTGTGCGCGTGACCGGGGGGTTATAATCTACGAGCTGCCAGCCTGAATACTTTGGATTTCCAAAGCACACGTCAGTTTATACTCATAGCAGGCGCCTAGCGTTACGGACTATGTTGTTTTCGATGATGAAGAACTGTTTATTTCTCTATTGTACAGCTAACACGAGCCAGCGTGGTTTTGCGTTTCACTTTGCCTGCCCAAGCTTCCCGCAGACAAGATCAAATCTCAGTATTGAAATCCCTGCCTAAGCCTACAAATTCGTCATTTCTGTCACAATCGCTGGTTGTTTAGGAGCTGATTCGCTGAATCAGCTTGTCTCCTAAGGACTGGACGCTGCTCTCGAACTCGGAGAAGCTCTGAGCGTTCCACTTAGCGCCACTGGCACCCGGAACAGCCTCAGAGCCCGTGAAGGCAATGTATAGAACGTCATCCTCATCGTGGGCCGTGTTGCCATCAACAGCGTCCTTGCCGTAGCAAGCGGTGGCCAAGGAGATGGATGCTTCACCAACCACGGGGTATTCGCCGTCGTCACCGTTTTCATCGGCCCAGACACCGTAAATCTGCACCCTTGATGTTAGTTTCCACGTAACTAATAGTGGTGTCTGTCGCATGAGGATCTACTTACGAGCTGGTTACCGCAAACGACAGCCATAAGACTGAGAGGCTCGATTCCATATTGCTCGGGGTTGAAAGTAGCCCAGCCGGGCTTGCTTCCCTCGTTGCCAAAGACAACATAAGGGTGGATGTAGGCGTCGACGTCGTTGATCCCGGCTCCGTAAGACTTGATAGTGGACTGGAACGAGGTGATGGACTGCGTGTCGCCTGAGTTGCCGCAACGGCCGTCGTCGGCAGGGCCGTTCTGGGCACCGTCACAGTCAATGTCCATGTTGACTAGAGTCTTTCCGTTGCCCTTGATGAAGATGACGCCCGAGTCCAGCTTGTCGCCACAGTAGACAGCATCTATGAGGTAGTCAGTACCCGCGGCGGGTGGGAACGGAACAAGTTCGATTTTGGGGACTGGAAAGTCGTACTTCCGCTATCACCATCCTTGCTATAGAAACCACCGGCGAGAGTGTTCTGGCAGGACGCTTGAGAAGTAACATTGTCATAGAACTGCCTAATGTTGGCAGGCACGTCGCGGGCAATGGCTGGGGCAGCAGCCGCCAAGAGAACCGAAACCAGCGATGCTCGTGTGGAGACCATTATGTTCTGCTTGTGCTGGACGTTTGTGATACGGAGCAGAGTGAATGAATGAAGGTTTGGAATGAATGAAAGACGTTACGCTAGGTAACTAAAGAAGAGAATGAATAGAAGACTTGGAGTTGAATTCCATAATACACAAGTGTTTGGATAGTGGCCATCGCTCCAGTCTTAAGTTGATCTGATGGAAGGGGTTAAGTTGCCCAAGTGTGATCGGACGGATGCTTCGTGCCGGTATGCTGGGCATGACAAGGGTCCACGCGGTTGGTGACGGACCAGGGGGTTTAGGTGGCGCCGAGCGAGTTTCAAGTTCCAGGAACTGTTGGTCGCCTCCTACATTCTCACCAATTGTGCTTCGAGAAGCGTACACCATTTCGTCTCAAAGAAGGAACAAGTCTTTACAACGGTTATATGTCCAGCTCAGAGATGCTGTTTTTAAAATCAACTATAGATCGCTGAACTTGGTAAAAGTGACTGCTAGACGATGAAAACAAGAGCTACTCTCTTACAGCTTCATCGCAATGCAAGACGAAACATAACGAGAGAACTGTTTGGTGACTAACAGCATCCTTGAGGATGACTATGACATCGACTGGTCCAGCCCAACGCACGTTGAAGCCTTGCTACCAACATCCGTTGTCTCCTGCCTAATTGCCAGTGGCGTTGCAATATGCTTAGATTGGTGCTAAACGCACAGTGGAAAATGCGGCACGTGCATGAATTGATGTTGCGTAAAATGAATTTAGAAGCAGACGGCAGCATTGTCTTTGCCATTCACTCCTGGCATACAACCTGGGGGCAGCGTAGCGGTTGAATGGAACCCGGGTCACAACGCGTGATCAGCGCGCCAGCCGCCCCCAACGAGAGGGTGGCATGGACAGGAGGATGAAGCACATTCAATGGTCAGTGTGTAAAACATGCTACCATTGTACTAAATGCCAAGATTTAAAGCATGCTATTGGCGAGAAAACGGGGTTGAGTTGTTGTTCCCAAACAGCTGCTGTGTTGGGGTTAGTCAAGTTTCAACTAAGAAAAGGACCAACTCGTCTCACAGTCAGCTTCCCGATTCTGCAAAAGGCGAACCATAACGTCGCCTCGCAGCATTTTACCTGGTTTAAGGAAACGCTCTAGTTCTGTTCAGGTTTATCAATCACCATCGCCGCGTGAGCTTAGCTTTGAAATTTCATCACTCGTCTCGGTCCACTTCAGTAATCGTCAAATCTGACATGAGCATTCTGCCCATTGTTTCTTGGATTGACAACTCTATTGTAATATAAAATTGGGGTTGTTTTTGAATGAGACAATTTTATTCTGAACATGGCTAGCCAATGAGCTACCAAGACATATGCGATGTTGCGTTAGAGTTTTCCTGGCCTCTCTTCCTTTTTTACTGTGTTTTAACTTTTACTTTTACTTTCTTATGATACACTATACTACTTATTACATTATTTATATTACGAATATAGCTGTTTTATTCGCTCACCTATGCCTATACTTCCGAGTCAAGACACCGCATATTTGGTATGAATAGACACTACGCGGCTCGAAGTTCGGCCGTCGCCAAGCTCTAAGAGTTGGTCTTGAAACCGGTTTCCGGAGCTGGCCGCTATTTTGCTGAAAAGGAAATCCAATAAGTGTCCAGATGAAGCTCTTGTACAATGGGAAACAATTAAAAGCGCCCTGGACTTGGAGAAACGGCTCGTATCAAACATGTCACTCTTCAAAAGTGAGGCAAAGACCAGAGAATCGTCTACTTACCTACATAAAGAAGCGAAATGGTTCTGAACATGGCGAGCCGGTGACCTACCAAGGCATAAGTGATAATCTCCTGGAGCTTTTCTCAACTATACTATCTGACGAATTTGCCGACACTCAAAGATTTAGCATGCAGTCGTATTGGGCCACCTCGCATTCGCTTACGCGAACCTGATGAGGTCCGGGTCTAGACCCTCGGATTCCCAGACGACCATCGTCGCCGGACCGTACCCACTATGATGGATGGATGCTTGATGGGCACGGTCCGGCGCACGACACACTTCGGGCGTTCATAAACACCAAAAGCCGACCCAGCGCTTTTGAGTAGTATTAAGAGACTATCACTGAACGATCAGAATCAGCAGTAGCACCATGCTCAAGGTCTCCAAAGCATTGAGAGTAGCTATGCCCCGCGTACTCCATCTCGGCCAGGCTGTAGGCAAGCCTGGAGAAGTATACTACCCGTAGGAGCCATCTTAACTTTTGTGAGGGATTCAATGAGTAATACTAATTTTTTTTGCAGCCTAAAGCTCAAGGAGATTGAGATGCCTGTCCCGGGAGACAATGAGGTCCTCGTCCGACTCAAGGCGGCTGCGCTGAACCACCGCGACCTGTTTATTCGGCATCATCAGTACCCCGCCATATCCCTCGACAACCCAATGCTATCGGATGGTTATGGAGAGATTGCTAAGCTTGGGAGAGGGGTTACTAATCGCTCTCTCCTTGGGCAAAACGTCCTCCTAACACCTATGCGAGGCTGGATATCAGACCCAGCTGGTCCAGAGGACCCTAAAAAGTGGTCTATCACCGGATCAACCCGTCTCTACGATGTGGGCACAGCGCAAGACTACGTTTGCGTTCACCAGGATGAGGTTGTCCCGGCCCCGAAACATCTGTCTGCCGCGGAGGGGGCAGCTCTCCCACTGGTTGGACTCACTGCCTGGCGGGCATTGAGTACCAAAGCTGCTGTTCAGCCAGGACAGAACGTCTTAATCACAGGAATCGGAGGTGGCGTGGCTATCACAGCTTTACAGTTTGGCGTGGCTATGGGGCTCAATGTCTTTGTTACCTCTGGTAGTCAGGAAAAGCTTGACAGAACCATGAGCTTGGGTGCACAAGGCGGTGCAATTTACAAAGAGGAAAAATGGGAAGCCGATATTCGCCAGCAGCTTCCATCATCGAGGCCGTTCATTGATGCCGTTATCGATGGAGCAGGCGGCGATATCGTCAGCAAAGCTGTAAAGCTTCTCAAGCCTGGTGGTGTCATTGTCCAATATGGAATGACCGTCGCTCCAAAAATGAACTGGACTATGCCGGCCGTTCTATTGAACGCAGAGTTAAAAGGAACCACGATGGGCTCCAGGCAAGAGTTTCGGGACATGGTCGCCTTCGTCGACCGCAAGGGAATCCGACCAGTGATCAGCAGAACAGTCCAGGGGCTGAGCAACCTCAGGGCTATTGATAATCTCTTTGACGAAATGAAAGCTGGACGTCAGATGGGCAAACTTGTTATAGATATAGAATGCCAAAGCAGCCCCCGGATCTAGCATTGATGCGACAGGCGGTAGATTCAATAACGTGACTTCCATATCTACAATTAGTTAATTCTATCTGGAGTATTTTTCATTTTAAAGAAAGATATGATCCATCGGTTTGATCCTAGTTACAGCTTTGATGCTATCATACTTAAATACCTACGTAGAAAATAATCTTAGTAGACCACTATTGATCTGGGTCATCGACATGTATGTAAGTGCTCTATGGAAAGCAGTTGTATCCGAACAAGCATTCTTCACTTCCCCATGCTCTAGCAAGTCCTTGGGCTCAGGTAAGGCGTCTCAAGATCATTTTTCTGAAGCAAAGCTTTCCGGTATATAACAGGCCTTTCTACAGCCACGCCATTGCATCACTTCCGCGATAACAGTTGGGCTCGGGCGCGGATGAGAAGTATGGCGACGCGTTTACATCGCTTAGCTGAATAACGGGCTTCAACACCTGAAATTCGCCCCAGTCGCCTTTCAAGGTAGAAATATAAGGCGAGTCTTCTCCGGAGTACTTGGGCATCGCTCGGCTCCATCCTTTCAGTACAACATCTAAAAGCTCCAGCACAAAAAGCTCAGGACCGGTTTCGTCCCAGCCAAACTTCTGGTTGCAGCCCTGCACCGCCTCTGGCGAGTATAACCCAACCTCAGGGCTTAAATGAAGAGCAGCTGCGGCCATGAGAGAAGCGAACACATGGTAGGAACCGCCTTGGCGGGCACGATCTCTGATGGCCATCATAGTGCCGATGGCTCCGATCAATCCTGTGAGCATATCTGGCACAGGTAGAGCGGGCAGCACGCAGGTCCCGTCTTTGTAACCCAAGCTTCGTCCAATGACGTGGGAGCATCCGGAGGCGGCATCGGCAATTTGCTGCCAGCCAGGTCGCTCAGCCATGGGCCCGTCTGGCCCGTAACAGTTCTCCTCCACATACACAATGCCCTTGCCTCTCTTGCCAGCTATCTCTAGGAGATCGTCCAGGCTGAGCCCCTTCCGGGCAATCACCCCCGGTCTGTAGCCTTGGATGAAGACGTCCGCATCTGCGATCAACTTCAGCAAGTGCTTCAACTCATCGTCTTTAGCCAAGTCAACATCCATGGTTCTGACGCCAGCATTCAGCGTAAGTTGAAGTGACTTATATGTTGTTAGCTTCGATATATTCCTAACATAACTAAAGGAAACTCAAACCACAGGACTTCATCAAGTGAAGAGTACCGGATGGCGATTGAGAGGATAGTCATAGCTTACATTGAAGTCAGGCAGGCGGCCGCAGTTCACGCGGATTACATCCGCCCCAAGAGCTGCCAAGGTCGTCCCGATCACAGGTCCGGCAATAATGCGAACAAGCTCCACGACCTTGATGCCCGCCAGTGGCCTCTTGTCGGCAGATACTGGCAAAGGAATGGCCGGCGTAGGAACTGCATGCGCCTGGTGCTTGTAGTTGATAAGAGGGTGCTTGGAAAGGTCCTTGGCCATACGTGTCTGTCTCCATCCAGCCGGAGTATAGCAGATGCTCCCACAAAGGCCTTGAACCAAGTGCATCATCTCCAGCTCGTGCGCTCCAAACTTGCGCACATGCTCGGCGATGAGTTGATAGGCCTCGTCATTACTGCCGCACTCTTGTGATGCGTCTATGCCAATTGTCTGCAGTACCGTATCTGCACCCAGAGACCCATGCAGTTGGAACCAGACGCCATCGTCCTTGGTCTCGTAGTTTGCGGTAGCACGCAGTCTAAGTGGCGTTCCGAAGATATCACCTTCGAGATCTTTAGGGAAGATGGCAGCTAGCTTGCCCTCTTTTGCGATCTCCCTGACGGTTTGGCCGCTTCGCCTGCTCATTCCCACACTTCCAAGCCAAAATGAAGCATGATCGGTATCAACAGATGCTGTACGGCTGGAAGTTTGGCCGTCTCTGAGCTCTAATAGCTCATTGGAAACTATGCCGCTCATAGCATGCAAGGCGCCGGAGATGACGGCCGACTTCAATGGGCCGGGTACAATTGTTTCAGGTGAACCTGTGAAAGCCACGGTGTTTAGAACCACAGGATCTTTGGTGAATCCAGGCGTCACTTCCGCCAGCACCTTGAAAAGTCGACGTGCATCATTGGGCACTGGCAACGCCTCTGAATCGATCCACGTTCCTGGTCCGTAGATATCCGTACCAGAGACTATACGCGCCATCCTGGTGTTGAGCGAGTGCTTTATTGAGAGTAGATAATGGAAGAATATGACAGGAGTTGAATATGTCAAGGGGTCAAGAGTGCCGGTTTTTGGCTTCACCTTCTCGAAGATGAATGACTTCAACAGCCTTTCTTATGGAGACTATTCCTAACCAATTTATAGAAACTGAATGCACATCTGGCAATTCATTTATCATGAAGCTATTATCTGACTTGAGCTGTTCGGCTTGAAGAGTTCATCTACGTGCGGGAAGAGTGGGCACGGTCCGGATTAGAGCCAGTTTTCGCGAGATGCACTGGATGATCTACCGAAACTGGGATCCAGGTGTGGGATTTATCCTAGGGCATATGCAGTCAAATGGATGAGGTATAGAAAATGCAGCGCTTGCATTAGCGCTGTCAACTGACGGTCTTGAGATGGCTGACAACCTTAACGTGGCAACGAAACTACGCAATGCGGAAGGTGATAGGAGAAGATAGGAGAATGAGAAGAGGGAGAAAGACAGACGTTCATCAATTCGGTAGTGCAACATGGCGCGAGGCAATGGTAGAAGGTTGTAGTAGTCATTGTGGGAATAGTAGCTAGCTGGAGGTCACTTCCCTTCAATGTCCACTGAAGCCCCTTCATGCCCCAGAATGACAACGGTTTTCGAGGCATCTACGGCCTTGAACCGATAGACGATATCCTCGAAACGCCCTTCGGGAAAGACGTATAGCCATTTGAGCGTCTGGTTTGGCCCACAGAAGACACCATGCATCGCATCACCGGGGATCCAAAGCATGCTACCCTCAGTAACATGGTGCCGAACCCCGCCAATCTCCACCTCCCCAGACCCTTCAAGCACGTAGTAGATCTCCGCCTGAGTATGCTGGTGGAGAGCGAGCGTCCCATTAGATGGACAAGTCGCGATCCCCGCGCACATTGAGTCTGAGCAGGTTCTTGGTTTGGATAGCAGTGTTTGCCAAACGACATTGCCGTAGGTTGCGTCGGAGAACGAATCGAGTGCCGTTTGACTGACTTCATTTCCATCAAGAACCACCGGTGGAAGTTCGGGGCTTGTCGTGACGATACTGTCAGATCGAAAGCCATGTTAGCTTTTCAGGCTCTGAGACATTTGTGAAGGCTCAATATAGCCATGACAAGCCACGAAAAGGAGCCCTTATTGCTTTGAAAACTACTCACGTGGATTCCATCATCACCAAGTTGTCCGTACTTTATCGCTGGCCAGTAGTCTTTGTGGTTTGGATGACGGGTTCCTGCTATCTTGTTCGAGTATCTTGGAAGGAGGAGACAGAAACATATTATTTCTGAAAACATCAAGCTCTATGAAGTCCTCCACCTCATCCTCCTACACTACTACTCTGGGGATCGGGGTCCGGACCGGCTCCACTCCAACAGTTCGAGATCACCAGGCTTATCTTCATGCATCTAAGCCCAAGATGGGCATTTAATACGACACAGTGAGGGGCTTTCCCAGATCAACACACCCTTCCTAAGTCGGCCCCTCCACGGTCCGGATCTCTAACCGTGGGCCTGTCTGGAAGCAATCCATCGACAACACTGATGCTCAAGCATCTGCTACGTGTCTTGCTGTGCGATGGATCGTAGAGCTGATGCGTACTTTCCGGTGCAGCGCATTGCCCAGGCATGCCTACAATGCCGGTACGCAAATTGATACCCTTCGTGCGTACTCGCATTTTGGATAGCGAGAACTAATTCGGCCAGGCGGAAGAAATGCCGGTGCACTGGCGACCGACCTGTCTGCGGACAGTGCCAGCGGCTCAACATTGGTGAGTGACGCTCGATATGATAGCTGTGGCGATTTAGGTGTAACGGCAGAAGACTGCGTGTATCCCGTCGAAATTTCTCGGCAGCAGGCTCCTCGGCAACAAAGGCCTTGTCCGGCGAGCAGCGACGGCCCCAACCTGGTACAAGGAACCTCCCAGTCCACCGACACGCAGGTATGGATTGACCCCCCTTTGCGTATTGACACACGTATTCAAACCCGCTTGGTAGACTTCAGATCTTGTCAGTAAGATCGCGACACTCGAGGCAAAGATCGAGACGATGGCATCGAGCCTACAACGGTGAGGCTTGGCCTCTGGGGTAGGAAGGAATGATACTGAACAACATTTAGAATTGAAAGATGCCTAGTTTCGCTCTTGAGTAACGGTGACTCGGGTGGTATGGGATTGCCATCACCTTCCGAGCACCGTGAGAGAAGCCCGAGGACAGGGGCTGGCACTGTAGAACAAAGCACCGGACTCCAACGTACACAGCAAATTGATCCTATGATCGAGGACTTTGGCACACCAGAAGACGTATTCATGGCAGTTATTGATACATACTTTACCTACTGCCAGAATCAGCCTTACTCGTTCTTTCATGAGGATACCTTCCGGCAACGTTTATCGGAACAAGCTATCCCTAGACATTTAGTCCTAGCTGTCATGGCGACTGCAGTTCGATTTTGCTCGCATCCGTACTTCTCGGGACGCGTGGTGGAGATGTCTGTCGAATATGCCAACAGATCCTGGAAGCTCATCGTGTCGGACTGTTTCACTGCCGGCAACGTGGCAGATATATCGACAGTCCAGACGGTCGCCTTGCTAGGCTTGTTCGACTTCACTGGTGAGTTTTTGCATCTCCTAATGACCGAGATTCAACCATGATGATCTTTTTGTCTTACACTTTATTTTACGTATAGCTGGTCGATCACGCCATGGTTCAGCGTGGGTCAAAGTTGGCCTGGCCGTGAGGATCGCGCAGGATTGCGGACTCATGCTAGACAACGCGGCGCATCTCTCGTATGTGGAACAGGAAGAGAGACGCCGGGTGTTCTGGTCAGTCTATCTGCTGGATCGCTTGGTCTCCTGCGGCCGCGGTCGACCACCGGCCATCGTTGATGCGTCGTGCCATGTGCAGCTGCCGTGTGACGAGTCAACATGGAGGGAAGGCCGATGGGCCAAGACACAGTCATTGGACGAGATGACAAATCGGACACTTTCAGTATCTGAACGGCAATGCCCCTTGGCTCAAGTCATTGCTACTGCACACATCCTGGGCCGATGTGCGCAGTATGTGCTCCAGGACTTCAACATCAGAGGACCACCACCCTGGGATCCTGGCTCAGACTTTGCAGGCATCGAATCCGATCTCCTACATCTCGAAGCTTATTTGGAAATACAGAGACCAGTTAATGAAATGTTTGCGGCCCATACCTCGATCGATGGAGCAGTGGATAGCCAGTGCACAGGGCCAATCGTCTTCTCTCGAGCACATTTCCATCTTTGTTACTGTCTACTCAACCATCCATTCTTGTTACGCCGCCGCCTCAACACATGCCGCAACCTCGCACCCATCAGTTTCATCAAACGATCATCTGACTTAGCCTGGATTCATGCGCAGCAAATGTTGGTTCTTATCCGTGAGTCGCGTAAGTTGGGCTGCTCGTTTCATTCTTCGTCTAGCGGCTATGCAATCACAGTCGCAGGCTCCATCTTCGCGTTGCGGATTTACGACGACGACTCGCTTGCTCGTGAGCAGGCTCAGCTACTGCTCGAAGAGGCTCTACTCTATCTGGACATCATTGGCCAGCACTGGAGTAATGTTAAAACAATGGTAACGTGCCTGATCCCGGCTTTTGCGGCCTTCATACACTGACACCTCTCAATAGGCCGCGACACTTCGCCGAATAGTCTACGATGGGGTTTTGGGACGCAACTTGAACAGCCTCGCGCAGACTTTGAGCTTCACGCCTGCAGAGGAATCAGCTATATGGGCAGTAGTTGACTACAATACCATGTCGAACCAATTCGGCGAGGATGTTATGATGAGTGGGCGGGAATCGGATGAACAAATGCCGACTTCGTGGATTGATCTTTTTGGTCCCATTGATTTTGCTCTGTTATCAGGTGAAAACGGAGCGGCTCAGTAATAATTGCCAACGTATATCATGGCCAAAAGGAGCATGATACTTCGAATTTTCATAGTTGACTGTGAGAGATGGCTGAAGCTCGCTGGGCTTTGTCATGTTAGAATGTCATTGCTGGAATTTTCACCATGAAACGAGATATATGGTCACCGTCTCCCAACTTTGCCGATGGACAACTCCGTCGAAATGTTCAGGAGGATGTGTCTCATTAAAAGGGTATCTATCATTGCATGCCGCTATCTGCTCAATCTAATTACAATAACTCCCGCCCGGTCGTCAACCCAGCCAAGCTCTTCTACAACGAGTAGAATGTCAACAACAAGTGCCCGTAGAGCCTCTACTATTGCCATTGCAGCAACCACCCTGATCGGAGAAGCAACAGCCCTTGCGGTCGGAAAAGCAGCACGCCTCCCGGTCAGAGAAACAACATGCACCTCTGTCCGAAAAACAGCAGGCGCCCCGTTTAGAGAAGCAACAGGCGCCGCTCTCGCTAAAACAACATCCAGGCTCGCCGAGTTTTGTATCCCACTTGGCATCGTCGTCCTGGTAAGCTGACATGGGATTCTGCGGCTGATAGCCCTGAGTGATTGCGTCCTGTGGCTTTTGTATGGATCCGCCGCATCTCGACCTGCATGCTGAAGAGCTACTTGACATGGTACGGGCGGCCGTTGGTGATCCCCCGGGTTGGTCGGGCGGAGTCCCTGCACTGGGGTGATGTGAATTTGATGATGAGCCCGCTGCTTCTTCGTAAGGTGGTGGGAGTTGGTCTTGTTCGTGGGCGAGCGCGTCACCTTCCACTGGAATCGTCTGCTGATAATCGCCACGTCTATTCATGTCTGGAATTTTACTCTGAGTAGTGAATTTAGACGACATGGCGGGCAGAAACAGCTGATGCGACTCCAAGCTGAGATGCGTGCGCCAGTGTAGGTTTTGCAATCAGGCCTTCAATGAGAAAGCAATTTCGGGCGGGATGAAACAAATGATTATTGTGAGATGATGGCCAGTTTTACCCTAGTAGAATGCAGAGACAAAAGCCCGTACTTATGATATCCCAGTTAGTCCTAAACTTTTCAGCTGAGGACACCAGCCACTTCACGCAGGTAGAGGAGACTTGGCGCCTACGCAATTCTCGCAAGATTTGATCAAGAAGAGCGAGAGGACTCGTCAGCTCTGGCGTGGCGGATGCCCATTTGGCGAATAGAAGCGGTCAGAACAAGCCACAAATCAAAGAGGGTGGTGGGCTGATGCGACGGATGCGAGCTGTAGACTCATGTGATTGGGCTGTTTCGGCCTGCTCAACCCGGTCTGCTCAACCCGTCAGCGCTAATGTGTTCTTGTCCCGTGATGTAAGATGATGTGTCTGTACAGGAACTATCAAATTACTGTGAGCTTGCAGCCCATTAGTTTGATCTAGAAAGCTCTTAAGTGGCTGGCGAGAGATGGCGGTTGTATATATCCCACTCTTACCGCTGCACTTCAAATAACAGACAAAGGTAATTATGTGAAATCAATTCTTAGAGGAACCGAAGGTACAGTCTACTTTGGACCTGGTCAGCCCTACACCAATATGTACCAATCACGCTTGCCGTACCCGCATCTTGAGCAGCGAAGACTACGTAGGTATCTAATACAGCAAAGAAATACAAAGAAAACAAGACCCCGGATAAAGCTTTGCCCTTTTGATGTTAGAGTTAAGGAGTATTCATGAAGTCACGAGGAACAACAACAGGGAGAAAGTGTCTCGAAATAGGAGAGGCCTTGTCGTCTGTCCCTTCGTCAGACTCCGAGCTCAGAAGAGGCTCGGCAGACCATGAAACTTCTTCCCACCCGACTCCGAGATCTTTGATTTCCCTTGGGAGGTAGGAGCAAGCAGCATATCTCGGATTACCATCGGGTCCCTCGTAAAACAGCCACAAATTCCCCTCGGCTTGTATCACGGTGGGCTGGAATCCGTGCAATGCCGTCGAGATGGGTTCCTGTTTAATCTGTTCAGATGGGGCTTCGCCCGCCTCAGGAAGCTTGAGGGTTGGACGAGAAATGGCCGAGATCGACCATCTGGAGGAGGCGGATGCTTTTGGCGCTGGTGCAACCTGCTGGTCCGGCTCGGGGGCTAGGAGGCACCGAACACCGATGACCTGATTGCCGAAATATCCAGAGCCAGCGTATCTGAGGTGGCTGTAGTACATGGCGCCTTGGTACGTGTAGAACAGAACGAGATAAATTGGGCATGGCTTTTCATAGCATCTTATCACGACCGGTGCGACGTTGGTGACGCCACTAGGCAGGTGGAAATTTTGAACCTCCCATCTCAGGCCAAGATCATCGCGAGTCTCCTTGACTGACTGTGCCTCTGCCTTGAAGTCAGACTCTAATGTCGTGTAAAGCGAGACATGGGTCTTGGAGCCGTCCTCGCTGCTCCCCAGACTAATAAGAACTGTGTATGGGGTAGAGCCAACGGTCACGCGGTGAAGGGGGACTGATGAACCAGAAACTGCCGATGACACAGCAGAATTGAGTACCGACGCTGTTCGTACAATTTGTTCCTTGGGTCTATCGAAGTCGAGCTTGTGATCCGCCCTGGCAGAGGTCCATTCGGAGCCGTTTGAGTCTCTGGATCGATATTTGACAGATATCGAACCGTCGCCAGTCTCATGTGCCACGGTTGTCAGTCTGGATCCCCCCTGGACAGTCGAATGGGGCAACAATCTGGTATTTGATGAGGATGCCAGTGGTTCGTCAAAAAGCCCATCGGTCACTTGGACTTTCCGTACACGTAGGCCAGGTCCCCAACTCAGGAGCTCGCTATCGGTCTGGCTTTCGCCGACCAAGAGATTATGCACGAGGATCGACCTCGAAGACGACTGATACAAGACTTGCGGGGGCAGCTGAAGTCGCCCCAACCGACGGTTGGTCCCGAAGGAAATTGAGCTGATTTCATCAATCTGTTTCTCAATGGCAGTGGGGACTGGGAAGGATGTCTCTCTCGTCTTTGGTGCGCCCTTGCTGAGGGCAGGGAAGCGAATGATCCAGAATCTCAGGCGCGGCGACAAGGTAGTGACCGAGTTCTCCCATTGCAGAATTACAATGGCATCGTGTGCGCGCTCACGGGCGTCTTTGGAAAAGGAGGAGGCGATGAACCCCATTGCTCATCACGTAGAGTCTGGGTAGAGATTCTGTGGTTATTAGGAAGAGAATGGTGAAGAGCTGATGCCGTCGACTGGCTTGGGCAGGATGGTAGTTGGGTTAAAAGACGCGATTTGGGCATCTCAATCTCCCCTGCAGACTGCGCCGTGCTGGCCGGTGCCTAGCAGGCAGCCACTTGTTTCCATTGTTAGTGATCATTGAACAATGCCACAGTGGATCATAAGATATCGATTTGATCCACTGTAATATCGTTTTGCTGGTCGTCCGAGGCGCAGCCCGTTGCCAAGCCACAATGCGCTCAACATAACTCCTCTTGCGATTCCTGATTAAAAGTACACACATAACGGAATCCACGGAGTACTCAGAAAAAAATCATCAGCTACCAGACGATACAGTGGAAAGCTGATAGGGTTTGAGGTCTTACCTACACTAACACATCCATGTCAACATGCAATCCCACGCGTGAACTTAGTCGCCAACACGACGGGTGATTGACTATTAATCGATGACTTCTGCGATAAATAGAGAGATTCGGTAGAATAGAAATAAATCCGTATATACGCAAACACGGTATCAGCGCTGAAGAATTGATCATTGGGACTCAATAATCTGACTGGTCGCATTGAGAATAACCAGCTTAATGTTTGAGCATCTCAATTTCAATCTCACCTACGTGCTAAGGTAGTAAAGCTATCGCACCGTGCCAAGTCTAACTAACTTTAACTCCATATAAGAGGTAAAATCTGATGAAAACTTGAAAACTGATAGAAACTTGAAAACCGATAGAAAATTGAAAACTGATAGAAACTTGAGGACTGATAGAAACTCGAAAACTGATAGAAACTCGAACACTGATAGAAACTCGAACACTGATAGAAACTCGAAAACTGATAGAAACTGAAAACTGATAAAAACTTGAAAACTCTCACCTTGGTTGCCATCAACTATCCGCACCATTTGGTTGCTAGCTAATCGATGTCCCCCTCCTCTCACCCCTCCTCCTCTCACCCCTCCTCCTCTCACCCTCCACCCCCTCCCCCCCTCCCCCTTCTCCCATTCTCCCCCTCTCTCCTCATCCCCCGGGCCATGTGCACCATTGTAAGCTATTCGGTCGAGCTAATCGGTATTCTCCTTCACAATCACCTTCGGGACTCCATCAGCGCCATTGTAGATTATTCGGTTGTTGGCTAATCGATATTCCCACTCCTCCTCTGGGACATCCTCGTCATGAAAGTCGCCATCTCCCAGCTTACCCTCAAAAGAGAGCTCCTTTATTTTCTGCCGAACCTCACTTGGAAATAGGCCCTCGTCTTCTTCGGCCATCCAGCCAGCAATAACTCCGGACACATGTGGGGCGGCAAACGATGTCCCGGAGCGCTTGTCATCGGGCCAGCCCCAACCGCGTCGAGTTCTTTTGAGAACAGCCTGAGAAAGAACGGATCGTACACCCGCCCCAGGTGCCCAGATATCAATACCTGTGCCGTGGTTGCTGAAAGCTGCAGCGTTGAAGTTATTGTCATATGCACCAACATGGATAGCATGGCGGCTTTTTCCCAGGCAGGTACTTTTGACGTCTTCGCCATCGTTCCCTGCGGCAATAACTACCGTCACATTTCCCTCCGCGAGATTTTTGACCCAATGCCGTGCAATCTCGCACTGCATATCGCCAGCACTGAGTGATAAGTTGACAACGGCTTTTTTGGCACGTTTGTGCTCCTTGATATCATTCGCTGTCCAGCAAAGCCCATCAACAACCGTATTATCCCAAATATGGTCGGATTTTGCCTTGTCATACCCAATTTTCACATCAACCAAAGTAGTATTTTTAGCAACTCCATGACGGCGACCTCCTGCAATTCCGGCCACAAAAGTGCCATGAAACATCTCACCGTGACTCTCTGACTGGTCAAGATCACCGTCAGGAGTGTACCCCCAGCCATTGATCACGCGCCCTTCAAACTCTGGATCGTCAGATTGAATGCCAGTATCTACAATGTAGATGTAAGTTCCAGTGGCCGAGGACGTGTGATACTTATATGGGCCTTTGGCTTTTGGTGGGTTCGAAGAGATTGCGGTAAGAGCCCAGTTTTTGGGATCAATTTTATCATCAACAATGATATCTTCTTCTGATGGTACTGACGCAAGGGACCACGTGGACTGTGGGACAATATGAAGGACCTAGTGAGGAATTTCAGTAACAGATACTTACCATAGAATTAAGATAAAAACTTTGGGTAGAATATTTGGGGTGGTAGGTGGGAATGTGTGCAATCTTCATTGTCGACTCTTACCTCATCGGATTGTTCAATCTCTTTTGCTGTTTTGCCAGAGATGTGTGCAAAATATCCTTTGCCGATGGGGCAATCATATGAGCGCTGGACTCCATGATGCCCCGAGCTGCTGTTTCGGTTAAGGTCGTTGACCCAGGCGATATGTTCATGAAGTTGAGTATCAACATCATCTCTCAATACAATAAGATAGTGACCGGGGTTCGTCTCGTGGCAGCTCACTGTATAGAGCAAGCACACCAGGACTAGGAGATAACGAGCAGTCTTCCACATTGTTGATCACAGATCGGACCGGGTGCTCGTGTGGTTGTAAGGCAGGGTATTCTTGTGGTTGTAAGTTGGGTATTCCTTTGTTGTTCAAGTGACTGATGAGCTGATTACACCTTGCTAGATGGAACTCCTAAAGGATGGTGTGGTAAAGAAAGAGCAGAGGACACTGAGAAAGCAGGGCTACTTATAGAAAAATCTGTAGACGTTGCATGCTGTGAAAGCCCCATCTAAGAGATTTTCTCCCCTCCCCCCCTTAAAAAAAAATCAAGGCTGTGTCTAGAGCTTGTTGCTGATGAGGCGAGAAAAAACACGCCCAACACACCTAACTTCATGTCTTAGGCAACCTTCCTGTAGACTTTATTGGAGCGTCCTTATCATTCGGCATTGAAAAGTTTCAAATGCGCTCAGATTACATTGCATGAAAGAATCTCTCTGACTTGAAGTGGTTCACCTGATTCAGCCATGATGCAGCCACGAAGGCTTATGGAAATAGCCGCTGTGATTCTCCCTCAGACATAGCCACAGTGGCTGACCTAACAAAAATTTCTGAACTAAAAACCAGACATCCTTTCAGATAATGCTTCTACTAGCAATCTTTGATTGAAAACCTGACTACGGCTGGCGCATGGTCGCTGCCCGGCCTGCGGCAGCCTGCTCCCGAGGCGTCCTCCCAAAGCCCAACCTACCCAACCCCTAGAGCCATCGGGACCGGCACCGTGATGATGGGCGAACCATAAATTCAGGCATCACCGCTTTTCTTTCTCACATCGAGTAAAGTATTCAGCTAGACATTGTTGATCTAATTCAGCTCAGAGGGAGGCCTAGGTGTAGTCGTGTGAGAAGACAATGTAGCTGACAGTGCTCGAAACGGTACAGAGGTGAGGGCCCTGGGAATAGCTTCGGACACAAAGGGGTCATCACGGTAGTGTAGTCACATTTATGATAGCATTCTAAGCACTCCATGTGATTCGATTAGGTGAAGTTTGAAGTCTAGCTACGCGAGAAACTCCAGGTTACTCAATATCTTCCAAGCTCAAGGTTGCCAAGGGGATGGGTTTGCAGCCTTGTATATGCTTTGGGGCAATGCTGAGCTTGTTTGAACAAAGATAAGCAACTCAAACCTGACTTTTCTTTCTGACTACCTCTTTTGATCAAGGAACCTCACCCACCCCACCTTTGCACGAATGTGGCTGGGAAAGCCCTCGTAGCCGATATCACTTTGGTTAGTAAGAGTGACGCCAAAAGGAGCTTTCTTCTGCAACAAGGCCATTAAATAAGGCCCTTGCCACGCAGCGATCGCTTGTCTTGACGATGGAAAACGAGGTCAGGTCCACTCCATTAGTGAAAGAGCATCACGGAACGCTTCATCTTTAGTTGTTGTGTTGTAAGCTAGCTAGATTCACATGTGTGTGGACTTGACCTTCGTACACCTTGAGGTTAAGCGATATTGGCAGCTCTCTACTCATTGTGTTGAGATGTCGATTTCTGGCATCTTCCATTGCTACTTTTAGCTTTTTACTAAATTTGTCTTCCGTATCGACAGTCCTCCACAGCCACGATCGCGTCGGGGCGGGCCGGATCGCATCCTCCCAAACCTAGCTCTAGGCGCCACGTGTGTTAAAAGGATCGAAGCTTCGCCCAGCCAAGAAATTAGACCAGTCCGGAGAACTCACCCGTGATTCGTGCATTACCCTCCAACTATTGAAAACAAACTTCTCGTGTTGGGGCCTTTACTTTGCACCCAGCTTAATTCAAAGTCAACACCGCCTCATTTAATTCCCCTTCTGCAATCACTTACTCGCATGTGATGTATGAAGCCAAAAGCTGCATTGATCAGGGGTACGCCAGGTGGCGTTGTCGGTTCGTAATGCGCCATCTCGTGATCTATGAAGTCAAAAAAGGTCAAAAGGAAAGGTTTCTGGGCCAAATGTGATGTAGCCACACCACACACTTTATGAAGTTACGAAAGAAAAAGCCAAGAGTCATCTTGAGAACTTGCTAGAAGGCGCACGACCAAACCTTGACTTCCTCGTCGCCGAGAGTCACTTGTCGTAAAACTGCACCATCGAACACAATGAATGCCTACATTAGAGCCCGTTGCCCGCAATCCCAAAGACTACAGCCACTCGCAAACTAACGTTTCATCTGTCAAACAACAATATCGCCATCCTGGCCAAGCAAAGATTCACCACTTTCTCGAATATCCCAGAATATTGGATCTATCTTTGGAAGTCTCCGGCCCATGATGGGTATACCAAATCTATTTCTCCTCGGCCTGGCAGGGCTGGCAGTCGCCATCCCTTTCGATCCCCGCCCTGGAGAAGACAAGCCATCTGTGAGATCGAGTACAGAAACCTTGAAGTCGCACCTGACCCCCAGATGGGCCTCTCAAACTCCTGGTGCGATATTTGAGGCAAAAGGCCTTGCTCGTATGCTCAGGTCACAAGGGCTCGGTGATCTTGTAAAGAACATAGACAGCGAAGATATAATCCCTGATAAATACCAGGTCCATCTCAAACGTACATCAAAGCTGAGCCCTTGGGAACATGCAAAATGGGCGACGAATCTCCAAAAGAATAGCACGACGAATCCAAAGGGTCTCGAGGGTGTTTCTCCTGAAGCCCCATCACAATCAATTTGCCGCCTGTCAAACTCTGGGATCTATTGGGCCGGACTGGGATATGCAACTGTAGACCGACTCCGAGAGGACCCATCTGTGAGTATGACATGCCATCTCTCTAAAGGATGCAAAGCTAACCGGCTCCTCTAGGTCGCTAGTGTCAATGCTATTTCATATCTTGGCAATTACACCAACATGACACTCACACCCATGGAGGCATTCAGTCCTGTCAATCAATACATGGTCATTATGGATCCAAGGTCCGGAATGGACGTTTGGACACATGCTAAGAACGTCACCGAATCATGGATCAAAAAGAACAAGGACAAGGATGGCGGACCATTTGACGGTGTTACCGACTTCTACGATGACGGATTCAAGATTTACAGTGGCTATTTCGACCCCGAGACCGCGATACAGATCGCAGACGATGACAATGTGAGCGAGTCTAAACACAAACCGGCTCAATACACTTTGCTAACTCACTCTACTATCTACTATAGGTCGAGTGGTTTTTCCAAGCCGGGGCGTCACAAGGGACACTTAATTGAAAGGCCCCAAACCGAATATAATTTTATCTCGAAAACTGTATTCTCTGCAAGGCATGTTGATTTTTCAGTTGGAGGGGAGCATGCCAATGCGGGGACCAGATCATGGCTAGAGGTATGATATTTGAAGGACTTGTGAAGCTGGTGCTGATCCCGGCATGAAGTATGGAGGATCCAGGAGTGGTTGATTGATTGAAGAGAGAGGAGGCCTGAAAGCGTCGCCAGTGACCTTGACTGTAGCAGAACAGCCCTAGGTTGGTAAATGGTCTTGATGCCAACGCGCGAAGCCTAATATAACGTGTGACTTAACGATTGTCCTGCAATGTTGCTTTGTGAAAAAGGAGCGGTGGGTTGTATAGACAAGAGAAATAGACGGTGACCAGATCCAGAACAATGGGCAAGGGAATGCCGGCATGGTTTGTACTACTAGCAACTCGGAAATCCAGCGCCAATCCAACAGGGATAAATGGATCTTGAAGAATCTCTATTTAATAAATGCAATGCCGTTCCCAGGGGCTGGAATGCTCTCCGGAATTCACTTTAGGCCGTGAGACACGCGACGAGGGAGAGAATGTGATGTGTGACGCAGCCCGACCCAACGTATGTGAAAGCATCTGCCGGCAAAGCGGCACGCGGGCGGTGTTTCAGCTCCCCAACAGGAGGCTGTTTTTTTCTTTTTGTCCTACCTTTGGGCCCTCGTGGCAGCGTGAGAGCAGCCTGTGTGCTATGGGGCTCGGGCAGTCGACAGCCAACAGGGGCCTTCGTGTCTGCTCAAGTGACGCCGTGTGACGGACCGCATTAATAAGTTTTTTCGTGCCTGCATGCTGTATCAGCAAAAGCAAGCATGGGCAGAGGGGCCTGTCACTCGGAACGGCCAGCCCAATCACAGCACGGGCTTCAACTCTGGCCAGGCATGTCAACAGTGGGGAGTGCCGGATTTGCTCTCTCATAGGCCAGCCAATATCTCCCGTTAGTGGGCCTTTTGTCTCTGCCGGCGGTTGTTGAATGGGCGGGTGATGGATGGTGTCGGGATTCTTCTGTGTAGCAAGGTGAATCATGCTGGGGAACCCCGATGGGATTTATGATTGTTCCCATGGAGCGGGCACACGGTGTGACGCTGATTGTTTTTCTCCAACTTTTGCATGTATTTACGCCAGGTGTTTCTCATAACAGTTTCCTCTCCCTTCAGTCCGCCGTCCCCCTTCAGTCCTGACCTGACCTCACTCATTGACATCACCGGCAGACCGCTGCCATGATGCAAAATTCTACCGCGGTACACTCGGGCGAATACATCGAACTCGAAGAGACATTCAAAGCATCCATCAAGCACGACGAGCAGCCTCCATCTCTGACCGAACCCCCCTCGCCCGTGCAGCCAGATGAATTGGCCAAGGAGCTCGACTGGGATGGCCCAGATGACGCTGACAATCCGCACAACTGGCCGACATGGCAGAGGGTCATGCACAGCGCGATACCGGCCGTATATGGCTTTGGATTGTATGTGAATGTTTACTTTCATCCAAGCAGTGCTGGACATTGGAGGGGACCATCCACATCATACTGAGCATTATGCTGACTCGCCATCAATTGACCAGGACCGCCGGTATTTCCACGTTTGTCGCAGCGATCCCCGCCATCGAAGAGCAGTTCCAGGTCAGCAGGAACGTGGCCCTGCTCCCCGTGTCCCTTTACACCGCCGGTTTTGTCATTGGCCCATGCATCACGTCTCCCATCTCCGAGCTATACGGGCGCCGGTGGATCTACTGGTTCAACTTCCCGACCCTTGTCATATTCAATGCCATCGCAGCGGCGTCGGATAACTTCACGATCCTCGTCGTTTTCAGATTTCTGGCGGGCACCTGCGGGTCGGGTGTTTTGGCGGTCGGGGCAGGTATGTCTTTTCTTCTTGCGATTGAGAACACGACGTACAGGGATTGACTCTGAGGCCAGGTACCCTCTCGGATGTGTGGGATATGAAATATGCCGCCAAGGTGGGAGTCCCGTATGTGCTGGCGCCGTTCTTGGGACCGACACTGGGGCCGTTGATGGGCGCATACATCCTCCACCAATACAACAATAACTGGAAGTGGTCTGTTTGGGTCATACTGTGTATTCTGGCGCCTGTTGGTGTGGCGATTGTCTTTATGAAGGAGACGTCCATGCACAGAATCCTCTATTTGCGGGCAAAGAAGAGGGGGAGTCATGTGAAGACAGACACCGCCTCCGAAACGACCAAGAAGATCGTCAAGGGCTTGCTCAGGCCCCTGCACATGTGTCTCTTTGAGGTAAGAGTTTAACATGCCATGGGTTGATCTTTTGAAAGCTCACGTGTCACAGCCGCTCTCGATATTCCTCGGCCTCTATTCAGCCTACAGCTTTGCCATGATCTTCTCCTTCTTCGGATCATATGCGTATATCTATACCAAGGTATACTCCTTCGACCAGCGCCAGATTGGATTGTGTTATATTCCAGTCATTATTGGTATGTGCCTAACCAAAGAATTCCCTTTCCCTTTTAAGCTTCTCCTAATTCTCACTGATCAATTTAGGTTTCCTCTTCGGCGTTGCGACTTTCGGCATTTTCGACAAGATCAAGTACCAAAAGGAGGTCGTTCGTACCAATGGCAGGGCGGCCCCTGAATACCGATTGTACGCAGCCCTCTTTGGGTCTTGCCTGGTTCCAATTGGCCTTTTTGTAAGTTGCTCACATTTCAAACATGGCTCTGGATCCTGAAACCTGACTGAGCTTCAATGCTTACACGATCGCAGTGGTACGCATGGACTCCGAATCAAAGCACGCACTGGATCGTACCTGTTCTGGCTGGTCTGCCATTCGGTTGGGGAACGCTTGCCAGCTTCCTATCGTGCATGGCGTATCTGATCGACGTGTACGGAACTGCAAACTCGGCATCAGCAGTTGCAGCAAACGGGATGCTGAGGTTTGCCATGGGCGCAGCGTTTCCCCAGTTCATCATCCAGCTATACGACTCCTCGATTGGGATCCATTGGGCAGGGAGCATTTTCGCCTTCATCAGTGTGGTTATGATACCTGTGCCGTGGATCTTCTTCTGGAAGGGCCGCCAGCTGCGGCTGAGGAGCCACTATCCTACCAACAACAACTAAAAACATCGATGTCAGCAAGTTGATTCACAAAATTCCGGCTGGTCCGGAACTGGTAAGGAAAGAAGAATGGTTGAAGCAAGGATAAAATTGAAGAAGAAAGCGGAGAATGAGAGCATTTTTAGGATAAAACGGCCAGCATACATCATAGATCACAGTCAAGGCGACACGTAGCATCATATGCATTACCTCAGAATATCACACATATGTGTAGTTTGGAATCGATACGATAGATGAGAAAGATTTGAATTCTTTTAAAGAATAAAAGTCTTTTTAAGTCAACCTGATGTAGTCATTCCCTAGAAACAGGTATGAAACTTGCCCAAAGTGGTTCCCAGCATATCCGATACGGCCCTCCAGCGCTCAGGGTGCCTTGGGCACTATCAGTCCATCGTATATGTTCCTTTGGAAGTCTGCTCTATTTCTTGGCATCTCTTCCAGGCACCTCACGCCTTGTGGGTGCGGGTCTCGAAGCCAGACTTCTCAGCACCTGGTGTGCCCGTGGGCCGGCCGGCCGGAGGTGTACCGGTGGGCCAACCTGCTGGAGGGGTACCACAGTGAGGAGGCCAGTGATGATGGTGGCCACCTGCACCGGGGGTGGGTGTACCAGAGGGAAAATCAGTTGGGAAGCCACTGGGAGGAGTGTGGTGACTATGACTATGGCCAGGAGTATGGTGGCCGTGGCCGGGAGTGTGATGACCCCCGGGAAATCCAGGGCATCCCGATGGGAGATCGGTGGGAAACCCGCTTGGAAGTCCGGTCGGTGTCTCAAAGTGAACGACAGAGGTTGCCTTGGTGGTGGTAGTAGTCGCAGCCCAGCTGCTTGTCGAAAGCAAGGCGAGGAGAAGAAGCTGGGTCCGGCCCATTGTTGCGATTGAAAGATGATGGTTGAGCGTGGGAAGGAAAGTGAAAGGCCAGCCGAAGAGGGAATGAATGGAAGATGTCTGCGAGACTGGAGAGCAAGTTTCAATAATGAGGGCGAATGAAGGACTATATATACCATTGACAGGAACTATCAACACCTACGATGGGAGGCCTGCGTGTAGATCTTGTTGACGCTCGGTCCCTCGTTGCCGATGGGATTACTGGCCCACACGGGGTGTTGCCGTTCAACCGTTTGTTTGAGTGATGTGATGGTCGGGCTTTGGAAATAGAAGGGAATTTGCTTGCTTGAAACGCCCTCAAACCCTACCTCCCTGAATCAGATATAGCACGTCTCTTCGTGGTCTCGGGGTGCCCCATTTGGCCCGTTTCAAGTGGCCGTTGCATCCGTCAGAGCGGCTAGTTTTGCATTGTCAAGCAAGTCAAGCTTTCAGGTTGTGGATCCTTCGGCGATCGGCTCCATGCGCGGTGCCTCTAGCTTGACATGTCCATTCAGTTACTACAGCCAGTGGCAGTCTATTGGAAGGTGTACTATCCCCTAAATCCTCTCATAGTATCGGATGATCGGCTCAGGTCCACAAGTAGCGCTGGGGCTATGATTGAGGCTTACGACGCAGTTACGCCATCCCATCAGAACCTGCTTCAACACTTCCCTGTTTCCTATGCAACCCAGAATCTTGATGATCATACAAACTTGTTTCATGAACATGCTACACATCTGCGCCGAATTGGAGGTATAAGCTCGTGCGCAACTGCATGGTTTCGGACTACGATGAGTAGAAAACTAAGAACAAATAATGGTTTTGGACATTCTTTAGAAGCACCTTTCCCCTCTGTAGTTTTGGATCCCTTAAAGATACTAAATCCACTTGAAACATGTACAATTGATAACGGAGTGTGATATTTTGAGGGATCCCTACCTACCAATGGATAATTGATATTTGGTAACTCTTGGTCATCGTAGAGAGTTTCAAGAACATAGCCATCTTGTATTCATCCAATTTATTTTCTGACATCCAATTTATTTTCTGACATCCAATTTATTTTCTGACATCCAATTTATTTATTAAAATCTAATTTATTTGTTACTGCAAATTGGGATAGTTCTCCATCTTGGTTTTCGTCGTGAGCGATGGTTCAACTGAAGGTACCCTATATCAAGCACACACCGAACCAACCCAATCGTTGTGAAGTTACTTCAAGACCCTAGAAGTTTCCTCTGTTGTTTAGTTTCCCTTTCTCTCTTTTTTTCTCCTTCTTGTTCACTTTTGATTTACTTTTCTTTTTTTTGCTCTTTTTAAAAAAAACCTCATGCTGGAATAGGCAACCATTAGGCATGTCCCTACGCCGTGGCATTATCAAACAATCAAAATTGCACTAGATGGTCGGTTAAATGGATATAGCTCATGGAGGAAATATTCTTTGCCAGTTGATATACAATGGGACCATCGATTTGGATTATTTTCATCTGTTTTTGAATGACACATCTGACACATCACCAGGGGTGACTTGAGAGGTTCATAGCTGCAGCATTGAGATTCTTGAGATAGAGCGCCTGGCCCACTAGAGATGCCCTGTGGCAATTTGCGGGAGGCACTGCGGATTAGGTAAACCCACTACCAGGTAGAGGATTCGATGGAGAAGCTGGGGACGGCTCTCAAGAGGGCTCGGTAACCGAAATCTCCAGATGGCGGAACGGCCCCAGACGGGAACAGTTCCGCCACTCGCTTCGCAGAATTCAACCTCAACTTCCAGTTCTCCCATCTCGCGACATTGTGCAGACACAGCACTCGCGACTCGGATTCCACAACCCGGTCACACACAGGTACCGGGCCCCAAATGAAGGCCGTGTTCGGGGCTCAGCATGGACCGCATTAATGACGCACTGGTCAGGCGCCAGCGAGCCTCGGTCGCATGCAACGCCTGCCGGAGGACCAAGTCCAGAGTGAGAGCATCCTCGTTCACGTTCATCATGCGTCCGTCCGTACGCTTACCCTTCAAGTAGTGCGATGGCATGAGGCCCGTGTGCGAGCGATGCAGCCGCCTGAACGCCGAATGTGTCTACTCGCAGAATACCCAGGACAAGCGCCTGAACCGCCAGGTAGAGCGCAGGTAGCTCAGTCCAATCTGCGCATTTATTCTAGGTATCGTGTTAACCTTTGAGGACAGAGCAAATCTCGAGTTGCGCAGCAGAGTCGCCGAACTGGAGTCGCGCCTGGCTGCGACCGCGTCGCATCCCGATGACGCTGAGCATTCAGGCAGCGTTGACGCCCGCATCTCTGATCTAGGCAATTCCCCAGGACTAGAAGCCGAGAGGAATCACCCCAGTCAGAAAGCAGCATCCGTGGCTGGACGATCAGAGCCAGAATCCGTCATCGATGTCCTGGCCGCTGGCGTCTTTGACCATCCCTCTTCACAGAGCAGCATCTGCTACTTTGGTAACTCTACTGTCTCTTCCATTACCCACAACCTATGCTAAAGCCCATGAAAACAGGCACAAGCTCCAACCACTCTCTCTTTTGGTCTCTCACAGCCACAATTGCCAACTTGGGGCATCGGAAGATTCGCCTATTCCAGGAGCCTCTGCGGCAAATTAGAGCAAATGAAGGGCCTCTACAGCTACCTAGGCCACAGCCGTCCTGTATCGGTGAGTATTATGGAAGATACTCTTCCATACCGGGCTTAATGCCCGAGCATGAGACTGCCATCAGCTGGATTGCCCGCTTTTTCGATACGGTGGGCGCTGTCTTGCCTTACATTAGCGAATCCGCAGTTACCGACAGCCTCGAGAGAGTTGAGTCGAGCGCAGACGATGTGCCAGCACCTCGTTCGGTGCAAGCGCTGCTTTATATCGTGTTTGCTCATTCATTGTCGGTCACTAATACACAGATGGCGGAACCGTTTTATCTACGGACTCTGAGTGCCTTGGACCCCAGGACGCTTTATACCCCCAGCATCGAGCTCCGTAGGATTCCCCCAATCGTAGTTTTCTGGACCTCAAGCTGATGATTGATTAGTACAAGCGCTACTGTTGGTTTCTAGCTTTCAGCAGAATAGCCAGAGGTCAACGGAGAGTTTAACGACGCATGCCTTGGCGGTTAAATCGGCATACCACCTTGGAGTTCATGCACCATCCTCATACGGCCACCTGACACCTGCTCAAAAAGAAGTACGCTCGAGGTTATGGTTTGCGATAATCAATCAAGACAGGTTTGTAATCGTGGTCTTACTTCATATAATTAATGCTCACCTCATCATAGAATGCTGAGTTCTGCCCTGGGGCAACCGTGCCTGATACCTGCGCAGCACATCAGAATGGAAATCCTAGATCTAATAGATTCATCCAACCAGCAGAGAACACTCGAAATGCAGTACCCTAAGGAAGATCTGGAATATTTCCGTAATCTTGTGTAATTAGCCCCCAACATCGCCCCAACTCTGTGGCACTGTGTCTAACGCAAAACCCACGCAGATCGCTCCATGAAATCATGGGAACTGCTCTTGACTCACTCTGCGGATCCAATGTTGATCCTTCATTTCGACCCGAGATGCCAGACTTGCTCGGAAAGACCCTGGAGCTATCTTTGCGGTTGGAAAGCTGGCTGAATGAGCAACCTCCTTCAACGGTCATCACTTCTGAGACCAATGTCACTAGCTGGACGCCCGCGGACTTTGAAGCAAAAACACAAGGCATCTTGTTATCTATCTACTACTATCGAACTATGCTGTTAGTTCACGGACCTCTTCTCATGACGTCGCTTGAGAAGAGTACCCACAGCAAGAAGGGTGGTGTCCCTCCCGGAGTCCACCAAAGCACCATCAGCGGCTTACTACAAAACGACTTGAGAGCTGTACAGGATTTCGGGTCTCTGATCAGTGGTATCATGGTCCAGTGCCCGTCATTCTTCAAGAAGAATACGGCGTGGTGGACATGCAACTACGGCGGTAAGCTGGGACCAGTTCCTAAATTTGAAGGGCAAACAACTGACAGTATTAGCTCTTACCATCTCCCTCCACATGTTCGCATTCTGGCTAGCCTCTGGAAACACTGTCATCAATTTCTTGGCTCTTGGGCACGATAGCTCTGATCTGGAGATGAAATTGCGGAGCTGCCTTGATCGGTTGAGGGCAATCGGTGCCTCAAGCGCTATGAGCGTGAAAGCCCACCGGTGCCTCCAACGTCATCTAGATGTGCTATCAAACAAAGGTGGGTTTTATTGTGCTGTTCATTATTGTATCTCTGCTCTAGCATATCTCTGACCTGCATTAGGATCTCAACCTGGACAGCAGGGATCTCATGAAACTACGAGAGTTCATGTTTCCTCTATACCTAGCGTTCGGGACCACCTGGCACCGACTGCAAGGGATTACCAATTTGAGACTGGAGCAGGGTACTCCGGGGACGGCATTGCCGAGTTTTTACAAGGACAACATGTGGCCAGTATGGCGGACCTGGATCTTTTTGGGCTGGAGTTGGGAGTTTCGGACTTTGACGCCGCGGGCTTGATATGAGCTGACATTATCCTCCATACTACATGGTAGCCCTTTCATATAGGGAAAGGACTTGCAGTATTTATTAATCAGTTGTCCCATTCGCTTTCATCGATTTCGCTGGGCTGGTTTGCACATATATAAATTAACTTCTTACCAGCATAACTTCAGTCTAACGAAGCAGTACAGCCGATTCAGAATACCCTTCTCAAGCTTCCTATACTCCTCATGAAACTTAGCCGCAGCCTCTTCCATACAATCATATGAATATATCATCTTTTGCACTTCTGGTGACGCCCACTTATCAGGAACCTTGCCACCCCCATTTGCCTCTGCGAACTGCTTATCACGCTCCTCTTTGGCCTTTCCCTGGCCCAAATGCAGTGTCCGCCCAGAGAGGGCAGCGAGGTCCACCAAAGTCGTCGCACGCGGCTTCCGAAGTGTTTCGTAGACTTGAAGGCACTTATTGATGGTGTTGGGAGTCGCGTCAGGAGCGCGATCTAGCACCTCCGCAAGTACGGCGGCGTCTTCGATTGCTAAGCCAGCACCTTGATTTAGATGAGGTAACGTCGGGTGGCAGGCATCTCCCAGCAGAGCGACGGATCCGTGGACCCATGTAGGCAAAGGCTTTTGCGAGCGTAGCTTCCACTCGCAGACCTCCCCTTCCGGCACCAGGTCGAGCATGCGCAGAACCAGAGGGCAAAAGTCCGAGAAGACATCCATCATAGCACTTTTGGACCCCTTGGTTGTATATGTTGATGATGGAGCCGCGGCAAAATTATCATCTGGCTGGATGGAAGACATGTTGTAGATGGTTCTGGAGGCAATTGGGTAGCAGATCCAGTGGCGCTTCTCTCCGATCCAACGAGTCACCTGGTTGCTATCGAGAAGCTGCATCATCTCGGGATCATTGGCCATGGCTTCTCGAGGTAGTAGGATTCTGTATGCCGCCTGGCCGGTGTCCTCTACAGACTCCGACAACCCAGCCTTTGAAAGAAGTGCGGCGCGAGCAATAGACTTGACACCGTCGGCTCCAATGAGGACGGCAGCCTTTATTTGCAGTGTCTCGCCTGCCTCTGTCTGAAGCGTGAAGGTGGTATGTGGAGCAAATGATTCTATGCTCCGCAAGCTATGCCCAAACTTGAACTTGATGGCAGGCTCGAGTTTGCAAGCGTCGTAGAGGCTTCCAGCAAGAGTAGCTCGGTGCCCAGTGCAGTGCGGGTACCCGTACATCTTTCGAATATTGGGCATATTAACATGAGCTAGCTCTTGGTTTGAGGCACCATCTACATACACATTATCAGCAAGTTGTTCATTCAAATTGGGGCGCGCAACTCACCTCGAATACTCGTCTCCAGGACGTCAGTCGCTTCCGCCTCTACGGGGCTCCAACATCCGAGACGTGTGAGAATGCGAGCCACATTAGGTGCCATCTGGATACCTGCGCCTACGAAGCCCAGCCCAGAAACCCGTTCAATCACTTGGATGTCTTTGAACCCCTTCTTTGCTAGTGCCAATGCGGTAGCGAGGCCGCCCATACCTTTTGGCGGTTAGCCTAGTTGTTTTGTTTGTTAAGAGAGTGTTGTGTGACGTACCTGCTCCAATGATGACAATGGGAGCGTCTTTCATGGCCTTCGTCTGCCATGATGTCCCGTTGGCCGTCATGTTGTGATGAGTGATTGAGCTTATACTGTTGTGTTGAATTGCTCGAAGTCTAAATGATTTATAACGGGATACTTGGGCTACTTGTCATCATTATCAGAATTTCCTTTATCCTCACATCCTGCCATTGTTTTCATTTCAGTACAATTGATCCAGACAAGACCATGACCGGTTGTATTCCACCGGGGCAAGCAGGGCCTCCCCACTCGACCCCGGATCTCCGCGTTGACTCCTCACCATTCGACGTCAGCCGGCACATCCTGCCCAATCGGAAGCGGGATATCCGCAACGGCCACGGAATCTTCATCTAAGATGTTCATGCCGTGCGGAAATACGGATCAAGGGTTTGCAATTGGCGTAATCAGGAACGTCCATACTTCAACTTCTCATGCTACCGCCGGATATTATTCCTGTTGAACAAAATCGAGATAAAACCCAACCCCGGCAGAAACATCTCCGTAGTTGTTACTGCAGCCAGTAATAACCTTCCGCAAAATGACTTCCACTTCTCCGAAAGGCCCTTACAAGCTCGTCACTGTCAACAACGCCCCTGAGCGTGCGAAGAGGCTCATCGGTAGAGTGGTTGGTGAGCTGGCCGACAGTTACACCATTATTCACGCTGCCAACTGCGCGAGTAAGAATGATCTTAATGTGTGTATTAGGGTTTTATTTGACATGATCATAGGCAAAAATGAAGTAAAAGAGACCGTGGAGAGGGTACAACCCGACGTTCTGGTAAGTCAAACTGCAGACCATGCGCATGGTCCGTGCTGACATGGAGATAGTGCTGTGCCTCCATGTGGACAGTTGAGGAAAGCACCGCGATGAGGGAGTTGGCCAAGTCGCTGGTGCCTGGGATCAAGACTTATGCCATTCCTCACGGCCTGCAGGTAGATAAAGGGCCTGACGCTATCGTAGAGCATCTGAAGGAGCAGTTTCCTAAACTTTTGGAGGCACCCAAGGGCGAATAGAACAAGCATTTGCATTAGATAGCCGATTGAATTGAATGGACTCTAAAATGCATTCGTTCCAGATTCAGTCTTTAAAGATTTGCTTACAATAAATGATCTGAGAGTTCAAGTAGGGCTGCGTTAAAATTTTGTCTTCAGTGTAGACTGAATCAGAAAGTCCGGTTTCTGAAACTCCCCATGAAGTTGCTCAAAACTAAGGCGCTTTCATCCCAGCTGCTTTTGAATACGCCTTTCATTCAGGGAAAATTCACCCTAACTAGATTTAAATGAAATTCAACTGACAATTGTTAAGTGTCTTGAAGATACATTATTGGTATTGTCTATTTCCAATATCATGCCTCGTTTTCAAATACGCTGATCAACGTTCCAATGAATGGTTGAAGTTCGACCGAATATGTGTCTCCATGCTTTATAGTAACCTTTGGGCTCTTCCCAGCACCCACACCAGCTGGGGTACCAGTGATAATAACAGTCCCAGCCGGTAGGGTAGAGCTTTGAGAGAGGAAACTAACGATTTTCGGGATGCTGAAAATTAAATCGCTATTCTTAAATTAGCACATTTCAATAAGGTTATGTTTCGATAAAAAATATCTTAACCCAAGGCAACTCACTCCAGTCCGCAGTCTTGCAACACTTTTCCATTCTTCAAACCCCTGATGTGAAGTTGGGAGGGGTCAGGTATTAAAGACGTGGAAACAATCGTCGGGCCTGGTATTGAAAGTTAGCACTCTTACTTGGCCTTCAGGAAGCTAATTCAAGCAACCTCACCTAGGGGACAAGATCCATCGAATCCTTTAGAGAAACACCATTGAGATGTGTTGAATTGGGATGTTCGGCTCGATATATCGTTTGCAGCCGTGTACCCGAGCACATATTCCATGGCTTCTGCCTCAGTCACATTCTTGGCCGACTTCCCAATGATGACCGCGAGCTCGGCCTCATAATCTGCGCAGTCGTCTATCTGTGACAGCTTCGGCAGTACTGTTGGAGCTGGCCATGGATCGCATAATGCAGTATTCGGTTTCCTGTCCTCAGGGTTAGTGACAGCGAGATTGACATAGATTCTTAGTCTCATACAGGAAGACTGTTGGCACAGTGGGAATTTCTAGCTTCACCTCCTCTGCGTGTTGCTTATACTGGACGAGTGTCTTTTTTAGTATGAGTTCCAAGTTGGATGTTCATAACATACGTTTAACCCAATGCAGCGAATTGTCCCAACCTCGCTCGAGGCAAGCGGTGACAATACGCGACTCATAATTTCCACATTTCCGGTCGCTTCGCCAGGCATCAACACTGAGGTTCCAGAGAAGACTTCAGCCTGCACCTCGGCGCCTTGGTAAAGCGCCAGGCCAACATCAATGTGTTGAGAGACGGGCTGGCCGATCAATATCTTGGCTGTATCAGACCGTGGCACAAAACGAACAAGACCTGCAGGAATTCAAGTTAACTACTACGAAGCCCGTGCTTAGCCGAGATAATTGATGCTTACGACTAAAGCGTAGTAAAGCCATTGCTAATCGTGTTTCTTGGCCACTGTTCCCAAGTGATCATGCATGTGACATTGCGCTGGGCTTCAAAAACTGCATATGCTAGAAATAGCCGGCTGGCTGCCTTCGTGCCCCTACCGGGATCTCAGATTCCGGTTGCCTTGTGTCTATAATCCGCCCAGCGAGAAGCGAATATCATTGTGCATCTGGCCACCGGAATGCATGTCCAATAGGAACAGAGTGATCCGACGGTCCATCGTGCTCCACTTACCGACCCGACCCATCGCCCTTCCGAGATGGCTCGACTTGATGAGATCATGTGAGGAGAGTCTGGGGTATCCTGGCTACATCCATCATACATTCGACGGAGATTAAAAATATGAATGAAGCTGGCGCTAAATATCCATAATTTACCTTAGAAGGGAGACATCTGTATACTTCGAACAAATCCGATTCAACCAACTCCAACACTCGGGACATGGTTTTCCAACAGCTATGGCGAATCCAACTAAAGGAACATCTCCATTTCGGGAGCACCTGCCCGATCTTTCTCAAGACAGGTTTACAGTGATGAAGCAACAAAATGCTCACGAGTACGTGAAAGCCTTCTTGGATAGCGCAACGCCACCTTGGTTGCATGGACTATACCTGCACTGGCGCAGCCTCCTCGCTGAGCCCTATAAAGGAGTCACGAATGACGGTAAGAGAAACCGAGAGGCTGTTTGAGGCTGCAAACTGATGGGTAATTGATGGCACAGGGAAGATTAGGCCAGATCTCTTCAGTCTCGAGGACCATGGTATACCTATCGAAGACATCGTGGAGGCTGCTGAGGCCGCGTTATCAAAAATGGACCATGCACAGAGAGAAAGAACAGTATACCACATTGATTCTTCGGAATGGCGAACCTGGTCTAACCCCGAGTTCTTGTTAAGTGACAAGGGTGTGAGGTTAGACGAGGTAAATGATGACCTACGCTCTGCTGTATTGAACGTTTTGCAGGTCAGCCTGTCTCCTGATGGATATGAAAAGGCAGTAGCTGCTATGCGAATCAATGGATTCTTGGGAGATCTAGTAGAGTCTCCTGCTATCATGAATGAGTTCTCTTACAACTTCGTTCTGTTTGGGGAAAGACCCTCAACTACAGAGCCGTGGGGATTTTCGTTCTACGGTCATCACCTGTGTTTGAATGCCTTCTTTTATAGGAGGCAGATGGTCCTCTCACCGTGGTTCACGGGTGCTGAGCCCAACATTATCGATGATGGAAAGTATAGCGGAACCCAAATATTACAGGTGGAAGAGAAGCTTGGGCTGCAGCTGATGCAGAACCTCCCTTCCAAAATCCAGTCACAGGCTCAGATATACAAACACATGAAAGATGATGCCATGCCTCTTGGGCGATGGAACCACGATGACCAGAGGCATCTTTGTGGAGCGTATCGCGACAACAGGGTGGTCCCTTACGAGGGGGTTGTTGTTACCGAATTCACTGCTCAGCAACAGGAACTCGTGATAGGAATTGTCAACCAATACATTCTCTATCTGCCAGATTCGGCTCGCAAGATTCGACTCGAGGAAGTGAAGAAGTGGTTCCATGAGACCTATTTTTGTTGGATTGGTGGATACACTGATTCCGATCCATTCTACTATCGAATTCAGAGTCCAGTCATTATTATCGAGTTTGACCATCATTCTGGAGTCTTCTTGGCAAACAAAGAACCAGCCAAATTTCATATTCACACTCTTCTGAGGACACCTAATGCTGGAGATTACGGTGTAGCCTTGAGAAAGCTGATCCCGGGCAAAGAGCAGAAATTTCTATGGCAGCCTAGCATATAGACTAGAGACTCAAGCTTAATATATCGTTACGAATGGCTATTTTCCACGAGCCGCCGAGTTCTTGTAGTTTTGAATTAATCATGAAATTGAAAGTCCCCATAGAAGAAACAGTTTGTATTAGTATGGATATAGATACATTGTCCTACCAAGGGCTAGTTGTCTTGGAAAAGAAAGACATTTCACGAGGGTTCTCAATATCTAGATGACTTGGCACTGACTAATTCGCGATCTACATAGTAAGAGGACAAGTGATCTGGCTCTTAGCCCCGGTAAGCCCTTCTCAAGAAAATACTACTTGAAGTAGGGTTCCTATCTTGAAACCCTGCCGCGGCATGGTTGAGGAGCCCGATACGGCCCGTTTCCGGCCCTGTTCCAAGCACGGCCGGTTCTAGCTCCTGTAGCAAGGTTAGGATAGATCGACACTGGTAGTCAAGCCTGCCAATCGGAGAGAAATCAACCGTGCCGCATAAGCGGGATGACGAGGTATGCCTCCATTGCCAGATTACGAATCTGAATTCTACGTAAAGGACTTCTGAATAATCTCGTTCGCGCGTTGCTCCATATTTATGCGCCAAGGCTATCTTGATCCGAGTGCAACCCCATGGGGAAGGGGATCTTGCATCTTCTCAAGCTCGTCATATAAATGTAAATAGTGCTCTTTCGTACAATAACGGCAACCCATAGAACAACCCATCACTCTTCTCCAAGCAACTTATATTCACTGATTACTCTTCTTAATCTTTTCTGCCCTCAATTCCAATGTCAAAATCTGAATCTGAGACGACTGAGCATGTTGTGCGTCTAAACTGTCTCGCATATGTCTTCCCACTACCACCATTCCTTCCAATAGCATGAGCGCATTCTAATAGAATACAGGAGAGGGAGGCGAGCTTGTCTCGAGAACTCAGAGACTATCTATTGAAGCGCCATGGGACGTTTAATCTGGATCCTCTCCCAACGATGGGTGATGGCGATCCGTTAAATTGGCCCAAATTCAAGGTATTCCGTCTCAAATCGCCTACTTGAACACCACTCTAACAATCTATTAGAAAGTAGCCAATCTTTTAGTCATCGCATTCCATGCCATGATGGCTACTTTTACTGCGGCCGCAATTCAATCAGCGTTTTCCGACATTGCCGAAGAGTTCGAAATCACTGTCCAGAAAGCAAGCTATTTGACGTCTCTCGTCGTCATGGTACTTGGAGGAGCTCCTTTCTTCTGGCGTCCTCTGTCTCACGTTTACGGCCGACGCCCAATATTTCTCATATCCTTATTGTGCAGCCTCATTGGAAACATTGGCTGCGCCGTGAGCCCGTCGTATGCGACGATGGCATTGTGCCGAGCCATCACTGCGTTTTTTATTAGCCCAGCTAGTTCACTAGGCAGTGCCATCGTTTCAGAGACCTTTTTCAGAAACGAGCAGGCACATTATATGGGTATCTGGGCAGCAATGGTTACCCTCGGTGTCCCAGTTGCTCCTCTCATTTTCGGATTCGTGGCAATGCGAGTTGGATACCGCTGGATCTATTGGATTCTAGCTATCGTGAGTATAGAACATCCATAACCTATTGGCGCTTCCTAACAGTCAGAAAGACAAATGCTGTTCAGATGATTCTTCATGTTCTTCTCTGCCCCGAAACCCGATACATTCCAACCGAGGCAGAACCGAAAACATCCTTTCGCAGGCAATACTTCCAATTTAGACGCCTTGACTCAACTCCTCTTAAGATCAAAGACTTTCTGCACCCTCTCAGTCTCGCCGCCCGCCCCAGTGTGATGATTCCCGCCGTATCATATTCCATGATATTCCTCTGGGGCAGTGTCATGACAACTTTTGAAATTCCACAGCTCTTTCCGGAGAAGTTCGGCTTCAACACCCAACAAGTTGGTCTTCAGTACATTGGCATCATCCTGGGGACCGTCATTGGAGAGCAAATAGGCGGCCTCACGTCTGACAAGTGGATGGCGATGCGGAAACGTCGATCTGGAATCACACCTCCGCCCGAATACCGTTTATGGCTGAGCTATCCAGGACATCTCCTTACGCTCATCGGAGTTGTCGTGTTCTTGGTTCAACTTGATCGAGCTGGTGACCGGTGGAATATCACGCCAATTATTGGCGCGGCGATTGCAGCTGCAGGAAATCAAATCGTGACGACCGTGTCTATCACTTACGCTGTTGATTGTTTCAGGGAGGATTCTGCCTCGGTCGGCGTGTTTATTACGTTTGTTCGCCAAGTATGGGGATTCATTGGGCCATTCTGGTAGGTGAAACTAATCACTATAAATCAAAGAGCTTGGAACTCATGCTGATCTGCTGCGGTTAGGATACCTCAACTGATTGAGAATCTGGGTCTTCGAGGTTCCACGGCCATCACTACATCTACTATCGTTGGAGTCTCCATCTTACCAATGATGCTGCTGCAGTGGAAAGGAAAGAATTGGCAAGGTCGCCTTAGCACTAATGAATCCTGAAATGACCAACTCTTCAGGTATAGAGAAAAGAGGTTGGCATACCTGGTCATCAAGGGGCTACAGGTACATCAAAGACTGTCTAGAAGCTCGATGCCCAGGAGAGAAAATGTCGAAGATAGAAATTCAAAGGCCATTCTTTAATTAAATAATTCCCAGCTCGAATGAAGTAGTCTTGCTCTGTTTCTAGATGCACATGGGTGTCACATGCGGGGTAAATCACCAACGCGACGTGCATACCATTCATGGACAAGGGTCTCTCAATGGGAATCACGGGGATAAAGTGACGTAGAACTATTCCTTGTGCCTCGGATGAAAAGTCTTAGCTTCATTTACTCCGCAAACTCGCCAGCCCCTCAAATGTCTTCATGTATGATATGATTAAACACCGGTCCGTTAAGATTTACTATGGTCTGAGTATTGCGAAGCGAAAAATACGGCATACAGAAGCACGATACAACAATCAAGGCCTTGGGAATTGATATACATGCCATGAAGCTCATAATTATTGCTCGTCTGCTCCTTGTTTCACCGCTTGTTTCCGCCCAATTCGATACAGTGTTTGCTTTAACTAAGGCCCTCGGTCTCACCGTCAAGTTCGACTGCGCCCTTCCTTGCATCCTAGAAGCGGCAAACAGGATTCCGTGCAACGAGAAAGGTCCCGCAGATGCAATCTGTGACAATATCGCTACCATCACCACCTATGCTGAGCCATGTGCTGAGAAATGCGACGCTGATCGAGCAAGTAGTAGGTTTATCCATCTGGTGATCTCGTCTAATCTCTAGAGATATCGCTAACCAGATACGCGCTCAGCTTTTATCCAGGAATTGACTCAGTATGTCTGTAAACAGAGAGTACCAAAGTCGGACCAACCTTCTGGAGTCGACGAAATCCAGGAGGGTGGAAATTCAGATGATACGGAACATACGGGAACCCAAGATCCCCTGAGAGATGAAGTAATGAAGGCTGAATCAACCGTGAAGGACGAGCTTTGAGTATACATGTTTTCCCGCCGTGGAGGAAAACAGTAAATTCTTCCTTCAATCTCAATTCTAAAGGGACCACAATTAAATACATCCGATAGTTTTCTACTTGCTTACAAAATCAAATAATTTTAAGCACTCATACATTACGGAACGTTCGCATTTTGAACAACTACCATTCCGAAGGGGGGAAGAGACATCTAGGGTAGGCTATTTCAGTCGAGGGCGAACGAGAGAACAAGGTTTAATAAGAGATTGCATGTCTGCCGAGAGGTTATAACGCAGCTGATATTGCGTTGTTTGAAGATAAAATGTTCACTTAAATGATTAGAGATCAGACTTCAAGGAAATTTGCATCCTAATCTCATCCATTCTGCCTTTCCTACCCATGTGCAATGACGCACAACTGGGGACATCATAGGCAAATGTGGAGTGATGGCAACGCGCACGCGTAAGCTCAAGGGCCAATGAAAGACTGTGCCTGGGAGCAATTCTTGTGTGATTGATTACCTCATGGCCCCTCTTGCTGACAGAACTTGGCGTAGGACAAATGTGTCCCAAAACCTCATCGGTAAATGACCAATCACTTTACGAGAGGTTCCATTATACGCCACCAAGCAGGTCGAACAACACGTGCCTAACATCGGATTGAGGAACGCAGCAGGTGTAAGCACACAGAGCGTGTGCGAATAAACTTCTTCTGCTCGGTCGGCAGAGGAAGAATTGCCTCAAATGTCGACTGACGATCTGACTGGCCTTGTCCTTGGCCTTAAGCTGGAAACGGAGTTCGCTGAGGATGGGTCGACCGTCCATACAGTACCACAAGGAGAGACTTCCGAGTCCTTGACAGAGCGCTGGGTTCCTGATGAGTCCCCGCTATTTGGCCAGAAGGGCGGCTCAAGCAATGTGCGGCTTGAGCGATGCGACAAGAACGGAGGCCAAAAAAGGGTCGTAAAGGAGATTGGAAAATTCTTTGATGGCCAAGTTCGCATTGACTATGCACAGGAACTTGAGTCTCTTAGACTTGTCTCTAGCTCAAAGGTCAGTAAAATTTCCCAAAAATCCGTGAGCAGTCTGTCAACAAAGAAATATGCTTAATGTAGCATATAGGCTTCAGACCTTTTCGTGGAAGTCTTCGGGTGGTTCGAAAATCAAGAATCTATCTTTATCTCCATGGAATATCTTGAACTTGGCGACCTCAGTCGTTACTTGTCGGCTCCTTTTCCAGTCGATCAAACACATCAGATCATCTCGCAACTACTGCAGGCTCTTGAATTCCTACACAGCCATATGCTTACTCACCAAGACCTGTCTCCATCAGTAAGTAAATTATTTGTCAGTTGCAAGTGACTTTGATTAATCCTATCAGAACATTTTGATAGCGGCACAACACCCAGAATGGATTGTGAAAATCGCGGGGTTTGGAACTGGGAAATACCGTAACTGGGACTACGACACAGTAGTTACTCTTCCCATGAAAACGGTAGAATATGTGTCCCCCGAGAAGCTTGGAATTAGACCACTCGACTCTGAATTGGCATCTTCGGTTGACATGTGGTCACTTGGAGTATTAATGTTCAAACTACTAACAAACGACACCCCATTCAGGAGTGTGTATCATTTGATTGAGTATGATTCTGGAATTATCCCTCTGCCAGGAACGGAAAGGCTTCGAAAATTTGCACCCCAGTCATTCCAGAATATTATTGAGGAGTTACTCACTGTTGACCCGCAAAGCCGACCTTCTGCACGGTCTTGCAATAAACGTGATTGGGGTTACATTGCGGATGAAAACTTAGTGGAAGGCTCCATAGGACGGTAAGCTTGATCCCTCGACATTAAAAATTAGATTCGGAGCTTGAACTTACGATTGATTGGTTATGTGGATGGCGTAGCACCAGTACGTCTTACTCAGTTGACAGTCTCGAGAAGACGCAATCATCCGTGGAAACATCTTCTACATCCATACATTCAGGACATACCACTACAAGTTCGGATGTAGACTTTCGTCGGGCAGGAACCAGGAGAAGTTTATATTACAACACAGACCTTGCACAAGCTGAGAAGGAAGTTGGCGAGCCAGATGTTTCTAGCCACTTTCAACAGCCTGAGAAAGAAGTTGTCAGCGAAGCATTGGCTTCTAATATTCTGACCACAGAAAAAGAAGTTTTACATCAAACCTTGCCAACTAAGATTGCTGTTCCACAAGTTGCTTTTCCAGAAAAAGAAGTCATCCAAATTGCCCCCTCTGTTAATCGGGGTGCAGTTGCAACCTGGCCGGTCCAGAAGCAATCAGAGATCTCAAGATCTAATAGCTTTGGGAAGAATAAGCCTAATAAGCTCCAAAAGCTTCAAGAAACCCTTTTCCGCGCCAAATCAAAAGATGCATCTCGCCCAAGGCTGGAATTACTCAAATGCCAACAAGACATGTCGAAGTTGGCAGCAAAAGACCCTTCTAAAGCAGCAGACCGAGGGCTCAAGTACATCCGCAGCAATTTCAAAACCTCGTTTCCACTTTTTCAAAAGTGTGATGAATGCATTCGCTGTTACTTCCAATACAATGGATTCTCTCTTACAGCAAGAACACGAGGACCGTTCTGCCAGATCCACAGAAGGCAATCTGGCATCATGCCGTTCTCGCCTCTCCATTTCTTCGCCATGGCTCGGCAGGACGTCGGTACAGCGACAGCACGATATAGGAGTTGTGTCGAAGAAATTCAGTGTCTAATTGAGCTGGCGAAAACGGATACAGGCTACTTGAATTATCCGCTTCAATTTTCTGTGACGAACTCGGATGGCTTGATGGAAATGACACCGCTTTGGCTGGCAGCCTTGGACAAAAACCAAGAAGTCGTCGATTTCATGCTATCATTGGAGGCCATTAGTATAGGCGAGGGAGTAAAGTCTCTCTGCCTTTTGTCTAAGATGGGTATACCACCTAGTCACCATGACTCCATCCTGCAGGTTCTCAATAGGCTACCTGAAGACAGTGTTCGCCGCACTCTCAGAGAGTATCTCTCTTCTAATGGTGCTTATCCAAACATGCCTTGGGTTTTCGCAAGCACACATCTTTTGGATCAAGTACTTGTCAAATCCGGGGAGGGCAGTGCAAGTGACAGTGTTCCTCTACAAACTCGAGAGATGCTTCTTCCCGTCTACCTTCCTCTCGTTCACGCCCTTGCCATTTTCCCGATAGCAACCTCCAAAAGCCAGTTCCCATATGCCTCTCGGCTTGAGCTGTTCAAGATTCTGCTGAAGCATGGTGCTGACACCTCACGAGTCCACGACGAACGAGGGTCGGTCACCCGGGCATACTCTCAAAGGCTTTCTCGCGGCATGGATTTACTCACCGGCCAGTTGCCACCTCCGAGAACAGTCGACATCATTTGCGATGAAGTTTCCGGCCTAGTACAAATCATCCATATGATTCGGAAACAGCGACCGGAGGAGAGAATTGACGGCTTGACTCGGCTTAGGACTAGCTTTAGGGAGCTTAACGCCAGCATTTCCGATGAAACTGAAAAGGTCAAGGCTAGGCATAAATCATATGCTAGTCGTGGCACTATGAAAATACTCAGTGAAGGTGGCCGTGTTCCTGAGCTCGAGACGTTGGATCATGACCATAAACAAACCATGTTCAATATCTGTACCGCGGCGGAGCAGTGTCAGCTGCTTCTCAAGGAGATTGGTGTTTCTATGGATGAGGAGATAATAGGCGGCCACACAAGATATGAGCCACATCGATATTTCGAGGGAACCGAAATTCAGGTTCACGAATTTCTCGGCGAACTAGAGGATGGCAGCTAATTGAGGAATGAATGTATTGTTCCTTGGATATCAACGGCCAACTCATTTCTTCAGGATCACACTCTTGCCTGTAGCTCTGATTCCTTACTACCAACACTACTACATGGTTAGATGCGTTCTATAGAACAAAATGTTTATCGATTGGCTCGGGTGAAAGCCCTGTCTTCTAGAACCTGAAGTTTATCTTATGATTTAATGAATGGAATACATTTAACATCTTATCTCACGTCCTCAAACTACGATCCAGCCAGCAGCACACAAAATATACAGAATTACGAAAGTAGGTGAGAGAGTATTGCTCGTTGCTCGTAAACGAGAATCGATCCATTTACGTGCTATATTTGCTAGCAGGCTTTATATACAGGCGTTTCTATGTCATAGTGTCATTATTCATAATATTGGTTTCCCATATCCCGAGCTTTTCCCCATTTTGCATGATCCGGGCAATTAAGGTGGCCCTCCGGTGCTTGTCTCAAGTAATTTGATGCATAGCACAGATGCGATAGCGGCAAGACTGCCCAGAACCAGCATTCTGAAACCCTCCCACAGGCTTTGTCGCCAATACGACTTCTCTTCACTAAACATCCAACACTTGCCAAAACCGAATCCGAACAAGGCTACCAGGCAAAAGGCGGTGCTCCAGCACAAGCCAACGCCTACAGTTGGGGTGAAGAAATATGGTAGAAGGGGAATCAAACCACCGATCACATATCCGAGAGAGATCGAGATTCCGGACATAATGGGCCAAATGGCACTCTGGATGCGTTCGGCTTTTTCTTTAGGTTTCAACGCCAGTGCGGTACTCTCCAAACCTTTCTGTCGGCTGGCGATGGTGGAGAGAATCTCAGACACCATGTGAGGGGGGAGATTTAGGGGGTTGAGGTGTTGGCGGACCATTTCTTCAGAGACACGATTCGAGTTATCCTCGCCAAGGTTAGAGCCGATTTCAGTCGCATCGTCTTCGGTATGATACGGCAAACTGCGGGCTTCTTCGACATCATCCTTACTTCCCTCCAGCAACTTTTTGTCCTCGATGTTCTGGCAGCGCTCGTTTGCGCGAACCTCATCCAAGGCCGACAGGTATCCACCAATGCCCATGCTGATGCTGCCAGCGCACAGCTCTGCGAAGCCCGCATAGATGACAGTCTGGGCTGTGCCTAAGGAGCTGAGCCCGGCTGTGAGAGCAAATGGTACCGTCAATCCATCAGAGAACCCCAATGTGAAGTCGGCTAGAAATCGGGCAATGAACAAGTCTCTTTTCGCCTTGTCATGCTCGAGAGCGTCGCTGTCGTAATCGTCATTGAGAGTTGATATCGATTGATACGAGGAGGACCGTGATGTAGAGTAATTGTTGTTGTCTGATACGCCGGGAAGAAGAGCCTGGAGCACGAGATGTTAGTGTCATACAGAGGAGGAGAATACGTGTATATAGGACAATACTAACCTGCTGCTCGCTGGATCTTGAACCCATTTTGAATGTGTAGATTGTGAATGTGCAGTGAGAATAGATATTGTCGGTATGTGAATGATTGCTTGAAAGGACGTCAGGTCACGGCGTGGGAGAAGACAAGATACCGCCTTGTCAAGTGCTGCGACAAAAGTAGAAGAATGAGGAGATTGAGGCGACCCTCCATCAACACCACCATCCTGGCAAAGATATAAGTTCACACCTGCAGCGGATGAGACCTCCCTCGTCTAAAAGACCAGCCAACCAGAGGCCCCGAGTTGTCAGCTTGTGGTTGCATTGCGGGGCCATCCGTCGCTTCCGACCATCAATATTCGATGTCCGAGGACTAATTTGCACACCGCGTGGCGGTCATGGTGCATCCATCGCCAAAAGGCCGTCAGCCATGGAATCCCGCGGGAGGCTGGTGGGTTCTGTATTGCTAATACCTAACCTGTGATTCGTCAGACGCGGTGGCGAGGTCACATCCAATACAAATAGGAGAGCTCTCATTCGTCAATTGCTCTTGGTGCTCGTAAATCGACAGGCCGCTAACTTTACTCGGGTTATGCTAAAGCACGCCCGGACATTTAACTTAGTTTGGCTCACAGTTGAGTCTCCGTGCTCATAATTAGCTGCGATCTCATTGGTTTGCTGGACATGAACACCTGAATGGTGACAGACCATGACACGCGTAGTGGTTAGCGCTGTCTTGTTCAAGTCTAAGCTGGCCTTGGCTGTCTGGGTAATATAATTAATAGGCGGGTCATCCTGAATAAACCGAGTTGAAATCTCCGGGCCGAGATTGGGTCGGTGAACAAGATCAACGGAACTGCAAATTTCTTCTATGCCAGTTCCACATCGAAATATTAATCACGTAATGTTTACTGAAATATTGGTTTCTTCAGGCGAGGTGGGTGAGAGATGGAACGCATCCCACTAATGCATTTGTATCCAGGCTGCCTTAGATGAACTTCAGAAAATAATTGCATATGTTTGCACGCAAGAGTCATAAAATAGAATGACGTTAACGGTTTTTGTGTCTACTGAGGGAAGCAATCTTTTTTGGAGACAATGGCTCACAGGTGGCTTCATTTTAAAGCATGAGGTTGTGTTGCGAATGACGGAAGATTGCTATGCATAGGCATTTACAGTTTTGACTCTTTGGATACACGTGGAGTTTCCTCTTCGACTCTTCCCCTCGCCTCCCTCGCGCCCTGAAATTTAACATGGCCATACTCCTTCCAGCCTTTATTTCCAAGAGCCAGGACCACTCGGCGATTAGCAAAATGGCGGGTATGGTGGTACGCGTCGTGCTTCTCAATGCTCTCCCATCCAACGTAAACGACGTAGCAGTTGTGGTGTCCATCGACTGATTCAACCACTCTACCCCCAGTCACACCCAAGCATCCATCGACGTGACGAACGATATGCGTCCATAGAGGCCAAGCTCCAACATGCCAAGCCTCGTTAGTATCAACGTATATTGCCGTCCCAGAAAACGGCGCGCCTTTCCCAAGTGCTTGATTATTGGGCGTAAATTCTTCAATAAAAGCGTGCCGAGTGAATGGGACACTGGAGGGAACTATCAGCTTCTTCAGAATCGATTGCAACTGTTCGTACTTTGAGGTCTTTTGGAAGTCTTGATGTTGTGACAGGTGGTCTCTCACTAGAATAAGATATTAGAAGCGCGTGACTGTCTGTATAAAGTGCTAAGTCAACCCACCAACGTGTAGTTGAACCTTGGACCAGTCTTCTGGACTTCTCCCCCAGTACAGTCGACGAAAGCCATCATATGCCTCAAGGAGATCTAACGCCTTTTTCCACAAACGGCCCGGGTCTGTGTTTTGATCTTCAATTTTCACATTTTGGCTAATCTCCAAGTAGTTTATTTGCGTAGCAGGAATAGCAGACATCTTGTCCTCGTGATGACAAAATAGGTACGAAGGTTGTGAGACGTTCGAGAGAATCAGTTATTGCGTAAATCATGAGAAGAACCTGCGGCACACATATGAAGAGCTTATTCAAGGCTACCCACCGCCATGAAATACTTAGTCCTGATGGCCTCGAGTGCCTCGGCATAACCTCTGGTTGGTTGGCATCGAGCTGTTGGATGGACACCCAAAGTGTGGGGTAAGAAGAAATGGCGGGGGAATAATGCCAATATCCGGGGAACAGGGAGGTCACTTTCTTCTTCGCACCTATCAGATCGAGCAACATAGACTAACCGACGAGATACATACCAATTCAGGACCGAGGGGGGAACAGGGTGTGTCGCGTGGCCTCCTAGTGAGAAAATCAATAGAAGCTTCGGCTTCGGACATATGCTCTGTCACAAGAACAAACCGTCACCCCGTCCGGGTATTATAAATACACCTCTCGATGAGTTTGTCTTACTTTACTAAATTCTTAAGTCCCATCAAATTTCTGAACCGAATTTGTTGACTCCCAATCATGGCTCCCATCACCGATTTTGCCGTCAAGGACACTTACCTGTATCTAGAAGGGTTTGGTAACTACCACTCGTCAGTTACTTTCTATCTGACCACTTAACTCCCTTAGCTGACTTCCTATTGCCTGATTAGATCCGAGGCTCTCCAGGGAGCAATCCCTGTGGTGAACAACACCCCCGTAAAACCTCCATACGGGCTTCGCACGGAGCGACTCAGTGGGACTTCCTTTGTTGCGCCGCGCAACCTCACGTTGCAGACATTCATGTATCGCGTTGCGCCATCTTTGGACCATGATCCATTTGAACCTCTAGATGCAACCCCTAAAGTGCCGGATTTCATATCTCCCAACTCATACCTGTGGCCGCAGCTTCCCTCTGATCCAACAGCTGATTGGATTTCTACACAAAAGCTCCTGGCCAGGAATGGTGATCCTATGCGGAAAGAGGGTCTTGCTATCTGGACTTGGAGCGTGTCACAAGATATGAAACCGAGAACAGCTTTCTGTTCAATCGACGGTGACGTGCTCATTATTCCCCAGGCGGGTTCTCTTGATATCCAGACGGAAATGGGCAAGTTGTTGCTCAGGCAGAACGAAATTGCTTTGATCCCTCGAGGGATACGGTATCGTGTCACATTACCCGCGGGTCCAGCTCGAGGCTACCTATGCGAGTTATTCCAAGGCCATTTTCGTCTTCCGGAACTTGGCCCTGTAGGTAGCACTGGACTCGCCAACACCCGAGATTTTCAAATACCTGTGGCCTGTTTCGACGGGAGTATCCAAGACGGAGTGGCTGTTTCGAACGATGCGGGGACAAAACACACGATCGTGACACGTCAGAATGGTCGGCTATGGCAATGTGAACAAACGCACACGCCTTTTGACGTTGTAGCTTGGCACGGCACAAATTATCCCTTCAAATATGATTTGGCCAGGTTTTGTGTCATGGGAAACTTGCTCTTTGACGAACATGATCCATGCCTTTACACTGTATTGACTGCACCCTCTCACGGCGAACCGGGCCATTCGGTAGTTGATTTTGCTATAATCCCACCGCGTTGGATGGTATCTGAAGATACCTTCCGGCTGCCCTACTATCATCGGAACACCATGTGCGAGTTTTTTGCCCCTATAATCAACTCTCAAGACAAGGAGTATCCTTTTAATGGGGGAGCTGAGTTCAAACCTTTGGGTGCAGGATTGCATGGCAGCAATGTGATTCATGGTAAGAGAATGAGTCTATAACCGTCCCTTTTACATGCTTATAGATGAAGTTGCTGATTTTAAATCAAATTCTTAGGACCTACTGAAAAGAGCTTTCAAGATGCTAGAAAAGGCTCGGATGCCCCTGAAAAGGTTGACAATCTGGGTATTACAATTTTCCTACTTGAGACGGAGAAGCCATTATACCTAAGTGACTGGGCCGCCAAATTAGCAACTGAGGCCGCAGCTAAGGCAAGATCCAGAGTTCCAAAAAACAACAAATTGTGAAAGAAACCGGGTATGAGAAGTAATCGACCTCTGCGTGGGTTAACTTTATCGTTGTCGCTTTTGGTTATTCCATCATCAAGAACTCTTGATGCATTCCTTTAGGTTCGCTCCTTAACTTAAAATATGTATCAGAATGAAGTGAAATATGATCAGAGTCACTATCTCAGGAAGTAACAAAATTCAGCCAGGTTAGGGTTGTTCCGAATGTTCCGAATCTTACCGATAATGGGACAAGGTGACTTCCAACCAATAAGTCATTCAAAGGGAAACCTACTTCTACCAGTGATATGCAGGTCTAGTTGTACCTAGTACATGGCACAGGCTTTACGCCACTAACATTCGAATTCCCTACATCCAATACTTGCTCAATAAGGAAGGTCCATGAGCCTTATTTTGCCAAGATTCCAAGCGCAGTCATCATGTAATTTACATGACAGCCACCAGCATGGTAAGTCCGAGCGTATATTGGAAATCGGTTCGTCGGTCCAGGAGATGTCCATAGCATCGCGAGGAGAATCAAGCCTCTGTCCACGTACAGTCAACCACTACATAGGTACGATGAAGCTCTTGTCAGCTCGCACCTCATGACAAGGTAGCACATGGGGAGGCCCCGCATTGCTTGTTGGTTATCGCTACTTGGCTATCTTGGCGCCTGGGGTTAAGCTTCTTGTCATCGTTGAGCTTCCACTTCTGGGTAGCTTCAGTGCAGTTCTAGAGTTATCAAGACGTTCTTTTGTTCAACCCCGCAACTAGAGTGACAAGCGAGTAAGCCGCCAATGCATAAGGTAGCTTGGCTTCACCGCCACAGCGGGTCGGTCGTATCGTAAGAGCAAGTAAAGTATCCGAACATCATGTTCTGCAGTCTACTTCGCCTCTTGGCGTGTGTACAAAAACTATCAAAGGCGGGGTTTAAGTGTGATAACACAAGTATTTAAGCCCTTGCAACCCCTCACATTCCCATTCTCATTGTTCGACACAAATCTTTGAATCTTAAATACCTTCTCCCCCATCTAAAGCAACCCATAATGCGTTACCTGGGCCCCATACTTGCAGCACTAGCTGCCACGGCTTCGGCTACGGCGCCTCTGGCGAGGGAGAAATTGTACGTCCTGGAAGTCGCCCCGGGTGAGGTGATCGAAGTTACAGAGGACGAAAAGTTCAAGATGATCGATGTAAGCGATTTGAATCCCAGGTGGAAATAATGCTCCTTTGTTTCTAACCTGTGCTCGTAGGAAGGACGTCATTTCTTTGACATCACTGAATTCCAGGACGTCCAGGTCTCTTCTGCCAAGCTTTTCGCTGCTGCTGCCTTCCCCGATGCTCTCCAACACAAGTGTACTGTGCAAAAGATAATCAAGAATATCGACGTCGACAAAATCAAGGAACAGTTGACTACGTACTCCTCCTTCCATAATCGTTACTTCAACTCTCAGTATGGCGTTGATGCGGCTGAGTGGCTTTACGAGCGAGTGAAGGAAGTGATGAAGGAGAGTGGTAACCCACTGGCAACATCTCGTCTCGTGCGCCATACAGCTTGGTCGCAGCCAAGCATTATTGTTTCGCTTCCTGGGATCACCCGTGGAAAGACAGTCGTTCTTGGTTCGCATCTCGATTCGGTCATTTCCGGTGATCGCGGCGCTGGTCGAGCCCCTGGTGCAGGTAAGTTTCTTGCCTCTCTTTTCTTATAGCTCGAGATCATAAGGGGTAGAGGTGGCTAATGTACTAAAATGTGTAGATGATAACGGTTCCGGCTCCATGATGAACCTAGCTGTTCTTCGAGCCATCTTGGCTGATCCGAGAATCGCTGAAGGGGACCACCTGAACACTCTTGAGTGGCATTGGTACAGTGGCGAGGAATCTGGTCTGCTCGGATCTCAAGACATCTTCAACCAGTACGCAACCCTTAACATGCAGGTGGTTGCGATGCTGAACCAAGATATGGTCGGCTACAAAGGCCGCGATGGTATTGAGCGTTTCGGCTTGGTCACCGACAATACAGATGCCAGTCAAAACGAGTTTCTCAAACTCGTCATCGGGGGGTACACGGACATTTCTTACGAAGAGACACTATGCGGATATGCTTGTTCAGACCATGCATCCGCGACCAGAAATGGCTACCCTTCTTCTTTTATCTTTGAGACGCCTTTCGGCAACCACAACCCTCACATCCATACACCAAATGACACACTGGAGTATGTGGATTTTGGTCACGTCTTTCAACATGCAAAGATGGCTTCTGGCTTTGTCTATGAGCTTGCTCATCACGAGTTCATTTGATGACTACGTGTAGAGTTATTGTTTAGATAGAAGTTTCTAGAACACAATCTAGGTGAGGAATGATAATATATACTACCTAGACCGACATTGTCTAACGCTCACTACCACTTAACAAGTTCCTGAACCTTGATTGGAAGCCCTGTCTTCATCGACTTGTTCGCGCCCACGCCAACCAAGACTGCGTTTCCTCCATCGCGAATATAAGCAGCTCGCTTGAAGCTGTCACTTCTGTCGCCAACAAGGACGTCCTGAAGCAACACTGGATCTCCTCCTCCATGACCACCTTCCTGCTTGACAATATCTACCACATAAGGCTCGCCCCGCAAGGGATAGACAACAATCTTGGTCTGCTCTACACCACCCTGAATATAATTCTTTTCCAAGTCGCCGATGCCCTTGTTGGTGACTGTCTCACCTCCTGCAGAGTAGCCCCCTTCAACGACATTGATCTCAATTCGTCCCTTACTCCCGTTGAATACGCAGCGGTAGCCCTCCCATGGCGCATATGCGTAGGTGTTGTAGGTCATGACTGCGCGGTTCTTATATTTGATAATCATGGACAAATTGTCTTCTATGGTGATGCCCTCAGCAAAGCAGTTTCGGTCACGGATATACCCATCCTCGTGCTCAGCCTCAAGATAAAGCTTCTTTAGCTGCGCATTCTTATCGATGTGAATCGCGAACGGGTCAGACTTGGCTGCCTCATTGTTGAGATATCGCTCTCCCAAATTGGTCTCCCCGCGCCTCTCAGCGTTTTCTTTTCCGTAGAATCGCAAATCTCCCAGGCAGTACACCAGCTCGGGTTCGGTGTTTAGCCAGAAGTGGACAAGATCGAAATGATGAATGGATTTGTGCATTTGGATGCCCCCGCTGGTCTCCTTGTTCCGGTGCCAGCGACGCATGAAGTCCGAGCCGTGTGCGCAGTCAAGGATCCAATCCATGTGAACGGTTGAGATCTCTCCAATGACGCCAGATGCTATCAGCTCACGGACCTTAGTGTGGTGAGGCGCGTAGCGATAATTGAAGAGGACACGGACCTGCCTACCAGTCCGCTTCTCTGCATCAATCATGGCCTGCAACTTCTCCTCGTCAATGGTCATCGGCTTCTCGGTGATGGCATCGCAGCCCAGTTCCATAGCTCGGATGCAGTAAACGTGATGGTAGAGATCGATGGTGGTGACGATGACCACGTCGGGCTTTTGCTCTGCGATCATTTTGTCGAAGTCTTCAGCCTTGTACGTAGGTTGCGGCTGGCCTCCAATTTCGACGATGCGGTCATTGGCGGCGTTCATACGTGTTTGGTTTGTATCGCAAATTCCAACGAGCGTGGCAGCCTCAGGAAAGTCCTTGATGATGCTTTGGTAGTAGAATGCAGAGCGTACGCCCATGCCAACAATGACATATCGCTTGACCTGTGGTGTGGCCATATTGGGTGATTGTACAGACAACAAATAACCAGAATGCTTATAACGCTTGAGCTAGTCGATGAGCCTCGTTTTCTGATTTGACAGTCATGCCAGGTGGTCTTTATATGCTGTTCGATACTCCGGCATCGGGTTTGAAAATTCCCAATGAAGAGCTTTCTCTCGTATTAGCGGAGTAGACAACCCCATCAAAGCAATATTACCATCAAATCATCTTTTTCTCGTATAATTATCCGTTGCTTCACAGATGCATGTGTCTCCAGTTGTGACGATCGCTTCACAATGTAGTCAGATTTGATTGGAGACTCATTGAGAAACACACCTAGCCGACCCAAGATGGGTCTAGTCACTACGCAAGACTGAACCAAAACAGGGTTATATTGGATTTGTTACCCCAAGCATGTTGAGGTGTCGACGAATGGTTGGCTGTTGCTTGAGTGGCGGTGGAGCAACTGGGCATGAAGCTGGCGGGATGTCCAAATTCGGGTCGGAAGTACCAGTGATTAGTATCAAATTTAGACAGGTTTATAGCAATGCATTTATCAAGGGGCAACATATCCACCCACAACAATTGTCTTAACCACCCACCACTTGTGGCTTGACTTGAGGCGTGAGACCGATACCGCACAAGGCCCGCAAAGTTCAACCTATCAGGCTGCCTTGATTAGCTGCTGAGGACAGCTTCTTGCTTGACCTCTGATCTAGCTGTCCAATTTGACCTGCCAGCTAGCTACTGCTTACGACAGCCTCTTCGCGCGTGTATGATCTAGCTGTCCAATTTGACCTACTGGCCAGCTGCTGTACAAGACAGCCTCTTCGTATGTAGGCGATACAGTTGTCCCCAAATGACCTGACGAATTGGCTGCTGCTTCGGACAGCCTCTTCGCGTATAAGCGATACAGCCGTCCAACCTAGCCTGCTAGCCGGCTTCTGCCTGCGACAGCTTCTTTATTCTTATACGATCTAGCTGTCTAATTGAAGCTGCTAGCTAGCTGCAGCTCGCGACAGCCTCCTCTTATGTATATGATTTACCTGACTGTATAAGACTGGTCTTAATAGGGTAGGTGTTGGAAGGGCTTTATCCCTCTGGAACCACTGCCTAGGTCCCGGGCTCTTGGCCGGGCTCTTAGCAGTAGACGGTTCAGGTGAGTAGATAACGGTGGTTGTATTCAACTAGCTAGAGGGATCAGAGACCCCTATTTAACCTGTTCGTAGGTCACGTAATAAGGCAACGCCGATTTGTTCAGACACAGACTATCTTTTACTCTTATAGCGTTGCCTCGGCTAGCTAGCTACAGACAGCTAGGTCCGCAAGGGCTGACGAAGCTATCTAATACAGAAGGGGGTTACGGACGGCTAGGTCAGCCGGGGCCGAGGAGGCCGTCCGTGAAGAAAGGAAATTACGGACAGCTAGATCAGCGGAAGCCGAAGAGGCTGTCCGAGACGAAAGGAGGTCCCGGACAACTAGGTCGGCGAGGGCTGTTGGAGCCGTCCGGAGAGGAAAGAAGAGTCAGACAGCTAGGTCAGTGAGAGCTGACGGAGCCGTCCGGAAGGGAAAGAGATTACAGACAGCTAGGTCAGCCGAAGCTGAAGAGGCTGTCCGAGAGGGAAAGAGACGTCAGACAAGCTTTTCGCGCGAGAGCGGTTGGGCTGTCTGACGAAGGAAGCGATAGTTAACAAGTCAAGTTGATCAGACTAACCCACGTAATAAGGCAACGCTGATCTGTTCAGACAGTAGGGTAATCAGTCAATTGCAGTATCGGATGTCAAGCTATAAAGTAGTGGGTGGCTAAGAGAAAATTGGTAGGTGGATATATTACCCCTTTATCAAATACCGATGAGGTCTGAATCTGCGCTCAGTCCTCACTTATAACTAATAGCACGAGACAAATATGGACGGCCTATATCTTAAGGGTCGCGGAATAGCGCCTCTTACGGAAAGGTCTGTCAGGTTCGTCTCACGGCCCGCCCCCTGGCTAGGTAATTTGCAGACTTGCAGGCTTTTTGGGCTGGGCATAAGCATGATCAGCATCGACCTAGGCAGGTGGATAGGCCAGAGCCCGGTTCTTTTACCTTGAGTACGGACGCTGTGCTACGAAGCATGATTTACAAAAGACTATTACGACCGTCTACAACATGCCATGCGGGGGTTTTGTCTTGGGGTTTCGTCTTATTGGCTGCGGAGAATACCGAGTTGGAAAGCCAGGGATCAGACGCTAAGCTCAGCTTATGGTGTATCAGGCTATTAACTGATCCCGCCACTGTGGGACGCCAAGACCCGGCTCTCTCGTGCTCAATGATTTGCCACGAGGAGACCAGTGGCGTAAGAGCCGGAAAGACGAGATGCTTGCGCGAGTCCCGGAATGTGGAGGGGCATGTGTCAATTACAAGGTTACGTAGTTGAAAGATATCAATGCAAGGCAGTATAGTGTTAAACGTCCTCGTATACCCTTGAGAGTGGCGGTAAAGCAACAGCTACACCGGTAATGAGATCAAAGCTTACTATAGTATCCGGTATAAGTAGAGGCCAAATTTCTTAAAATCGGGGGCCCCACAGCTTCCCGTTACAGTGAGATAGTTTGAGGAATACTGTGAACCAGGGAATGGTTATAGTTAAGAACCAGGGTTCTAATTAGCTGTATAATATTTTTGGTTGATCAGTTATAAATCCGCACAGTAGAGCCACTATAAAGTGGTCCTCGTAATGGGAAAATTTTATACCTTATACTATAGTAACTACGTAGGTAGTAATCTCACCTCAGCTTCCTCCCTGACCAGCCAGGGAGTTGTCCCAGCTCCCTACCTAACTAGGTATATCTGTACTTAGTATACCAGTACTCCGGCACTGGGTATATTTATAGTAAATTACCGTAAACAAGAGGTAATCCGCGAGCGGGCCACACGTGATTTACATCACATCGCTTCCGCCCTCACACTATATAACTCCAGCATACCGACTGAGAAAGAGAGTTCAGCTCCAGTATAATCATCTACTTGACCATTTGCTTCTTCATCAACAACTCTCACATCCGACGCCGAGCATAACAATATAACAAGATGCCTATTAGCTATACTTGGAGAGACGAAGCTGACCCCAGGGGCCGTATATCCGAGGGGCGCAAAGGCGCAGCCATTCATCGGATTGAGCAGTCGTGTCTGGATTCACAACAACGTGCTCGGGTGGTACGTTGCGACGTTACGTATGTCTCCCACATGACTTCCTCTGGAGTGTAATTACTAACCATAGACTTTGATAGCTTCGGTGCAGGTGACAATTTCCGGTACAACTGTTTTACTCGTTCTGGTACCATGATTGGTGGAGGCGCGGCTAAATGTGGCAAGCCTCGCGAGGCTCCCAAGCCTTCCAGGGGTGGTGGTGGTGGTGGTAAGCCGAAGCCGGGCAAGCCTTGCAAGAAGGGTTCGCCGGGCTGTGCTGTGATGCGGCGGTAATCAGAGGCTTTGGTTCTATTTATTCAGAGGCAGCTTAGCTGTTTAACTGAGTAGGAATTCAACATTCAGAGGCAGCTTAGCTGTCTAACTGAGTAGGAATTCAACATTCCTACCTTTTATATATCATTTATAACGTTACAGTCTGTAACTTATAACGGGTATAGCCTTATTATATATACTTCGATCAAATGTATTCAAGCTAGAGAAATAGAATCGCTTTCTTGGACATAAACGCAGCAGCAGGCATCGTGTTTGGCTGAATTGTCTCTATATCAGAGAATCAATCATGGTGACTGCCGTAGCTATTGATGAAGCCGCGTTCGTTGTAGCAGTCCAGTCTATTGACAAAAGGTGTCCGTGACGACTGAGAGGTGATGCCGCTCCTTCACAGAAGGATGGAGAAGTGCCGGTTTCGGAAAGTTCGGGTCAGATTGATTGTCACTGATCAAAGTGCTCGTGATGCATGAACCATTATGCACATGGGCGGCACAGTGAGTATAATTCAACTACGTTGTTGTCTGCAACCTTCCGTAATCCGATGCACCCTAACACCCATGCAACCCACAAGCCCAGCCAACTTGGAACAAGGCTCTAGATTATCTCTACAACGCCCATTACATCTTTCAAGAGTAAGCTTTCCATCAAGTCGAGCGTGATAGTGGCACGTTGGATTTGGTAGGAAATGATATGCCCGATGAATTCTAAACCGGAATACTTGCCAGGTAGATCAAGCGAACTACACCACAAGCAAGAGAGAAGGTAAGACATGAACAATGTCTTTCTTAAGCAAGGCTTTCCGGTTAGATGCTGAGATAAGCCTCTGAGTTGCTCTGCAATTTATAACTTGGATTTAATATAAATTCAAGTTGCTTTGAGGTATCAGATCTGATCTTTATATTGCTGTCCTTTACTAGCTCGGATTCTATAAATAGATATAGAAGTATCCCTAAGTTATAGAACAAAGAGAATAATTATATAAAAGGAGCAAACCTGTGTTACAAACAAAGGCCTCCCTAATGAGCTATACAGGTCACGTGCGGACCCACCGCCGTTATAGACGGAGCGCAAGGAGCGATACGCTCCAGACGCTCTAAAGAAGGATATATACCATACTTATTTCTAGATAGATTACTAGCTCGACAGCTATTAATAATTAAATATCAGTTTATATATACCACTGCAAGTCTACCTATTATCCAATTCATTAACTGACTTCTGAGTGATATTTGGTTTTATTTGGTTTTTTTTTTCAGCCATAAGCAAGGTTATTCCAAGATCAGGTATAACACGTGATTAGTCATATATAGGGTTTTATTATATATAGTTGCCGGTCTATACCCAGACCTTCTTCCACACAGAGTTAAAGTTAAAAAATACACTTATAGCCTGGGTACAGGTATCAAAGCCTTAAAAACTCTAACAATAGGAGCTATTTATACAGCTAGATATATAAAACTCGGCTATGACCCCTACGAGGGGAAGCTCGTCACTTCTGAGTGATAAAGCTATTATCCCTCTCTCCCTAGAATAACTATCACCAAACAAAGATATTGATCACTCTTGAGCTACCCTGTAGCCCCAGAGCGTACCGTTCGTTACAACCTGATACTGTGTATTAAGATAAAGCTAAGTAGTAGGAGATAACTCAGACTATAGCTATATATTCCCCTTACTATTAGGTAGTAAGAGCGGATAGAATTTCCTTTTATTAGTTAGTACTTATAGTTCCCTTCTTTATAAAGCAGGTTAACTACTTACCCTAATAAAATTAAATTTACCTTTAATTTATTATTTTATAACTATATAAAGACTAAGATAATCTTATTAAATTAATTAATTATAGGAGTTCCTAACTAAATACTAAATATATATTAATTAATTATAGTTATTAGTCTTAATTATATAATATAGTTATAATTTATTCTCTTTATATTATAAATAAAAACCTCTATTAAGCTATAGGAAGTTATATATAAAATAGATAAATATATCTATCTTAGTATTTAATAAAAACTAACTTTATTTAGTTAAAATAAAGTTATAATAAAATTATAATAAAGTTTAAATAAATTTTCTAATATATATATATATTTATTTTATTAATTAGAATATTCTTTTAAATAGTTATTAATAAAGTTATAATCT